TGAGGACTAGTACTTTGCAGTGAAGGGTTTAATTTAACCGGAGCGGCGCACCGCTGCGCCATGTTGCGGCTCAGTTTCTGGGAAAGTTGGCAAGCGTTAGCGCATTTCCAACGTTTTTAAAACACCCGCGGCAACGGCAATCGTACAAAGGTGGTGTGTTTGTTTTGCTGTACTTTGCTTTCGTTTTCATGCTTTGAGCGTCATAACATTTGTTCTTACACTTATAACTGCTTGTCATTTTTATAACACTTTTAAATGCATTGGTAAATTCAATAAAGCATTGACCTAATTTATCTGTTGTCATGAAGGTATTGATGTGTTTATTATTTGCATCGGTGAACGCACAACCTTTGAGATTACTAGTTCAGGCATCATCATCAGCAAAAAGCGCGAAAGTCGAGTTTCGCGCTGTTTATTGCTGTTTTGATTCGCGCGCGTGCATCGGCCAGCACAGGTGGTCGTGAACGAGCATGGTGTTGTTCGTCGAAAAAGCGCTCGAGCTCGTGAAGGAGCTGAAGCGCTCGCGCGGTTGGCTTCCTCCGCTCAAGGTAAGTTTGGAAGTGTGGCGCGTGAAGCCCCTCGAAGCCGCAGAGGCCTTTAGCGACGGCTTTGTCACTTGTGCGCAGGAAGATGCTCTGCGAGACTGCTTGGCCTGACATGCAGGCGCTCTTTACGGAGAACCAGAACGACGTGGAGACGCACATGGAGAATCGACACACCACGGTGCACGCCTCGGCACGTAGCGCTCAGTCAGATCCGGCGCTGCCTGCTCGCCTACCTGTACCAGCGGCTGATGGTGGCCCGCGAGATGCGCTGGGGTTTCGGCACCGCGCTCTCCGCCGATCTCAGGGAGAACATGTCCGAACAAGAGGTGCCCGCACTTTATTCTTGTTGAACTTTCCAGCCGACGGGTTGCCGGAGCGTTAGTCGGACGAGTAATGCGTCCAGTCCCGAGCAAAGCATCCGGGTACCTCCAGTTGTCGTAGCCAGAAACTTTTTTCGGGGTTGGGGAGGGGGGCGGGAGCTTTGTGCTTTCCAGTCTTAACTGTGCGAAAGATACGAAATGTGACAACATTTCATAAATACTGGGGAAACTTGCCTGGCGGTACTGCTAGCGTACTTCTCTTGATACGTATAATTGAGAAAGTATATACATAACCAATACTGTAAACATACCACAAGTACGTCTAAGAGGTCGGTGCCTCTGGCGAAGTGTAAAGGGGCTTTCGCTGCGTGAATTATTCAGGCAGCATTTGTCCGTGGCCCTAAAGGATTCTAGCTCATGAAACTACTTTTTGATGAAAGTTGTGTTTGAACAATATCCCTCTTGTGTCCCCTGCTTCTGCTCATTGTCGCTTCTGATGAGTGCTGCCAGATGCACTTGAAAAACGTTTTTCAAGTAACGTGGAATAGTACTGCATTAGTTACCTCTTCTGCAGTTTGCAAAAGTTACATAAAGAATCGTTATTACTGTTGTGTCATTTAGTCACTAAATAGTCACTTCTACCTGCGACTTCACTTACGAGAGCATTAAATAGTCATGTGCTCTTTGTGGCACTGACCTCCCCTGTCTGGCACAAAAAACGGGCCTGGTGTAAACTGGTGTTGTAACAGAACTTAGGTGCAGTATTAATCCTGTCTTAGCCAGGCCATAGGAATCAATTGAAAACAAGTGAAACTGGATGAATATTATGAAATGGTATTCATCGATCTAGCTGAACAAGTGAAACTGAAAACAAGTGAAACTGGATGAATATTATGAAATGGTATTCATCGATCTAGCTGAACACAACAAGACAGAAAACAGGCCATACAATGTTTGTAGGACAGAAATTTGCATAGCTCCTATTTAGATTGTCTATCACTGATTGTGGCTAGTATCTGTGCCATCAAATTTACAGTATTTTTTTTAAAGAGAATTTGGACAAAAGAAAGAGCAACGTGCAGGTTCTATGCATTAGGGACCTGTTTTACTCTGTGCCTTTTGTAGTAGTCTTAAATTACTTTCGATAGTACGTCCTTGAAATTTCAGGCAGGGATCCGTGTTCACTTTCACACTCATAATAGTTAGGAGTATAATGCTTCAGTTTCATCCGTAAGGATTGAATCTCGGCGGAGATGGTTACTTTTAAATCTACCATCGACATGGTAGTCTATACCCCAACCTAGTAAAGCGATTCGCAAGAATAGAGTGTCAAGCTATTTGTTTCATTATCAATTGCTTGCAGTTCATGACGAAATGGAAGCGTACATACGTATACACGTGGACTTGCGTGCATTTACCACTACCATTGTCACATGCTTGATGTCGTTTATTGGTTCAGTACATGAAATTGCACAGTTTACTGTTATTCCCATAATTTTCAGTGAACAATACATTGTACTAAATGCACGTACTGCTAGATGATGTTTAGAAGCGAACTCGATTTGACGAAATCTGCAATAAAAAAAAAGGGAACACCTAAATTTTGCTTCAAATTCCGAGTTCAAACTTTTTAAACATTGTCAAGCTTACCTTTCCTGGAATATGCATGCCCATAGTTAAAACTACGCCTTTGAATGCAGCACAGCAGAAATGACAAGTGTGACAAACCAGACATTGAAGATCACATGCACTGTTTTACAAACACAGCAGCTTTGCTGTTGCAAGTTTCGCCATATTCAAGAGCTTGCCTGAAAACTTGCTCAAAGCACCCTTCCAACAGTTGGTTAAAGACTAACAAACAATGTTTTTTTGGTAGAAGAAACTTATTTTTCACAAAACAGGGGTAAGTTCATGAATTGTACGAAAATTCAAAGTACTTGGCAGCTACGTCAGTTTTGGCTTTTCCCCTGCAATGCATGTTCAAATATGAGAGGAACGCCAGACAGTGGTAGCTAAAGTGTGAGTAGTTGTAGCAGAGTAGTTGTTCACTGTATTCACTGGAATGCCTATGGTTTTTCGAAGTCTAGCAGGGGGCAATGTTATTCCCAGAGTGCTCGTCTATTTACAATGCACAATAGGTGTTGCGACAAGGTTCCCATAAGACATTACACACACCTAACCCTTTCAGCGCCACTGACACACCAATACAATCTCATTTTTCACCAGCAGCGGCACCGATGTACCTTTACGTTTCACTTGTTCGAGCTCACAAATGTAAAGTTTACTAGCCTCGGGCTATTTCTTCTTTCGAAAATATATTTTCTCCTGCTCTTTGATTGGCTTTTTTCTGTCTGTTTGAAAAGTTGCACCATAGCACAAACTTTCTCTTTCTTTTAGTGTGCTGCTGCTATCAGTCATATCCTTGCAGAACGCTTTTCTAGTTTCTGAAAGTATTCATTATAGAGCACCGCTCTTTTGCAGTGATCAGGGTGTCTTTTCCTGAATGGTTCTACACTATGTTGTATCATTTAGATTTGTCACAGGTTCTCTCACACTTTAATAGTATTTCTGGTCATTGGTGTCATTTTTGTCTTGAATTTAAGTAAACTGGTGTGTAGATTTTTAGATGCGTTGCTCCCTCCCTCATTGCCACAGCATCCACCCCCCACTGTACATGCACGTCTCCTCCCTCTCCCCCCTCTCGTGGCATCCACAGCGCATGTGCGTCCCCTCTTTCTCTCTCTCTCCTATGCTACCACTCTCCTGAGTCGGCAGCTAAGGAAACGACACACTTTTCGGCACACACAATCACTCTGTAGCCGTTGATCGTCGGTCTTGCAACGTTCCACGTTTCTGTGAAACAGCGCATCTGCTTTGGTTAGCAGGCAATCACGTTGTATGTCTCTGGCATGGGCATTGATGCACCGGCTGTTTAGCAGTGCTATAGTAATGTTCACTGGCATCAAGTGATGGCCACCGGCAGCGTTAGTCAGGTAGAGGTTCTGAATGTTGGTGCACCTCCTTAAGGCGACATAGATGAGCTTCTATGGGTGCCGGTCACCATCCCCCCACTGCTTCGCATCCACACATTGTTACCTTTAGCGGGAGATGTCGTAATTGCTTATATCACTTTTAAAGAAAAAACAATCGTGGGGTTTGCATCACCTCTAAAAGAAGTTAATTTTTAAAAATGCCCTACTTAGGCACTTTGTACAAATGGTAAACCAGCAAAATAGAAACATACAACCATGGTGTTTGTCCAGAAATAATAATTGTGTTTGCTACCCATGTGTTCATTCGTTTTGAGCGGAAGAGTGGTGGGGCTTGCCCGATTTTTGTAGCGCATACTCAGTCACAGCCTAAGAAAAAAAAATTTCGGTTTACTCCAGTCTCGCTGAGGATATGCGGACTCTCACGACATCAATAGCTCCTTGATTGTTTCAGATAGCGGACTTGGGCACACTCGCCCACATTTCTGTCACTGGTTTTAGGTGGGAAACCCGATTGTCTTGGTAAATTTTTACTGGGATTGTGACAGCTGCTCAGTGAAACACAATGTTTCAGGCAGTAACAACAAAGGTTTAATTCTTAACATGCGTACTACTTACATCAGCCAAGGAAAAGTACTTATAGATAAATCGTTCAAGCAGAAACCAGCTAGCCAAATGTCTTTCAAAGCCAAATGGCAAGGCAAGCTTGTGGCGGTTATTTGGGTGGATCTGCCATTTATTTTTCTTTGGTTGTAACCGAGTATAGGACTTTCTATGCGCATAGACCTAAAGACTTTCAATTTCCCCTCGCCATATACAGCTTCGCTGTAAAAAAAAAAAAAGACTGATGACCAAGTTCTACGTGAAGGTAACTGACCCCTCGGCAACACGCGCTGTCTCATGCAGCAACAGTGGCTGCGCCGCTACAACGGCCTGCTCGCCGACTACATGTCTAGCGTGGGGCTAGGACCTCAGCCGCTACCGGAGTCCGCCCAAGTCGCTCTACGTGCAGGTGCGGTGCCTGAAGGACTACGGCGACTTCGAGACAGAGGATGGCACGCGCATTGTGCTGGCACGCGACACCACCCACTTCCTGGAGCGCTCGCAGTGCGAAAAGCTCATCCACCAGGGTATCGTCGAGCACGTCACCACTTGAAAGACCACTTTATTGGCAGCAAGTATAATAAAATAATAAAATAAAATAATAAAAATGGCTCGTGCATCTAAAAAAAGTAGAGTCACGCGGAATCACTGGGCTTGCTGTCGCCTTTGGCCATCTGCTCCTTGACCATCTTCATGAGCTGCTCAGAGTACTGCTGCAGCAGTGCGTTGAGGTCAGAGCTCGACTGATTGAGGGGACCGCCCATTGGCGCTGCTACAGGAGGCGGTGGCTGCTGCGTGATGCGAAGGACGTAACTGTTGACGTTGCATTTGCAAAAGGTAACTTGCGCTTGTTAATAAAACTACACTGTATGCCACGACTAATGCAAGCATTAACGCTGATGGCCAATAGGGACTCTGACTGCAACACAGGTGTCGTGTTATTATCTACGTCTTCCTTGTACCTCCATTGATTGCACAGTTTTTTATTACGCTAAACCACAGTCAAGCCTCATTATTACACGGGAGAAGTAGCTTCGTTACATGTGATGATATGTTACAAAAGTACATCTGTGGCACTGTTTTAATGGCAATACTATTCCTCATTTATGTTATAACAATTATATAATTATAACAATTATAAAGGCTCAACTGCAGCCCAGTTTTATATCTTATTCCTCTGATATTGCATTTCTCTGTCATGCATCACTACAAAGCCATGTGATCAATTACGAGCCAAGTATGTAACGATTCTTCTCATCTCGAGTATGCTACCTAGCCAATTAAATTACCATGACATTGATGCTCTTACCTCAGTACCCATAAAATATAACAAAATGGATAAACAGTATACGTAGAGTCTTCTATCGTCATTTAGGCCTATACCGTACTACAGAATACTATTTCGTATGCTCCGTGTCATTACACACATAAAGAGTCCCGACATCCTTTGATGTGACCAATGAAAAGTGCTGTGCGATCGCTTTTCCGCATGGAATTCTGTGGTACAGAATAAGCTCACTTGTACTTTCACCCTGCCTTTTCAATACGAATCGCCAACACGCCCATCAATTCCTTCTTTTCAAGCAGATTACTGGTTCCTTTGGTTTTATCGTTTTGGTGCTTTCTTTTTTTCCGTGCTGTAACTTGAAGCCAAACAGTACTTACGGCAGGAGGTGCCGGTTCGGCAGCGGCAAAACGGCGTGCAGCTGGAAACTGCTGGAAGACTGGTGGTTCGGCTGGCGGTGCCGACCACAGGGGCGCTGCTCCTGGCGGTGCCAGTAAAGGCGGGGGTGCCGCTGGCCGAAGGTTCTGCTGGGCTTGCAGCACACCGTGGGCCAGGGTGTTAGTCATGGCTGACCGGTCCGCTGGGGACAGGTCCACATCCATGGTCACCTGCATGGACAAAATCAAAATCACAACTGATGCATTCACCTGGGATTACTCGAAGACGAAAGTCATGTTTTCCTTCTCAGTCAATACATATTGATGCTGCCCGGCCATCCACCGAAGGCTTTCAGCACCTAACATCGTTCAGAAATAGCTTCGGGATCAGTGGCATTGCAAGCTTTCAGCACACAACCTGTCTTTGCATAGCCTCGGTAATTGGTACACCTGTGACCGAACGACGACATCATGTGATCACATCATCACATGACATCGCTTACGAGACAAATTTTGGCAATCTGTTACGTCATATGGCAACGTCCATCATGCGATGATTTTTCACATCGCTCGTGTTGGTGCCAACACGAGATGCCAGTCAGTTTTCGTGTTTGATGACAGCTTTTGCTTAATACCTGAGTCACATGGGCATTTCTAAGGCCTTTCAAGTGATCAAACGGTATGAACGTTGCCATAGTTGCAATGCTCAACAGGTGAAAAGTTAACACAGTTGTATAACAATGTATATAAAGAGCTTATCAATACTATGTTTAAATAAAAGTAAAAGATATATACGTGCCTTCAAGTGGTTAAGTAGATTTATATTAAGTTTTGGCACAAGAAAACAGAAAGAAAGATCTGTAGTGCCACACAATTTTAGAGAAATATGCTTGAACCACCCAAAGGCCTTTGAAAACTGCTGGGTAGCTTCACCAGAACTCCACTGAGTCGTTAACGAGTTCTGGCATATTGAAGGTCATCAACTTGGATGGCCTTTCAAAAGTGCCCTAGTGACAGAGGTATAACACATATTGCTCGCACGTGCAAGTGTTCCAAGCCCATATTGAATGCAATGTATAGTGCCCCGCAATGTAATTAAAACATGGCAAATCAGTTTGGGGAAGCCCATAAGGGTTAAGATATGCTTATGAAAGAAAAAAAGAATCGTCATACGTCAAATGACACACGAAGCGACAGAAGAAGCCCCCACACACTTCTCAAAGCATAATCCTCAAAAAAGGGAGCCTCCGAAGACTAACACAGAGCTAACACCTCCTCCCTGAGGCCTATTCATTTCGTGAGCTTCCACACGAGGTGAATTGTCACATTCAGTATGCATGTGCCTCAAGTTTTCCATTAATTTGCCCTTGTGAAGCGACGTGCTAGCTCATTGCTTAGCTCGGATAGTAAAGCAACTGCCTGGAAAGACGCTAGTCATGAGTTCAATTCATGCCTACAGCTGGAGTAGCCTAAGAAAAGCCTGGCATATCTGAATACTCTATTCTTTTCTTCATATTCATGCTTAAATGGAGTAGCCTGGGCAAAGCCTGGAGTATCCCAATTCTCTATTCTTTCCTTCATATTCATGCCTACAAGGAAGTAGCCTGGGAAAAGCCTAAAGTATCCCAATTCTCCACGATTTTCAGGCCTGCAATTGAGTAGTCAGAAAAGTAAAGGCCTGGAGTAGCCAGCAGCTTCATGCTTTCCCTTCACCTGCTACACCACAGGTATCATTGTCACTCACAGCCAACATAACACGCACTCACCCTCTGAAAGACGTGGATGGCATAAGAAGTGATGCGTGCCAGCTCCTGAGCAACGCGATCACAGAGCTCCCGAGTGAGAGGTGCTACGGCCGGATTCGGGGGAAGGGGCCGCGGCGTGCCCGGCGTGGATGCTCCACCTCCGCGACCCCCGTGGAGCATGGGCTCCACCAGGGCGCGTGGGCCCTCGTGGCCCCTTCCGCCCCACTCTCGTCCGCTGCTCGGGGTCACAACCTGCACACGTACATGCAGTACATTAATTCCACTGATGGCAGCCCATCAAGCACTGTGCTTCTTAAGAAGTTAGCTTTCAAAAGTTGAAAAACTTGGGGTACCATACTAGTTTCTTTTACAGACTGATTTATATGAAATTTCGAAAGAGTTGGCACATCAGGGCACAATAAAATCACAAAAGAAACAACAAAGAACGCATGGACGAAGAGAGGTGACACAGACAAGTACTGCCCGTGTCAAATGTTCAATCAAATGTTTTGTTCAAATGTGAAAATTTTTCCTTTTATTTCAGCGACACTTATTTCCAGGACTATAAAGATGTCGAACTGAGAGATTCGAATAAGGTTTGCTGAATGAAAAAAGAAAGGAGGGTGAAATTTTTACTGGCACTGTATTCAAAACAGATTGTCCTGTAAAAAAAATCAGTACGTAATTGCAACACGCAAAAGTACCTTTGTCGAGTCTCAGATTCATATGAAGTACGTTATCCCACATACGTTATCAAGGGTCGCCAACGCCCCCCTTGGTTCTCAACTGACTTAAAAAAATTGCGGAATAAAAAGAAACGGTTGTTCCGTCAGGCAAAGCAGACTAATTCGTTAGCCCGTTGGCACGTGTACAAATCTGTCCTTTCCGAATACAGAGCAGCTATCAAGGAAGCCAAGCGCGTTTTTCTTAATGATACCCTTCCTTCAATTCTTGTAACCAACCCTTCTAAGTTTTGGAAAACTGTTAAACCTAGGGAAAAGATAAACATTTCGCTTACGAACTGAGATGGGCAGCCAGTTCGCTGTGAAGAGTGTTGCATTGCATTAAATGATTTTTTTGTTACTTCTTTTTCAAGTTGTTCTGCTTCTGCGTTGCCGCAAATGCCTAGTCGTGATTTTTTACCCATGTATCCTGTTACCGTTGATGCCGTTGGAGTGCAAAATTTAATTCACAAGCTTAAGTTATCCTCTTCTTGTGGCGTAGATGAAATCAACTCAAAGTTTCTAAAAAACACTGCATTGTATTCATCAATTTACTTGTCCTTAATCTTTTCGCAATCTATTCAGACCTCCACTTTGCCGCTTGACTGGAAGGTGGGGAAGGTGGTCCCTCTGCACAAATCTGGTAACACACAGTCTCCTCTCAATTACAGACCAATTTCCCTAACCAGTGTTCCTTGTAAAATGTTAGAACATATAATTTACTCCAACCTTGTCTCATTCCTAGAATCAAATTCTTTTTTTACTCCCTACCAGCACGGATTCCGAAAAAGTTACTCATGTGAAACCCAACTTCTTTATTTTACTAATGACATAGGATCGGCTTTAGATCGCGGCTCACTTGTGCATTGCATTTTTCTTGACTTTCAAAAAGCTTTCGATAAAGTACCTCACCAATTACTCCTCCTGAAAATTAGTGCCTTAAACATTGACCCGAACATTCTTAAATGGATTGAATGCTTTCTGACTAATCGCACTCAGTTTGTAACAACTAATGGCTATAACTCACCTCTTTCTAAAGTAACATCCGGCGTACCCCAAGGTTCCGTATTAGGCCCTTTACTCTTTCTTATATATATTAATGATCTCCCAGACAGCATTAACTCCGCTATAAGGTTATTTGCAGATGATTGTGTAATTTACCGCGAAATAAACAATGAATATGATAACCAATTTCTACAGTCAGACCTTGACACTGTCTCAACCTGGTGCAATAAATGGCTTATGACTCTCAACTCTAACAAATCTAAATGCATGTCAATAACCCGGCGATCTATTTCTCCCCCCTGTACCTACAGAATTAACGCCGTTCCCCTCCAGCATGTCTTTTCATATAAGTACCTCGGCGTTTACATTACCAACAATCTATCTTGGCACACGCATGTTACCTACATCTGTAATAACGCTAACCGAACGCTAGGATACTTACGCCGCAACTTTTCTCGCGCTCCGCTGTCCCTCAAAATTCTATTATACCGATCACTAATTCGCCCAAAGCTTGAGTACGCGTCCGCTATATGGGATCCCGTGCAGCAAAATTTAATTAACGCGTTAGAATCTGTTCAGAACCTCTCAGTTCGGTTCATTTGTTCTAATTATTCCCGTACTGCTAGCATATCAGAAATGAAATCTAACCTTGACCTACCCAATTTAACTGTCCGGAGGAAACTAGCGCGACTGCATTTTTTTCATAAGATATTTTTTCACAATCCATCAATGAAGCGAGACCTCATTTCACAACCATCATACCACTCATCGCGCATTGATCATCAGCATAAGGTTGCCATTCCGTTTTGCCGCACCAAATTCTTTTCAGCAGCCTTCTTACCGAAAACAGCAGCCGATTGGAACCACCTTCCCTCTTCCGTTGTATCAATAATAGACCCTTTGTTATTCAAGACTGCAATTTCTCAGCAATGCTTGTAACTATACGCAGTTTCTATTATCTATCTTTGTCTTGTATGTGCTTGAATTCTTATACATTTTTAGTTGACTTATGTTGCCTTCCTGATTTGCGCATCTGATACTTGTTTCTTTATTTTGTCTTTTTTTTCTTGTGTGTTATATATGTTGTACCCACCCCCTCTGTAATGCCCTACGGGCCCTGAGGGTATTCTAATAAAATAAAATAAAATAAAGGTATACATGTGTTGTATATATATCTATTCAATTACCCTCACGGCTCAAAGGCATATGTGACAAGGCAGATACAGTTGCCAAACACAACACAACAATACAGAAAATACAATAGAAATGATAATGACTACATGAATCATTAAATGATGTAGCACTTACGCAGTCATTGGGCAAAATGTGTGCTATGCATATAGCAGTTTGAAAATAAATGTTGAAAGGTTTTTAATGGCAGCAGCATTGTGGTGAAGACTATTCCACCACAAGCATGTACAGTACTCGGGGATCAACATTTTTAGTATAACAATGATGATGATAGTCGATCCTGGATATATCAAACTTGAAGGGGATCGCAAAATAGCTCCAACATATCAATGATTCCAAATACAAAATATGCGTATTCAAGGCCTAAATTATAGCATTTCAGGCCTTGGAAATCATTACAAGTGCTAACATACCGATTAGCTCACAGTATAATCATATATCCAGGATCGACTTATATGGTGTTTACTGGCGCAAGGGCCATGTAAAGGCCATAGAGCACCAGAACATGAGACAAAAAAGATGTGGACAAAGGGAACAACTTTCGAGCGCAATTGCTTGAAATAACCATGTCATGTTGCGACAAATCAGGTCTCTAAAGGCAACACTAGCTCTGCTCCATGCATTCGAGTCGAAATCGCGTGCCAGAACTCGCACTGAAAATGGTAAAAACGAGAATGTGCTCATTATGTAGCCGTATTGCCCTATTTCAAACTGTACAAACAGTACTGTACATGGTACTGGGATGAAATAAACAAGTCACTACAGCATTTGGTGCTTGAAGATTACTCATAGCGCCAGACCAAATTGTCGGTGCGATGCAAGGCAAGGCTGTGTGCGTACATCGCTCGTGGATTGAAACTCGACAATTTAGGATGGAGTAATGCAGATGCTTTCAACTCCACCATCTTCAGCTTGCTTCACATTGACATGATTTTGACTCGAACACTTGCATCGGTGCCAACATTACCCTTAGTAGCGAGATTCATAGTGTCGCAATGTCATTGCTCTATGCAATCGCTCAAAGCAGTCATTGTGATGCAGCGTTTCAATTCATGAGCACCATGCCTATATTTCTTTGCGACATGCATTACGACTGACTGTCTATAACTGTGTGAAACAGATGTAATATGTTGCCAAGGTTTCAAACAATATATTGAAAGCAAGTGGAGGTGTTAGAATAAATTACAGCAAATTTTACAACAATTGAAAGAAATTACAATGTAAATAATTATCCCATCACTGCGCAGCAAGTCATGCTAATATTTTTTCATAAACTGATTTCAATGACCCACTCAAATTATGTGTGTTAGTTACCTGCTGGCAGCGAAAATTCATATAAAAAGAAAGAAATTTAAACTCCATTCGAACTGCCCCACGTTAAACACAGCATTGCTTTCCCCGGAGAGGTGGTGCACAGCAAAATATTTCGACTAGAAGTGAATTAAAGCAACATCAAGCAACAAGAATGTTCAAGTTACTATTAGCACAATGCCCATGGTTTCTTCCTTGAAAACAGGTGCGCAAAAATAGTGAGAGACAGTTGCATCTCCAAAATGATGCCGTGTTACAAAGGGATGTGTACTGTCATTGAATGCTGCGTCCTTATTAACTCTAATGGCAAACACTTCACCAAGCAATGCCACGTGAACTCGTACCTGGGTGGGACCCTTGACTGCCGACTCATTATCCGAGGAAGAAGAGGAGTCGTCAGACATCTGCACCGGAGCTGCCCGCCTGCCGGCCATGTGCAGGGCCCCAAGGCTGGCACTGCGCAGCATGCCTTGCATTGGTGTCAGTGAATGATGCTGCTGCTGCTGTTGTGGCTGCTGAGGCTGTTGTTGTTGCTGCTGCTGCTGGGACCACAGCCCAACCGAGTCACCTGGATATCACCAGAACAAAGTTTGACTATCACATTCTCATGGTTGCTAGCTCAAATTTCACTGGATCCGCGGTAGAATTGCAATGGTACAGATCTCTGCTTTTTTATTTGAAATTCCTTTGAGCCCTGTCGGGCAATGTGTAAGTGGGGCTCTAAAAATAACATTAGTCAGCAAGAAAATACACATGTATCAAACACCGCAAAGGAATGACACAGAAAAAATTGAACACTTCGTACATAACACGTACATAATGCAGAATACATACTGAATAAGTACATGATACATACATAATAATGGTACAGTAAATAAAATTGTGCTGTTTTGATGGACAATGACAACCTCAGTGAAAATGTGCAATTAGTTAAAGGTGCTTAGGTGAATGTACTATCTATGGAGCAAAGTAAAGAAACTGTTAAACTCTTTGAGGTCTGCTGTAGGGCCTCTCCTCCTCCTCAAGAAAAGGGGGTGGGGAGGAATAACGTGTCCTACGCTTTACCAACTCTACGAGCTCAGCGATGCATTATTTGAAGGCCACAGGTTCCGTCCCCGCCAGAAGCAAGTTATCCTTTCATCCACTTTTTTCATATTTACATCACAATTCCCACAAACATCCCCCATACTTTCCTTGGCTTTCTTGTCTATTAGTTCTAATTAACATTGTGTTTAATAATAAATATGGCAATCGCACTGAATTCAAACTAATTGAACTGTGCACAAAGTAAAAGCTGTAAGGGGTGCCTCTGATACCCGAAGCTCGCATACCCGAAGAGTACGTGAGCCGACGCCTGGCGGAGATGTCGGTCATGGAGGCCGTGCGGCGAATGAGGTTCTCCTCGGGGTTGGCCGACAGCAGGTCGCCGCTGCTCTTGCTGCTACACCAGCCCAGGGCGTTCAGCTTCTGGCGTGCCTGGTTCAAGGCTTGCGCCATCTCCTCCCGCCTCCGGCTGCTGCCCGATCCCAGCGAGGAAGGCTCCGGTCGGTGGTGGCGAGCGGACAGGCTCGAGCGAGTGCCGGGACTGGGACCCGCCGACGCCAGGGACGGGGGCGTCACGGGCTGCTCAAGACTCTCGTAGTTGGCGCGCATGAAGTGCTCCCGCTGGCCCAGCTTGTCCAGGTTTTCGGTGCTTACGCACATCGACAGCGGCCGCAGCTCAGCCGTGCTGCTTGAGTCTTCGTCCTCACTGTTGGCTTCGCTTTGCAGATCTGCAAGACAACGACTGCAGCGTGAAGCCAGCATTTCCACAAAGAGCGATAAGCATCGCAGTCAGAACGTTCATAGGCTGTAATGAAGAATGCTCAGTTACAACCCAAGAAAAAATCTCCGTTTCGCCCACAATCACAGCCCAGAGAGAATATGCATAAGTGCGCCGACCAATAACACTTACCTATTTTTATGACATAAAGCACTTCTTGTGTATTTCCGATAGATGTGGTAGTGCTTCTCATTTTAGTTCAATTAGAACAAAATGGTGATAACAGACATAGGCAAAAATATAACAACATTCTTTTCATGGGCAGACGAAGTACACCGAGGCACAGAGCAGTACTTCACCACAGCCCAGCACTCTACACAGAGACCAGCGGCTGAAGTTCAAGAAACAAACCGCTGCGCCTCTAAAACGAACGTCAAAGGCAGAGACCCACAGTTGTTCGAACAGCCTCGGTAGCCACCGTACACTAGATAACCAACTGAATTGCTCTGTTGTTGAGTTTTACCAAGGCGGCAATTTCTGCATGGCACCTGGCGCACATGCTCTGGGAGTGCAAGGCAATGTACACTAACCCCAACACTACATCGGTCAGGTGGGAGGCGGCCCTTCGCAGCTCCCTCCTGACCGACCAACTTTGGGCCGTCCAGCAGGCCCGCGGAGCGGCCGATAGGCTTGGCCTAACGGTCCCGACGTGGGAGACGCCCGCTGCGCGCTGACGCGCGCCTTGCAGGACCTCAATAAAGTTTCGCAACCAACCAACCAACCAACCTGGCGTACGTAGCAGACGAAAGTGTGCGAATCCCCGCTCTCATGTCATAGACGCAATTCGCAGCACAGCTATCAGTCGCACACCAGGCAAATAACAGCTCTCACTGTACAACAGGAGTTACCAATTGAAAAGCCTAGCCAGGGACACTTTGGTGACTGCCGGGGCCTAATCTGGTGCAAGCAAACAGAATGTACCGGAGGTCATCAATCAAGACTGCTCTACAAACCTGGGGTACTGTTGTATACACGTCGGTGCGGACGACGGCGGGGCAGGTCGGCCTCTGTGACCCTGAAACTGCCAACGGGCTCGGCACCGTTTCCGTCTTGAGGCACGGGGTAGAGGACACCACCGCTTCCCTCCGTGTCAGAATGCTCGTCCTCGGCATCGCCGTCTTCCATACGTACACTGCCGCTCGCTGCACTGCTCGAGTCCCCTTCCCGGGCACCTCCACACGGGAGCTGCTCTCGACCGCAATCAACCAATCAATCAAACAAGTGTCCAGAAGACCACATGCAAAAAGCGAAGCACTTGAGTATACATGAAAGCTTGCACGTCAAGATCGTACAATCTCTTTATACTTTTAAAATGAGCCAGAACGAAGAATCAAAGGATGTCCCTGTATAGAACCACCTTTATCACAGTATTAGACCCTAAGAAAATACCTGGGAGAGCTTAAAGGACTAGTATTAAATAGATGTCACTAACGTTTACATACTCATGGCATCACCAGGAGAATACATTGCAGCTTAATGATACTACCAACACAACAATTGATCATGCTTCTTTAAGAACTGCGGGCAGTTGTATCAAGAGAAATTGCACAAATAGATGATTTCGTTACAAAGCCAGATAGAAAAAGAGAGAAGAAGAGGAGTGAAGGCAGAGAGTTTAGCCAGACTTGGTCCAGTTCGCTACACTATATCATCATCATCATCGTCAGCTTGTTTCTATCTCTGCTACAGTACGAAGGCCCCTCCCAATGGTCTCAAATTTACCCTGTTTTGTGTGACCAGAGTCCAACTTTTTTTGTTTCTGTTTGAAACAATTTTCTTGTCCATCTACGTATGTAACTTAAAACTGAGGACTGCAGTCCAGAGTGGGCAGTGCAAAGTTTACAGCGAACTCATCAATTTAGGTTGGGTTTTCTAATTATGAAAAAAAATCTTGTTATTGATATTTTTTTGCTTTGCCTCTTTTAGTGTGAGGCTATGGTCCATGCAGCTTGAACTATGGTTCATTGGGGTTAAATGGTTCACCTAAGTATTATCGCCTGGCATTTCCATCTTCTTTATCGGTTCAAACACACTGTGAATAAGCTCCTTGCGGTGCTTAAATGTGTGCATATTAAAAACAACACCCAATTTGTACGAAAACGACCCAGCCTGCTTAATAATCGGTCAATATGCAAGCAGGGCAGAAACACTGTCTAACCTTTCATAGCCTTTAAGAACTCAAAGCCTATTCAACAAATTATTTTTATATATACTGATGCCATTTTCATGAACTATACTTTCTAAGAAATTTGAAACTGTAAAAATATTTTGCCCTTTATAAAAGTGCTACCAGTATGTGAACACAGCCTTAACGCAAAGCTACGCTACTTTTTCGGCATTTCAAATTCGACCTATCTGGGCTCCACAGCACTATATTTCTCATGCTGCTTTTCTTTTTCAAAGAGTACTGAATGCTAGAAATGGTCGGTTCCATCGTGAAGTAGGGAGTAGGCACCAACACCTTCTCATCGTTGGTACATGCACACAAAATTCACAACTTCAACAAGCCTTTACAACACTTCCACACCCATAATACACTTGCAAGCGAAAGTGCACAGACCGTGGGTTCCACGAACAGAATCACTCCAAAGTCTACACACAGCCCTTAATTTGTCTACAGTCTGCATTTGGGTCCTACAATGCACTTGCCCTTCTTAAGGCTGTGCAACTAGGTGGCCATACCGTTTGCCAGACTAACCACTGTCTGCGTAACTTTGCTCACAGGAGTAAGCGGCTCCAAGATGTTGAGAAGAACAGGCGAGCAGGTGCAAAGTAGTACCAGGGCGATATTCTCAGAGAATCACTGGGTACATATGACTACATTCTGTGGTGTTGTGGCGCCATCCGTGAGTAGGATGTGCACTGTGCATCGCGTAGTGCTGTGTGTTATCTATAGATGTCGTTGCTGACTGGCACACGTGACTGACATGTACCAATCCCGTGTGTACGCGTGTCTACCGTGTGTTGTGTGAATAAATGGCCACTGGTCGGCCGAGTTGTGTTTTGGGCTTTGGAGTTCTGGTACTTTCTCTTATGCTTCCGTGGTGTCGCTGAACACGGAGCACAGGGGCCGTGCAGGAACGCCACCCTGTCGCGTCCAGCCCTGCTGTGTCTCACACGGGTCCTCGTCGGCATCTTGCCGCCCCGATGCCGTCACAGCAACGACAGTACACATTGCACCGCTCTGAACTTGTTCACTGTGGTGCACACGAAGTTGACAAGTTGTGCAGCTCGAGGTAAGCAGGGCAGTCACAATGCAACACTATGTAGTAACGGAGAGTTGCCAACTGTACGCTGCATGTCTTACCCGCTTATATGCGCTCCAACCACGTAACTTTGGGCAGTTGTGAACTGCACATGAATCAGTTTCCTGTACGTATACTGTACCCAAGGTGCATAGACACAGCAGATGCACATAGCTGGTGTTCTGATGGTGCCTACAGCCAGGTATAACTTTAGAAAGCAATGGAATGTTTACTTCAAAGGCAGACGGGCACAAGCCCGCATAAATGCTTGCATACAATAGGCTGTTTCAGTAGTTTCTCTGTTGGAGACCATTGCATAGTATATGAGCACAATCAATTGTTTAGTCGAGTAATGCAATAAGCTCCATCACTTTAGTCATCAGGTGGGGTCTCTCCTACGTACTGACAGAACCTTGCACAAAGCTAGCACAAATCGACAAGAATCGGCAAATTCTTGAGCCAGCCTAGCATCATTTGAAACAAATAGCGCAGTGCCAAGGATGACATTGCTTTGTCACCGAGATGGGTAGTAAGGTGCAGCGCGTTATGAAACTGGGCCAGGCGGTGCCATCGAATCGAACAAACCCGTTCTAAGGCCGCAATCGCTTTTCCTAGATTTGATGTAACTTCTCATCAGGCCCATTGGCCAACGGCACTCCTGGTGCCATGCCAAGCTTGCAGTTTCTACACAGTGCCTGTTGCCCGTACATATACGTCAACATGCTTCGTGCTAAGTCACATGAAATCCTGCAAAAGCAGCATGTAGACGTATGTGCAAGAGTGATAACCTGAGATTATCGCCCTAGAAGTACCACGTAACTTGCACAGCATGCTCAGTCACGTGAGAAGACGAATTATCACTGTAATGGAACCAAAGAGCTTGTCTACAAAAAGAAGAGGGAAGCACCCATCACCAATAGCGGGTTGCCTTCACGGCGTAGCACTCTTTAGGCAAGGTCAAATCAAGACTCGTTTGCAAGATGCAAATGACCAGCTGAAGTACAAACCGCACACGCCAATTGGCCCAATGACGGCAGTCACCAGTGGGGGGATGTATTTCGAGACAGAAAAGATTTGATCTCCCATCGCTATAGCAACTGATACCTTAAAATAAAATTGCAATGATGAGCTGTGTGGCAAATGTAGTTCACTAGCAGTGGGAGAAAAGCATCACTTTCACGCGTGCCCAACAATTGGTCAGAAGGGCGCCCGCCTGTCACAGGACTCGAATTCCCAGTGAAGTGCCAATTGCTATAGAAATCGAAGATACAGTTGAGCCCGCTTATAACGAACCTGAGCGTGACGCGGCATCCGTTTGCTGCATCTAGATGTTCGTAGTAAATGAAACACAGCTTTTAAAAAAGTTGAGTGAAAACATAAAATTTTCTTGCCCCAAAAAGTCCGTGATGCACGTGTTTCAAAGAGCAGAAGCGATAAGGGCGGTCTCGAGTTCATTTAAAACGGCAGGGTGGTCACTCGCCGAGGCCCGTGACATAAGCTGCATGAGGCACTGGCTCCGAAGTTTTGTCGTTCTTGCAATCCCATTCCTTCAAATCGCTCTCAGTCACGTACTTCATTCACAATGCCCCAATTCCGTGCACAGTTCCACAGTGTGGGCATCATCATCAGCCGTAATTAAACCATCGCAACAGATGTCGCTCCCGCTCTCCCAAGTCGGAGTCGACAATGCGCTGCCACAAATCGCCCCCGCAATGGTCCTGTTCAGAAGCTTCAGGCTCGGCATCGGGCCCGACGTGGATGAAGTCGGCCTCACGAAAACAGTTTCACGCGCATGTAGCTGTCACCGCAGCCCACGAAATATTCACCTATCTCCAAAGCTGAATACCGGCACGTCTGAAGTGGCAAGTTGGCTGCTAGGTGGTCAACAGCTATGAGCAAGCGCTCCACAACGTGGCACCTAACGCAGGGATTACACTCAAGCCAAGCGGTCACACTTTCGACATTTTGTTGAGCGGCAGGAAAAAGCATGCTAGTCCTGCCGTCGGCCATCATGATCACACACGCACATCAAGAGCGAGCAAGACGCTCACACGCAATACACATGCCAGAGCGCGTGAAACAGCTCTGGGCCCGTTTCCAGTCAGAAAACGAAACTAATTCCAGCCAGCGTGGCGGGCGTTGCGGAGCGGTGGAGAAAGGCAAAGACATTTCCTTCCTCCGTGGACAAAGGGGTTGTGATCAAGAGAGGAGAGCAGACTTACGAGAGAAGGGCAAGGAGTTGTGATAAAGAGAGGGGAGGATGCGGCAAGACGGCGACCTTAAAAACCAAAACACACGGGAAGGAGGCAGGTTGGGTAGCTTGCTTGAAAGGTTCGCGAAACTCGCCCGTAAAAAAAACTTGGAAAGAGTGCCTACGCGCGCAGAAGTCAAAGCAAGGCCGCCTGGATCGGTGCATGCAGCGGTGTTAAAAAGAGTCGGCGGCCGTGGTCAAAAAATCGTTTTGTTGCACTGGCGGATTTGCGTGGCCTCACGAACTTCGATATTTCGCGATTCGTTCCGCGCTAATTAAAAGCCGTTCTCGCGCTTACGAACTCGCGCGGAAGGCTGCTGAGCCGAGTGCGAAGTGAGCGGGAACAAGTCCTCAACACAAAACAAATCGCGAATTATCAGAGTCGGTGGGGTAGCGTACGCGAGTGCACTAGACGCAGACTATCGGATACAGTCGGTGGCCGACGATGTTGGCAAATGGTCTGGTCACTCCAGGCCGGCGACGCCAACGACAGTACTAGCAATGAAAAACAGGGTAGATAGCCGACCGGTCTTCGAAAGATCGGTGGCAGTGTGAAAACACGGGCCTCGTCTGGCGATGCGGGGTGCTCAGAGTGGTATGAGGGACAAAGGACGGAGGGGTGCGTAACAAAAAGCAGTCAGGACATGGAGGAAGGAAACAGCTTTCCTTCCTCTATGGGTCAGGAAGAGCGGCAACTAGAAGGTCGCGGAGGTAGGGTCGGCGTTTGGGCACCTGTATGGGCACCTCGCCGATGCCTGATCGGTGGTCGAAAGTAGTTTTCCGGGAAGTCGGCAGACCACTAACTCCGCTGTAACCGATCAGCGGCGCTCGGAGACGTTCGTTGTAAGTGCGATGTTGTGCCATTGAACCAATGTATATTTTCATGGTCACACGGATATTGTTCGCTTTAAGCGAAAGTTCGTTTTAAGTGGGGCCGTTATATGTGGGCTCGACTGTACTACAACCTGTTCTGCCTAGAAGTTGCATTGTCCCACTAACACCCGGTCACTGCATTCGGTGGAATGACAAGTACACGCCGTTGCTACTTCAGACGGTACATAGCACCTTGCTAATGTCCTCGCCTAAAAAGTATGTATATACCATGCATACTTTATGCCCCGGTTTCCTTGTAGACTACAAAACTAAGCATGCATCGGCAGCTCCTCTCAACATCGTGGAGCTGTTATTCAGCCTCAAACAGAGAAGGAGAGAAATATGAGAGAAGAATAAAAGGACAAACATGCTAAGAAGTCTGCCAGGAGAGCCGGAGTAGCACCCAAGCATCCGCAAAGCACCCATGCTACTGCAAAGCACTGCAGCATGAAGAGGGGAAAGAGAAGAAGCACATTATTTTAACATCTATGAAGGGTAGAAAGCAAATGCCAAAGAGTGCAAAGAAATGTACAACGCACACTACCCAAGTCGTGAAACTAAAAACCAAAACACAAATGCAGGCACAGTCAGGCCTCGGTATAGGCTCAAACCTTATTATAACGAAGTTGCATCTCACATAAAAAAAATAAGTTTGTTATATCTGTAAATTCGTTATAAAGGCATATAACACTATATCTACTGCAAGGCTATTCTTCATTTACTTTGTTATATACAGTGTTTCTTTATATCAGAGTTCGTTATATCGAGGTCTCAGTGCATTTTTGTCTAAGTCGACTACAGTTGTCGGTTCACGATCAATGATAATGCCTCAATGAAGGCTTTATTGAGGCCTGTTTATGCTACATTGTCGGCCTTCACCTACCCATGCTTCGGACCACCACGCAGCGTGAAATGCTTTTGTATATTTATATAACGAGTTTTCTAGCTATATTTTCCAAGTTTTCAGGACAGCTTTTAGGAGAACCAGACTCTTATTGAAACAAAATTTATCTGAGGCAACAGAATAAGTGAGTGGATAAAGATGACTTTTTAAAACTTATTCCAAGGTATACACAACTAATACAGTAGATGTTGCCAGAAAAGAAAAGTGTCACCGCAGGGCTACTGCACGCGCAGGTTGAGCAAAAGCGCTGTTTTTAGGTCAGACCTCCTCTTAGGGAATAGAAGGTATGCTAGTGCGTCTCCATTTTGTTCATTTGTTGTAGATATGGTCCTTCCACACCGGACTACTCTGAACTGTTCGATGTTCTATAACTAACCTAGCTCTACCTTTAGTGCATCACTAACAGGTTGTCCAAAGTTAGGTGCTTGGCGGGCCACCAGTAAATTAGCGTTAAGGCTTTGAAGTTACTGGCAGGCAGGTAATAGCAAGTCGGCCGATACCTCTTTGCCGTTCTCAAAGATTGCGCGAGCAGCGTCGAAGCGCTGGGCCCAGCGACCTCGCGGCTGCGGAACAGGTGGTGGCGCTACAGAAGGCGGCTTGCTGTTGGCTGGCTGCTGCTGCTCCATCATCTGCAACATTTGCATCATCATCAGCTTCATCACCATCATCATCACGTGTTTCCATTCAAACAGGTCATAGCAAGTTCTTGCAGGAGAACAAACCCGGGCTGATGCCAATGTATGCGCGGGAGCACGACTGGATGGAGACTGCACGACGAAGTTCCAGTTATAACAGCGGGTAACCTACATTGGCCAACATCGTTTAGACAAAAGTAGCCATGAATTGGCCACTACTAGCCTAAGCTAGCTATCATTTAGTTTAATGCGTTTCCATCAGAAGGTAGACTGTCAAAAAGTGGGCGAGCTTGCATAAAGCCCGCCATAGTTGGAAAATGTTATTAGTTCTGCTGGCACATGCAAGCTAGTACTGGCTATCAAGGATACACAACTATTGCTTCGTAGAGAAGTGTTTAAGAAATTAAAAGTAATATTCGTACATTTCTCTCAAATGTACTGCTAAATTAATGCCAAGTTTAATTAATGCCATATAAGGCAGATGAAATATCTTGATGATCAACCAGTGCAACAGCTAGACAATGGCTATCTTTTATGGTATTGAAATCGTACGTAAGTACAGAGATCAATGTACACGTGACACAGGTAATGTATTTCATATATATATATGCACATAAATGGACAATTACAAGCTCTATACCTTTAATGCTTATTCACACCGAAGGCGGCGTGGCGAAGCGTGATTTCTGAAGTGGCGAGGTGGCGAATGCGTGAACCTGTTCAGACCGCATGCCTTCTTCGTCTGGCCGCACGGCAGAAGATGCGGGCATCTTGCGATTGTGCGCACGTGTCGCTATGACGTGTCAGTGCTTCTCTCATTTGTACACCCGGGCCACCACCGCACCTCCGCTGCGTGGCGTTCCGATTGGCTGCGGCAAAGCGTCGAGCCTCGGCAGGCGGCAAAAAATTGCTCCGAGAGCAATCAGCCTTGCCGCCTGGCTTTTCTCCCGCTTTTGCCACCTGGAGAGGAGGTTTTTTTCGTTTCCTGCGTTGCCGCCTCGCCGCTTTGGCCGCCCCGCCTTCGATGTGAACGAGCCTTTAAACAAGACAAAACTGTTCACGCCAGATTTCAGTCACATGCATGTGTTGTTGGCATAAGCTTGTGACAACGTTACTTGTGTATTTTTTCCACCTGAAAGTTCTAACTGCGGTGTTTATATCAGCCGCATGTTTGCAGTAAAGCAGCAGTTGACAACAAGGTGCTTGTGATGGCATTTTTTTGCCTTTTTGCCGTGATGTAGCTGTTGCACCTGTTAACCATGGTTTATTGTGACAGAAGTTCTACTGCAATCTCAGCTGCTCAATACCTATGCAGATACAGTACATTTTCGAAATAGAGCACAGAAAGAAGACGACAAGAAAATCATTGGCGGCACCTGTTTCTTGGCCCACGAGGGCAGGGGCCCCAGCGAGAATCGGTACTCAGGAGACGACTCCTCCTGAGGGCTGCCAGACACCAACGGTCGTGCCACGGCCACAGAGGACGACCGCCTGCACGCAGAGAGCCTCAAATGCCTCACAAGAACATCATCTAAGAACCAAATAAACAACAGATGGGCTCCCCAGTCGCCAGGAATATCTAAGCACTTGAAATTTCAAGTACACTCGTACCTCGAAATAACGAAGTATCAGTTACAACAAAGTAAATGAAGAATATCCTTGCAATCTACAGAATGCTAGGAATACCCTTATATAAAAAGTTTTCCGATGTAACGAACTTAATATTGTATTCGATGCAACTCCGTTATAATGAGGTTTGAGTGCACAATGTGAATAGTCCACATTTGTTCATTTGAGTTTGATCTGACAATTCACTGTTCAAAGTTCCCAAACATTCATTTCTTTACGAGAATATGTAAGAAAAATGGAGGCACTTTTTAGAGTCCCAAGGGAGGTGCAATAGTGGGCTGTTGTACTGTACCAAATAATTCTGTTCCGTAGAAGCTAAGGGTTATTTTCTAAGGTCACCACCTCCTGAGCATACAAAGTGTTGTGCAGCATTCTATGGGACTGTGTATATAGATATTATTAGTACTAAATAGATATTAGAAATTATGAGGGTATATAGAAATTATAACACAATAGTTGTTTTCAAAATGAGGACATAACTGCTCAAGTTTACATTTGATTACCCTTCACTAACATTCTCTAGCATATAACATGCACGAAGTATACAGCAACTGCAAAGCTAAATTCGAAGAGTGCTTACATGCAAGTTTAGCTGCGAAATTTAGTCTCGTGCCACTGCTTCACAGTAACGCAAGAAAGGCTCCTTCACAAAAACATGCAGGGAACTTTTTTTCGTTGTTGTTTGTTTACCTATGACCAGACGTACACAGGGACAGGTTACACACATATGGTAATTGAGCCGATTCCCCATTTGTTGCAGAGCTCTACTAGAAGAAATTCAATTTTACTGCTGATGCCACAGTCTTTTTTAACTTCAGCTTATGAGTACATTATTCAATCGAGCCAAAATGCCTGCCCCTGTCATTTTGTGCAGGACTGCTTGGTGACATGAATAAAACCACAAGCCTCCGATTAAGTGCCATGCGTTAAGACGAGCCAGAAACGGTGCCAGAAAGAGACATTACTTCAAAGCACAGTGGCTCGGCATATTGTAGCTAGCTGTAGCGAACTCTCCTTGCAAGTAATTGGAACTAGCAAAATTAAAATTTTGAGCAATAACATGCATTTCTAGATTTCTGTACTTGCGAGCTCATTTTTTCAATCCTCAAAATAATGTGAACGAAATACTGGCACTGGTGTTCTAGAGAGCTTGAAATCCGTGCTATCCACCTGGACCATTAACATGATTGTGATAGCAGCATTCAATCTTTGCTTGTGTATCAACATCAATGCCACCAGCCTGCTTTTGCTAGGATACCTGTCCTTCGGAGCCAGACTTGCTTTGAGAAGACTGTGAGGAGCTGGTCATAGCTGACTACAGAGGATGTTGCTACAAGCATTACTAAAGCCAGGACTGGAAGAGTATTTCGCAGTACAGAGCAACCAAGACACCGAGGGACACCTAAATGCCCGCAGTACAATGCCGTAAACCCCTTGATCAACCCTATCAACAGCGTTATTCCTCGTAATATAACGATGAGAAAACACTCCTGGCACTGCTATAGTAACCTTCGTGCATATCTGAACAAAAGGCACTGAACGGCTGCTGCGAGCCCTGAAAACTGCTGTCTTCGTTTTTTGAGATTGCCGAGGTGATCGTGGACAGTGGCCTATATTGCTGACAAGTCAAGAAGGAACCAAAATTAGCCCGAGTCAGTCTCTGGCTATATAAGCAGTTGCCATGTCATGACAGTGACTGTCCGCTTTTGTGGTGCAAGTTAAAGCTGCAAACAAGCCATTATTTTCCAAAAGCTCAAAAAGACTGCTCAGCGATGTTAAATTCTGTCCAGTTGCCCAAGATATTCAGATGGTATATGTAATGCACCAAAATGAGACAGTTAGAAACATGACATTGTAGAATATTTCATGTACATTCAAAAAGACACTAACTGGAAACATTGATAAAGTACTCTTTCAAAGTCTCCATTTTCAGTATTCATGAAATAATTGACGAATTACTACAACACAAAATATAAGTTAGAGCTTCATTTTTCTAGTTCTTTTGATCAATCCGAGGGGGATTATGTTCATTGGCATTTGCCCTTTAAGTGGAGCAGCAACATATGGTCAACTTAGCCGTTTGTCCCAACCAGCCTTAGCGTCTACAGCACTCAAGAATCTTTCAATTCCGTATTTACTCCCTTAATGAATGCACTCTCATAATAAAATACATCTCACAACTCAGTCGTCATAATTTGAATTTTTTTCTCCCACTTAATATACTCCCCACCTACATTCATCTGCTGCAGTCTCGCAAAAGCGACACATGGCGCATCCTAGCCCGCTGGATCTTTCCCGTTTTTTATCATGCCAACTTCCAATGGCCACCTTGGCTCGCTACCCCATTCCCCCTTGCCCACTGCCGCACGCAGTTTTGACTTTCTTTTGATCTGTGCATGGCACGTCCCCTGATGTTTTTTAATTATCCGTACGCCACAGTGTGCACGAACGGTGCGAGTGTAGACACATCATAGCTGACAAGCACACAGCTAGCAAAGGTCACGAAACTGCCCGTGCCAACCAACGGTCACGTCCTGCAAACACGAAACATTAGAGACCAACCACACGCACGCGATTTTCAAGCAACCACAACAAAATTTGCTGCCACGAAGAGAAATTCGTGGCCATCGCGTCACAGGTTTCTGGAAAACCAGTGAACATTGTTTGTCATCCAGAAAACAGCATGATGATTTTGGAAAATATAATAGCACCCCTGCTTCTCGCTCCAGTCGCGATTCCCTTTTCATGCTTGTTATCAGGGCGTACTTTAAAGAACACTAGGTACAGGCTACCTTTTCTACAGTCACTTCTCATGTGGACAGCGAGGCGGCGGCGGTATATTCGGCGCTAATCTTGTTATCAACGGTTTGTTTTGACACTTTGGTGGTAGCTTGCTGCAATGTTGGTTACTTGCTGCAATGTCAATGGCGGTGATACGGTCATCTTGCAAGGTTGTCACGAAGTTGGCAAAGTGTGTCATAGCACATGCTTCTGGGCGCCCCTCAAGATCACACCAGATACCATTATTGCTGTTAAATGATTGCGACAAAGGAAAGCCGCAAAACATTCATATGGAGTGCACAGGCGGTGCGAGGGCACCTTGCATAAGATGGCGCCATCATCCGTCGAAGATTAGTGAAGTGCAACAAAAAAGTTGTTTGCAAACAGTGTATGCGTAGGTCTATTGCAAAAGGCTAAGCAACCTGATCATGCTCATGCCAAAATGACAAAATCCAGGGCGAAATTCCTAGATTGGCCATGGCAAAAATTTATTATATGAAGGATGTCTCTGGCTGTTTCTTTGTTACATAGAGTTTGCAAGTACATGTGCTTTGATGGAGTAATGACGGGTATAAAAAAACTTTGAGGAATTCGTTATATAGAGGTTCGTTATAAGCAAGTTTAATAGTATAAGGTATCTCTTTCTATATTTTTTTCACTCAAGCCTCTATTTGTATACAGCACTGTTACCTATATCTGCAATGGCTTTTGCCAACAGCCTACCTAGTGCCATTTTACAGCAGCCACTGGTACTACGTCAAGACTGTACCAATGACCTGTTCATCACACGCAGTCTCTTCTCTACACTTCAAAACCTTCTGGCAGAAGTTATTTTTGTTTTGTTTTTACAAATGTTTACCGACTATATTGCTACCAGCCAGTGCTGTTACCAAAAGCCCTCAGGTAAGTTGTACAGCTGAAATATACAAACCTTGGCATGATGAAATTTATCAATTACCAAGTATAGTGCTGAACGTGTGACTTCATTGCATTGAACATGGACTAAAACATGAAACTACCATTACGGTTTGAATGTATTATGTAAAATACAAGGACAAGAAAGTGTACACCACAAGCGCTTACTCACGCCTACGCCGAAATGTACCAGTACCAACTCACTTGCCTCTCCCTTTTGCTTCACAGAACTGCCATTTGGGCTCACTGAAGTCTCTGTGCAACGCTAAGTGTCGTGTCCAAACAATCGAGAGGAAAAATTTTGGCTGGATTATGTTCCTCAAAATTCTGCATTAACGATTACCTGTTAAGCACAGTAACTACGTTGATGCAGGTGTGTAGAAATTTCCGCTTTGCCTCAAACTATTGGTGACCGGAATGCACTTACAATTAAGTTTTATACTAAAGCCACAATTACATCTCTCGCTTAATTGCAATGCTAAGAATGATATTGCATAATTTATAGGGTGTTTTACAGATTTTTCCCTTGCAGTAAGCTTACTACTCTTTGTGAGCGGACATATTAAAAAAAGATGTGTGTTTCCAAGTTGCTGAAATTCCCCACAGAAATTGCATCGTCCAATTCCAGTATCGATAAACAAACAAAGGAAACTTGTCAAGCCGAGTGTTGGTGAGGCTGCCAGTAGCGCGACACGAGAGATGCGCAGAAATGCTACAAGAAGCGTAAAATGAGTTACCGTTAGTGAACATTACTATGCACACTGTGGATCGAGCATGCAAGGCAGGTGTCTCTGCTTCGCAAGATCGTGTAATTGACACCAGATACGGCGCCAACGGTTTATGACATCAAGCGGAATGCGGCACTCGTCTCCGGGAAGCCAACAACCGAGCGGGAAGTGCCAGGAAGTTAGCGTCCGAAGAGCAGCCGTGCCCACAAGTTATGCGCTACAGCGGCGGTCTGCACTCACGGGTCTCGCTCGGCCTCCAGGGCAGCGCTGCACGAGAAAGAGCGGGAGGTGCTCAGATGTATTGTTCCTTTCCTGCAGTCATTACGAGCTTTTTTTTGCCACTGTGTCAAGCATATTATGAATCACTGTTCACTAAAACACTAACGAAATACAGTGACCGAATATATAGTCTACCTGGAGCTCTGGGGGGAAGTGAGAGCATACAGTGCCGGCAGAGTTAAACACAACATCAAGGACTTTAGTATGACTACTGGTATTCCCAATTAGTTCAAGATAACCCCAGTGTTACAACGAATCTGGCTGTCAGGGTAATTTTAGCTCCGATAAATGTGTTTCGGTTGAAACCAGTCCAATATGACGTCAACTGCACATGAAAAACAAAGTATGTGTATTGCTTAGCCCTGAATTATCGTATTCCGATCCCTGTGCACTGTACACTGCTACACAGAAAAAGTCTGGCTCTCCGAGTGCTAAGCACGCTTCCACACGCAACTTTTAGAACCTTATTTTATTACAGCTGTTAAGATAGAAGTTGTCCCTGAATGGCACCAATTTATACATCTGGCCATGCACAATTGATTTGAAAATCCAAAATCACAGTCGAATTCACAGATAGGGCTAGTGACAGTTTCAATTAAAGACATCAATCAAATACAACAATTTAAATTCCTATTTCAACGGTTTCAAATACCTGCACACCCTTAAAACACTTATGTTTTTAACTTCAGAGTAGAACATATTTATGTAGAGTAGGTTGACAGGCAATGCAGAACGTTGCTCAAGCCGTGTGCCTTACACTGCCAGGGAAGTGTTGCTTTGCTGCATTTCTTCGTAAGAACTAACAATGTTCCCGTGTTCACTGTACTTTTGTTAAAAGAATTTGCATATGAAGGCCTACTAGCTCAACAGAGAAAAGCGTGAAAGGTGCATCAAGAACGACACTTTTTAAATGCAGAGTGGCAATTAATTGTTACTATAGTAAAGCAGTACAGGCATGACCGGGGCCACTTGGATGCAAGCTGTGCCCCGCGTCCGAGAGTGGAAATTTTTTCCTTTGGCACGTACCTTGCATCCTGCCAAGTGGTGGGCAAGGGTACACCGGCCTGGTTGCTAGAAATCACCTGGCTCACTTCTGGGGGCAGCCGCCAGACGAAGATGCAACTGCGAAGAAATAGGCAGTGGCCACCTCGTCAGGTCTAGCCGCCTCGAGCCAGAGACAAAGCGGAGGCGACAAGCAGACGCACCTGTCACCCGAGACCGAGATGAGGTGCCGGCCGTCGTGACTGAACCTCAGCCCGGTCACCAGCTCCGAGTGGCCCAGCATGGAGGCCAGGCACTCGCCCGTGCTGTACTCGTACAGTGCCAATGTCTTGTCCGTGCAGCTGGTCGCCAGGTATGTGCCTGTCGGATCCAAAGCCACCTGCCACGAGAATCGTTGTTTAACATGGCCTTACCAGTAAGCACTGGTACCAGGAAATGTGCGCCAACATGGTGATCTAACCAACATTAAACATAAAACCAGTTTCACTCTCTCTTTCACTATTTACTTTTAATTCCTAAGAATGAAAATTCTCATTAACTGGTTTGTCTATAATTGCAGGATCATACAACATAAATAAAACTGAGAAACAGAAAAAAAGATCAATGTTACATATAAAGAGCAGGAAAATTAAATATAAACAACAGAAAAAAAAAGAAGCATTTTTAAAGGAATGTTGTATAAAGCTATGTTTAGCATGTCACTAGTTAAGTATGTAATTCATCTGACAATATCGTCGATAAAAAGTTAGTTCAATAAATGTATTGTATCATTTGGTTCAACCACCTCTGCTGTGTCCATGTGTTCCGAGAGCGTGGCTCATTTCGGGACCCCAGAAGTGCTGCAATTCCAGCAATACTTCGCTGAATGACAGCACAGCTGATAGATAGCATGGCACACTCTGAAAACCGAGCCTTAAGCTTAGGCCTTCCAAGTCACTTCAGTAACAGAAGACCCTAATTTTCTCTGTTCCAAACATCGACTGCACGAAAGAAGCAGCAATGTACCTTGATCAGCGTGCCCTCCTCGGCTGGACTACCACGGAAGCAGCGCGTGTTCTTTCCCGAGGCCAGCGCGTAGACTCGAACCTGCCTGTCCTGGCAGGCGGCCAGCACGTGCTCTTGCGAACTATCCACCTCCATGTCGTAAAGCGTGCTTTTGCCCACCACATGGTGTTTCCGCGAAAACACTGGCGGGCCTTGTCCCTGCATTAGTAGGGCAATTAGGGAGGACACTTTTCAGATGCACTACGGAACAATCTCTTTGAGCAGAGCCTCAAGAGACTGGAAAGATCTGTTCTGGTTAAAAGGAGTTTCGTTAACTGAGCGAAGCAGCGTCGCACTTTATCGTACATTGTTTGTTAGATATGCTAAGCATCCAGCAGTGAACGAATCGGCAAGTTTTCCCAATGGCATAGGATGCGGTAAACAGCTACATCAGAGCCTCATCTATAGTATTTTAAAATACGTGGGACGAAAATACTGTAAAAAACAGCTGAGACTGATCCAGCAACCTTGAATGTCACTGGGTGTACTGTTTATTAAATATGGCGTTTTTTGATAGAAAGAAGGTGAAGCTAGAATATATTTCAAATTGTTCTTCTTAGGGGAAAAATTGTTGAGATATTCCGTGATCTCGTTCGAGGATAGTAAAAAGAATTTTGGTAATGATTAACGACTTTTTTTTTTTTTACATTCACCTATTGCAAAACCTACGAACTAAAAGGTTGTTGCTCAGGTTAAGCAGTAATCCCATTCAAGTTGTTTCGTTTACTCAGATTCCACTTTTGTATGGTCATACACCTAGAACATTTTATAACAAGACTAGTGTCAACAAGACTTTCTAAGACCAAACCGAACGTGAATTGATCAAGCAGTGTCACGCACGAATCAAATACTGAATAAATAACATCCACAGTCAAATGTAAAATGTACAAAAGGGCCCTCACATTCTGTATATAGACAATGTTAGTAATATTATGCCCTTACAGCACATGTTACAAATATTTGCTTGTTAAAAATACAAATAGAGCACTAGAAGCCAAAAAACACTTCTATTACTTTTTAACGACTAATCGGTAATCACAAACGACAGTGGTTTAGACAAAAACTCTGCTTCCCGAGAGAACTGGTGCACTCCGCATTGAAGTGACCGTGTTTTTCATGTTTACACGGTCGCTGAAGTAAAATTTATTGCAGTTTCGCTTGAATTTTATACTTGACCATGCATAGTTGGCAACTTTAATATGTTGTTTGTCAATGAAAAATATTCAGACTATTCAAAGAATATCAGGTTCCCAAGTTTTGGCCACCCAAACCAAAGGGCACCCATGAGACGCACGTACCTGTTGCGCCTTACGGAACACTATCGACTTGTCGGCACCGCAGGAGATCATCTGCAGTGTGCCCGGCGGAGAGTCCCGCACAATCGCACGGCTGTGATGGAGGAAGAGTGGTCATCCAGGGTCTGCTGGAAGGCATACTCCTGTTCCACGTCGAAGAGATGCACAAAGCGGTCGCGGCTGCCCGAGGCCAGCAGCCTGCCACTCTCTTCCGCAGGCCCCGAGTACTCGAGGCAGAGCACTTCCGAGTCGTGCGCCTCGATCTTGCAGACCTCCTGGGCACCTGTCCTCTGCAGCTGGTGAATGCTGCGCGTGGTGGATGTATAAACAACACGTCATCTGTTGCCCTGACAATACTGAAGAAATTGTGCATTGTACGGCACATGTGGGAGATGTAGGAAATGTGCCGTTTATTATCCTGCACATACTTAACATATCAGAAATGTACAGTCATATCTAGCACATTGAGAATGCATATATGCATATCTGACGTATCACAAATGTACCTCCTCTTATCCAGCGTATAATGTATCAGATAGATTTCAGCTATCAGCCTGTGAATATTTAACATATTAAATATTTATCATCTATCATTACGTGCATATTTCACGTATTGGAAAAGTATAACGTATTGGCGGCCTGCACATATGGAATGCATTGGCTATTGTCATGGGCGCATTAAAAATCTACCAAGAATGTCTTTTCTACCGTCCTGAGCATGCAAAGCAAATTGGGAACGTATAGGCTATCATTCTGCAAATATTGAAGAGATTGTACCATGTATTGACATGCGCTTACCAAACGAGTTTGGAATGTGTCGTCGGCAGTGGCCTGGTGTTCGAGTTGAACATATGTAAGGCCTAATATGTCTATTCACGTACCCACAAACAGTAGCCCGTCCCCACAATTCTATTACGCACCTTTGTTTAGGCTGCATGTTACAATAAAATACAAAACCAAGTTCGTATCCATGGCAACAGCCCAATCGAGAGTTGATGACAGAATACACTTCTATCAAAACTATGACGTACGTCGACTCTTGTTAATTCAAACACGAAGGGGTTTCTGAATTTTGTTTGAATCATCAAGAAGTTTGAATTGTCAGAAGTTCTCAGATAGATGACTCTGGGTCAGGTGACACATTAAGATCAGGCATTGATTTCATCACATTTAAAAATTTTAGGTGTTTTTAAGCCCTAACTGCACGCAGTAAACAGAAAGCAGAGGTGTAAAGTCCACAATTTATTGGCCATTTACTGCTGATCAGACCTTTCAAAGAAATCGTGAATCGCCAACTGTTTTATTGCTATAGGTATGTGCCTTCAGCACAAAGCTCTCTACATCAGTTGAGAAGCACACGCATGGTGCTTCGTTTCAAAATGTTTGAAACAAAGCACCATGCTTGTACTTTGTTTTGTTTCAAACATTTGTTTGGTAATAAAGTTGTTCAAATAATAAAGTTGTTTACTACTTGCAAAGCCTTTTTTCCTTGAAGGCCTTAGGTGCTTATTTTTCATTTTTAGACTGTTAGGATGATATAAGCATACAAATACAAATTTTTAAATAGTAGTGGGGAAGAAGCAGATATTTTCTGGTATGGACCTGAAAAAAGTATGAATCAACCAAATGATGTAGTTTAAATTAAGAGGCTTTTAAATACATTGAAAGAATAGAGGGCCAACCAAAAAATTCAATTTTTTTTAGTTAACCGACAGTATGAATTATCAGAGTTTAAATCATTGCGAGTCTACTACATTCATGGAGTAGCTGGCACTATGCTGCTAAGTAGCAGTAGTTACGGGTTTGAACCTGAACAATGGATTTCTAGCTAACAGTACACACATTAGTGGGTGCGCCGATTTATGCCACACAAATGTGCTGCTAAGCTAACAGACATGCGAATGCAAAGACATCCCCTTCAGCGTCGGTGTGATGTACGCACCAACTTCAGAGGCACGTCGTACACGGTGTGTTTCTTCAAATGGCTTGTGAAACAGTGCTCACATTGTACAGGCTTCCTGAGTGGACAACAAGCACTCATTTAACTTTATTGAACTGCATATCGCGGCAGAGGATCACTTTTCTGAAGATACCGGCATGTTCGACAGTCGTATGACGTGCCGCTCTCAACGTCAAGAATATAATTTTTTTTCTTAGCTTGAAACGAATAGTACAGTCAAAAACAATAAGGGCATCCATTTTGAGCTAAACATACAGTAGTTATTTTCATGCAAGAATCAAACTTGATTGATTGTGGAATACTTTAGGATACCTAATTGCAAGCTTATTACAATTAATTACTGAAACTCACATGAAGCACCGTATTATCTCATTTTCTTTCTGGGATATAATGTTGAATTCCCTGAAATTATGTTCTATGAGCTAAATGAATTTTCAGACAGAGCATCATAACTTTCACCAGAAGAAGATACAACCCATTCAGTGGCTTTGTGTACAACAATACTTATCAAATCTAGAGGTTTGTCATGCACTGTGCATCACTTCAATCGGTTTGAAACGGGGTGTGCACTTACATGCACGCTTCTCAAGTTGACAGCTCGCGCTCATTTAACTACACTGTACTGTGTATACACTAAAACCTCACTATAACAAAGTTGAATCTATCTCGAAAATAAGTTTCCTATATACGAAAATTCATTATAAAGGATTGTTACCAACACTATAGCTATTGCAAGACTATTTTTCCTTTACTTTGTTATAACCGGTATTTATTTATATCTGGGTTCGTTATATCGAGGTTTAAGTGTAGCTGCAGTGTATGACTCTGCTGAAGACGCTGCTGTGCTCGACGAGCTGTCCAGCGTGCCCCGCTTCGACAGCCACATCTTTTCTCTCCCTTTCTCTCTCTTTCTGTTTGCTCGGAATGCACATATGTCATAACCAATCGCCCATGCGTTTCAAGCCTGAGAGTTCATTACTTTTATACAAAAATAGAACATGAATGCCTTTAGAAGAAATAGGTATTAAATTTTATTTTGATTACTATTAATTACTAAAAAGCATAAATAAATATGTAATGCAAATGTGTTCTGCAGAGACCAGCTAGGTGGCAGAACATTTAAGAGTTTGTGGCACAAATTCCCCCTGCGAGACAACCACCCACTTTTGGCACGAATTCGCTCTTGCGCTGCCATTTGCTAGCTTCATGGTTAGCTCAATTGGTAGAGCAACCGCCTCAGGAAAGGTGTTGGTTCCGGGTTCGATCCCCGGACCAGGATGAATTTTTCGGCAACTAAGAAGCTTTTCTTTCCGAGAAATCCGTATGAATTTCCTAGAGACTTCGTGCCACAAACAAAGTGGTTGTCTATTTTCCTTTTTTTTTTTTTTAACAAATAAACATATTACCACCTTCTCTATCTTGCAATAGAATATCGAGTACTTCGAAATTAAGTTGTGTAAATTTGACACATTCACGGACAATTCATCATATTTTCGGACCTGAAGGTAATAGAGACTTTTAGCTTGTACGTACACTTCTTTACGTTAACGTGTTACCGGATACCGATTTGCGTTTACTGTCTTACTGGGATGCCCATCTTTCAATGTTTTAGATCCTCATACGTTAATGCTCACACACGTACGTAAATGCGTGTACCTTTACATTTTTGCAAACAATAGATTGTGATGCTAACTCCATTTAACTTACATAGAATTGAATCAACATTGCGGCAAAATCACAAGACGTCTTTTTATCTTGTATAGTATCATCTTATGCGCAAAAAAGTGAAAAATACCAGGTTACTGCAACGATAGTGTCAACATCTTGTGACACTTCGTGCAACCACAGTCATGAACACATTGACTTACGCGTAATGTTTTTGAGGTGAAAATTAATAAAAAGGTAACTCATTTGTAATAACCCCGCTGCACGGTTTTTGCACCAGACATACAATGCATGAAGTTTCTGCAATAACAGTTTTGTGATTACCTGGTTCACTATGGCCCCGCTAGATGGCGACAGCGATCTACTTTGTTGGGGGCTCGCACAATTACGGAGTCTATGTTCTAGGCAATTCTAGCTTTGGTAATCCAGCTGAAACATTGTAATCGCTATTGGCACTTGCACTTTGGCTTATTTTAACTAGATGGCTCGAGTCTATGCAGGGTGCGTACCGAGAGTTCCTACAAACGAGGGTGGATTTGAGAGATAAGGCGAAAACATAAAGTTTAAAGCCTATCCGGTGGGTAGTTTACGTTACGTAAAGGTTTAAGTTCCGTAAAGACACGCACATGCGCAGATTATATCCGGTATACGATAACATGGTAACGTAAAGAAGTATGCGTACAAGCTAAAAGCCCCTAATACGCCAAATCTCATGTTGTCAGAGTGCCTGGGGTACACAAAGTTGCGTCATATTGAATTGACTACTGCCTAAGCGACTACTGCCTAAGCAAGACTAAAGTCCCTAGATTTCTTTCCTCTTCCTTGTTAAGTGCCAACAAGACAACCATTGAGGTGCCGCTGACGAATCACATTGGTTAACACTCATTTACAGTGGGCATGTCCTTCTTAACGCGTTTCCAGCATCTGGTGAAATGTGTCGCCAGTCACTAATGATGGTAATCTAGTGGGACGAGAAAGGCGTGTAGAGTTCGCATATAGTCAGATGAAAGCCACATGGCTAATGCACTTAGATGTAGGCGGCTTTGTAAGTTTTCTGAGTTATGAGGAACATGGTGGCAGTTGTCAGTACTTAGACCTAAAGGGAAAAATGTAGGAACATTAGGCAAGACTAACAGCACCTGCTGCGATGCACAGACCGGTGAATTTTCCTTAGCAACAGTATATAAACAGCACAATGGGACCGACTAAACTGTCACCTTACTATTCATAATACCATGTGGGAGCTAAATGTCAATGTTCACACAGAAAAGCACAACCAACGTACCGAATGTTGCCCGTTCGGTCACCCGAGGCTAGCTGCTTCCCGTTTGGACTGATGCAGAGGCAGCGCACACCGTTCTTGCCGTCGTACGTTGTGTCCACCTTGTCACTGCTGCCGCCTGCATAATGTAACTGCTCACATCCTGGTTTCATCCCAAAGCCGCCCATCAAAGGCATGCAGTAAGCAGCCAAGGTAAAGAAAAAAAAATGCTCGCTGTTCGAATCCTGTAAAAAGGTCGTTCGAACTGCTCCTTGGACTGCTACACTCTTACCTTGCACATCGGCATCACAGATGAAGGTCAGGTTCGGGTCCATGTACAGGATACTGAGAAGCTCCTGGGTGAAGGCACATAAATTTGAGGAACGTCACCTAACAGGTACGAGGTAACGACGGTACTTACGGGACAGTAGATGTTGCGACTACCAGCTGTCCCTCGTTCCAGATTCCACACTCGGATCGTGTCGTCACTCGAACAGGTAAGAAATGTGCCTGCCGGCAGCAGATCTCCATTGGCCGGGTAGTTCTGTGTAGCATCATCAATTAAATTTTCACCAGTGACTCTCGGAAAGCCTATGCAACACACAAAATCAAGTACCACCATGCTAAGCCAAGACAACGTAACAGAACTCAAAAGCAAGTTAGAATGAGGTAACATATCATTGAATATAGATTGGAACACGATACTGATATGCATTAAAAAACGCAAAAGGAGGTACGGAAACAGACGTAGAGCTACGTATAACCAACTAGCCCTAGCCTTAGCTCTTCCAATCTATTAACAAATATTTTATGTGACATGTTACGGGTATCTGAGCAACCAAACATTCACATATTAAGCAACAAACTGCAACTGGACAGCGAGACCTATGAAGAGTGGTCCACACGATACAGACTACTGCATGAAACTCTGATGTCGTCAAATCCTCCTTGTTCAGTTATCAGACGTTAACATTCTGAAATAGAGCTCTTCGAGTGCACTTTGGTGACCGACGAGCAATAAAAAGTCGTTACAAAACAAGCCTCCAACTGATATAAAGTAAAGCTTGACTGTAATCCCATCTCTACTGTGCAGCATTCAGAATTGACACATTGCTCCAAGCTGCAAACTTCCATGCCCGACACCATCAGAATAGAAACTAGAACATTGGATATTTAAAAACTTCAACTGAAAGCCAACAAACAGCATTTAGTAATCTTCCCGTGAACAATTTCATCCACTGACCTCAATGCCCCAGATGCAAGCACTGTGGAAAAGGTACGAGTGACACTTCCCGATGCGCTTCAAGTCGCCAACATCCCAAACGAACAGACTGTGGTCGTTGTAGACACATGTCAGCCGCCGGTGCACCTCGTCGAAGCACACAGCGACTGTGTGGGGGTGACGGGGTGGTGTTGAAGCTCCGCCCACTACTACGGGGGGTGCACCACCAACACCCGTCGCGAGGGCCAGGTCCAGACCCAGCGGGTGTGGCCGTGGCAACGTTGCCAGAAGTGTAGCGTCGATGGACTGAAGCAGCGCACTACACCGTCCGCACAACCCACGAATAGGCAGTCCCGACCCACGGTGATACAGTTTGCACAGGTACTCTGCATAGTGGGAGCACGGAAAAAAAGAGCAACAACAAAATTTAGTACACAATGACAGATCACAGTTCCTCTAGCCCAATGCTCATTGCCTACTTCGCTGCTACTTACAATGGCAAAAAGACCATTTCGAACATCATTTACGAATTGATTGCTAGCTGAAAGGTGTAGTGTATACTATAACGAAATTCGAGATTTGAACTGAGGAGCGTGTGCACAAAGCCCAACCCAGAGTGCATAGCATATAGTCGGCCAGTCCTTACCAGAGTCGGTCATACATATTGGGTTTCGCCTGCTGGATGGATGCCCGAACACCTGCTCCACTATAATAGCATTGCTTCTATTTTTTTTAGCAGTCAGCAATCTAACAGGAAGCAAAATATGATGGCAGTTCAAGCAGCCTGATATCCAGCAGGAAAACAAAAAATGCGCGCTTGCTTGTAGTGATGTGTGGTCAAGGCATAGCGCGAGCTCAGAACAACACCAAAGGGACAAGAAGATGAGCGCTAACTTCCAACTGAGCTTCTCGTGCAGAGCGCGATATCATATATGGCAGACAGAAAAACCATGCGACAAAAAAAAAAAAAAAAATGAGCAATGCAACGAGGAGTAAGCCCAAGATTAGTAAAGCCCCAACCACCACGCTTCTAAGGCACACTGTGTATCTTGACAATGATGCTTCAGGCATACACTCCACGCACTGTTTGTGTTCGAATCCTCATCGATAGTAGCACGTTCCAATGTGTGTCACTAGTTGACAGCAAGCTAAAGTAAGGGAGCGCTCACCCTGAGTTCCACCCATTTGTCGAGCAGGCGGCGGCTATTGAACTCGCACAGCAGGCCCGACCGGGTTATGGCAAAGGTGCTTCCCTGGCAGTCGCCCCGGCCACACGCAACACCACAAAAGTAGTTGTTGCGTTGGTCCCCGAGAATGGCCGATCGACCCATGAGTGGCACAGGCTCGGGCTTGTACTGCGAGGAATGTAGGGTTAAGAAACTGCTGGCACAGAGCATCTCCTGGCACGCGCAGGAGCTTTCAACCGGTGCGTTACAAGGACGGCCACAGTTTTCCAACAGCAGAACGGCACGATAAAAACAGCCCGCAGATCAAATGTAAATTACCTTAGTTCCCCGGGAGTATTCCAGGTACCAGAACTTGACGTGGCGGTTGCCCACGGTGACAAAGTAATGCCCACCAGAGGAGAAGGACACCGCCTTGACCTGCAGAGGGGGAAGAAAATATTTTTTTCGTGCTTTTAAGTTTTTCACACCAAAAGCAAGATATCAAATATTATAAGGTATGCTGTGGTGGAGGCTTAAAAAGTATTGAACACTATTACTTGATGTTTTGTTTAATTAGGTGGACAAGAGACAAGGATCAGGGGAGAGAATAAACAGGGCGGCAGCCCAGTCATTGACACTATAACCTCAGCTGTTAGTATACAGCTAGGGCTATATTATCACAAGCACAAAATATGAAGCCCAATGCCATTACAAGAGAACCTCGCAGCCAGAAAAATAACTCCCTCGAGCGGCAATGCAGGGAGTTTTGCAACTTTTTGCTTGTTTCACTTTTCAGCCTCGATATCTGGGACTCCGTATTATATTCTGCCTGCTTCGGGCACTTTGACATGCACCTATAGGTGCACCATTGTGTTTCGCCCCCACAGCAGTAGCCACATTGGCTAAAAATTGAGCCCGCGCCCTTATGCATGCGAGTGCAACTCCACAGCTGCTACACTACTGCAACAGGTGTTTGGAAAGAGAAGCTCTGTCTAGACACATAAAGCGATGTGAACCGCCATGCCCCGCCCTTACCTTGGCCGACACTTTGTTTGAGGCCAGCTTGGTGTTGCTGCGCCAGTCCCACACGTTGACAACCATGTCATGCTGGGTGCCCACCGACACCACATATTTGAGATTAGGTGAGAATGCCTGCACAGGAGACAAGATTTCAAACAAAAATGTGAACTATGTCTAGAGATGGAGATCATTCGGGCAAATACAAACACATTCTCTGGCCATCTTTCTTGCCCGTTTCAAGACATTACAGCAAATGTGATGTGTGTTTCCCTATTCAACCCTTGCATAGTTGGTTCCTTCATTCATATACCCATGACATTTTTCAGTTTGTTCAACATTTATGTCTATGAGACTTATATTGGTGAGCTTTTCTGCCATGTCAATGAATTAGTGTGCCTACTTTGCCATATGCCCCCTACTAGCCTTGTGACTAAAGACACAGACACTTGTATGCTTTCCTTTTATGCAAAAATAGACGCACGATTCCTTTTGAGCTATATCGACAATGCTGGGATAACTTGGCATGACATACCACGCAGGTGACACCGAACTTGTGACCCGGAAACTCGGCGACCTGGGTCTTCTCGGCGACATCCCAGATGCGTACGTGCGGCTGATGCCCACACTGCAAGGACAATGGTCGGCCGTCAAACGAACGAGCGAGCCAGCTTAACCCTCCGAGTGTCAAATTTTTTTCAGATAAACTTTCGAAGATGGTCACATTACTTATTGCAGTTAATGAATGTACAAAACATGTGTAAAGTTGGTAAAAGTTTGTAAAAAAAAAACTAGGAACAGTTTCTTGCTGTAAGCGACTCAGGACTGCAAAACGACCAAATGTATTTCAGAGCGTGATATCCACTGAAACAGGGCTATACGCACAGTGCTTTATTACCGTTTGCACACAGAACACAAGTCTCCATTATCTTGGAACATTGAGTTATGTAGGCAAACACACGGCGTCTTCTCTGTCTGGGCAGAGTAAACTCAATAATCAAGGAGAAAAAAAAACAACTTGTTAGTGTTGGTGATATACAAGTTAAGAGAAGCGCCAATAAAGATCCAAAATCAACTTGAACCTCTCTTGCAAGGGAGAACTGATAAAGATAAAAATCAAGCTTTGTGCGCCTTCGTTGCAATCTTGTGGACAAACCGAAACTACGAAAGGACACTACTCATCGGCCATCGATGTTGCTGCAGGCCGCGCGACGTGGAGACACTAAAATCAGTTCCGTTCGTCTTCGCGAAAAGATACCACAATCATTCCCAATGCTTGTTGTAAGTCTAGTGTCAGCCCCTCTCAGTAAGTCTGCATTGTCGTTTCGGCACAAAATTCAAGCGGAGGGTCGGAAACATACCCGTACCGTGAAGGCATTGCGAGACCGAAAACTGTCACCGTACATTTACGGCAAAAATGCACACCGGGTCAAGGTGCCTTACCTCTCCAGTGGCCAGGTACTTGCCATCCCAGGAGAAGGCCAGGCACGTGATGGTTTTCTTGGATGCATTCAAGATATGCTGCTGGCGGTTCTTCCGTGTGTTGTACAAAACCAGCACACACCTGTATAGATGTAGCCATACAGTCGTTGCAAACGGACAGCTCCTCAACGAACAAAGCGCAGTGCCAACATGTCTGCCATCACCGTCATTGCCGAAGCAAAGTCTTTACAATATTTGAAAACAGTTAAGTTTTCAAAGTTACTATGTTTCTTGCCGTAAATGGTGGATCATTTAGACACTTTTTTATGTTACTATACTAGACCCCTTGACTATACCTTACAGCACCAGCAACCTTTCTAATGTTAAAAACAACTACTCTCAAGACCGAAAAGAGGGAAAAAAATTATTCGACCAAGGATCCAACAAGACGTCAACACGGATTAACAAGACCTGAGAAATAAATAGCACACCAAGACTGGGTTTCATCAGGGAATGCTAAGGAGGTCACTAGATAATAAGCACGGTTACATCAGGGCATAACATACGGCAACACGCAGAAAGTGAAAAAAAAATCATCACGTTTACAAGGTACCTGTAACACTGCAGACGTTGACAGCACTACTCAAACGTAACGGGAGGCATGCCAAAAAAATCCCCAGCTGCGCAAACTGGAGAAGATTAGCAGACACGTTTAAACAAAGTGTAGATGTCAAAGAAACGAGACACAGCAGGTTCTGGATCACTCACTCCTAAACCATTCAAATGTCAATCTAAGTTAACGGGTACATTGGGATTACGTGACAAAGTTGAATGTTATTACACTCAAAGAATAAAAAAAAAAGGCACGAGTGGGACTTTACAACAGGCAGTGCAACAAGTGTGCCTCTTGGTATGGTGTGGTATGAGGAACATTATTAAGGTCCTGAGGATCAGTCCAGGACTGATGCTGGCTGCTCCCACATCCGGACAGAGAGGCCAAGCCCCTCTGCCGCCGCACGGGCCCTCTGGACAGCCCTGAGTTGTTCCGCCAGCACATTACTGTGTAGCATTCACTGCCACCACTGTTCACCGTGAGAAGACGCACCGACCATTGTCTCTATGCACATTTTGGCAGGCTGTCCTTATGCCATAACCATGGAACTTGGAATGGCAGGCACTAGACACTAAATACGATGCTCTAAGAAGAAATAGAGTATTTATGCCACACAACGGTAACTGTCACCTGGCTTCCTCACGTTTCCTTTATTAAAAACCCGGTTTGCCCCACCTTCCTATCGAGCATGCTACGTCATGCCAACAGCGCACAAGCCGTTAGTGACTGGGAAGTGCCACGACCATGGTGATAATAAAAAAAAAAAGTACATGAGGTAAACGACCATTACACTAGTTGTGCAGGCAGAAATACTCCCCAAGTACTCCTTTTTTTTTCTTTTTTCAAATGCTCAGCAGCTAAAGACCATTTTATGAAAAGCTTCTTGATGAGACTTCATATTCAATGTCTATTTCTTTCAAATCATACATAAGGAACAAAAAATTCTCTCTAAGAGTTGAACGGGATAGAGAAATCTGGCCCCTCCCCTAGTGCGCCCTTCAACCGCTAAGTGCGTTTTATTAATATGTTTTGTTACACACACACACGCACACACACATTAGATTGTACCAGCGTGCACGTGCGAATGGTACATACAGATTTTTTATCTAAAGCAAGGTCCCATGGCCTCCACGATACACACCGCACGCTCGCTGTTTCGGAGGTCATAAAGATTCTTGCAATGCCTCACAGATGGCGGCACAGTATCTAGTGTTTCCTGTTTGCTTGATCAACACCTCTGGAAAGGCATGATATGTCTTCCAATAGATGGACACAGTTGTCCATTTCTAGAGCTGTTTGAAAGTTCCTGTGTGTTTTTAGCAGCGATGGCTGCACTATCTCGGCCTTTTTTGACGTAGTTTGATGGCCTCGCAAATGTGCCTACAAATCGCCGAATGAGCTCGTTTTCGTCGTGAGACCTGTCAAACAAAATGCATTACATAGCAATTATGTAGTTTTTTCCCAAAGCAGCTGCAAGTAACATCATGGCTTAGTGGTAAGACACCTGCTTGCCACGCGAACAGCCCAGGTTCGATCCTCAATGGTATTGAAAATTTTATTCTGTATTTGAATTGCCTCTTTCTCGATTTCTTGCTCACAACCAACGGTGCCGATGCCGACGGTGGAATTTCTGCGACACTATCTCTCTAACGCTATCGCGTTAAAATTGTCAGCCACTACAATGTCCTACATTTTACATTTGTGGGGTTACTTGCCTTGCAACAAGGTTTCAACGCACTGCTTACAAACAAGCTTGGTTTATTTTAAGTATCATCACTATCATTCTGCTTTACCGTCTCTCATTATTTCCGCAGAAGCTAAACTTGATGTCTCCGGGTGCTACGTCCTTCACAGAATCAACACTTTAGGCAGCGGCCGACCATCCATTACAACAGTGCGCCACTACTGAAGTGCAACGTTTCTAATATAGTTATCTTTCTCCCCCAATGGTAATCAAGGAATGGAACACGTGTCTTGATTATTTGTTTAATTCCTATATACATATCACTTCTAAATCTTATTCATCAAATTCAGGAACTTTGCATGCCAAAACTAGGACATGACTATGAGCTGCGTTGAAGTGGGTAACACCAGGCTGATTTGGGACCAATGGAGACTATTCCACTTGAAACTACATCTATGCCCATTAGTGTTTTTACATTCCTGTTCAATCAAAATATGACCCCTATAGGTAGGGACTGCACCCACACTCTTGATCATACCTACCAGACTAAGCTTGTTTGTCTTGCCAGACAGTACTTCAAACTTACTGTTTTGTTATACTCTGCACTACTGAACTGTATTGCTTTGCCTTTCTGTAAGTCAAGTGTACAATATGTGAAACATCCTCCATGCAGCCCTTTAGTAATGAACATAAAATAGCGTATTTACACTTCCACCCCAAAATACATAAGTGAAAAGAGCATATACTCGCTCGATTTTTCAGATCTGTGAGCATCAGGCTAATGTACAATTTAATTAAACGAACCTCTTTTATGTGAATTAAATCAGAAAGAAAATAAGGATTTTTGCATTGATAGTTAGCACAGGTATTAGCTCATATTGGGAGTACCTTTGAAAAGTTCCATCATCATCATAGTACAAAAATTAAGTGTGGAGACACAAACACATGAGAAGGATACTGCCCAACTTTCTCTATAATGAGACGCTACCAACTAGATCAAATCTGTCATTTGAAAGCCCATGTACAAGGGCTTTGTTGTTTTTGCCAAGCTACTGAGTTGCGCAACAAAAAAACATGTCATCCACGCCACCATTTCACAAATACTGCTAGTGCTTTTTTTTTCTTTGTCATGCTGGGTGAAATGTCCACTTTGCCAGCGCATGTTTCATTCGCACTGCCAGAGGTGACGAAACTTAACCTAGCACTTCCAAATTTTCCGCACAAGTGCAGTTCCCGTACTACGTTGACAATGTTACCAAATGCGTCGTGTGACATTCCTACAGTATAAGATGATTTGCAAACTTGACAGGTTATACCATCATAGGCTGTAGCACTAAAACATAATGCTAGGTTCATCCAATGAAGCCGTAGTGCTGAAAACATGGGGACTAAAGAGGACAAGACGTGCAGTACTAACAGCTGAATTTGATTTCAGAAATGCGTGGTACTGTTAACAGAAGTAATGAACCAAATGCAAAGTACTAAACCGACCAGTATAACTTTTGGAATGATGCCAGGGCCTGCTTGGAAACCCCAATAACAGTCATACACATGTTCCTGAAATAACAGCGCATTTGCTTTGAATCACGTGTGCTAAAGATGGAATACACAGCTATAGACATCCTTGTGATGTCTTAAATTAGGACATCAACTATGACGTACTCGAATGCCTGTGCACCAAGTAGCTATTCCATTCCTTGTAAACCACAAAGACATCCTCGTGATGTCTTAAATTAGGACATCAAATATGATGTACTCGAATGCCTGTGCACCAAGCAGCTATTCCATTCCTTGTAAACCACAAAGACATCCTCGTGATGTCTTAAATTAGGACATCAAATATGACGTACTCGAATGCCTGTGCACCAAGCAGCTATTCCAATTCTTGTAAACCACAAAGTTGGGACTTCCTTTTTTTTTTTTTACTAGACTTGCATTAGCTTTATGCACACAGTGCAAATGCAAACTATGCAAGAGACTAATTTCGAATACACCAGCCACATAGACCACCTCTCAACGGTTCCACCACGCAAACTGCGGATGTGAGTCAATCGCAGTTGAGCAATAACATTCCGATCGGTCCCCATCGAGATCGAAAGTAGAAGGTGGGGTCTCGATCGAGATCGAAAGTGGATCTGCGGACGGTCGGTTCCGAAACCAGGCGGGAGACGTCAGCGTACCGCCGCGAATTGAACATTCAAAGCACCGCGAACATGACAGGGGCATTCGAAACACAACGCGACAAGAAGCGAAAACGAACCGGCAGAGAGGTGGGCCAGTGCTGCCAGCGCAATCACTACTCACCCGGCTGGGTAGGCGACCAGTCCCGAACTTGGGTCGCAGTCAAGCGCCGCGCTGCTCGTGACAGTCAGTCCCAGCACCCGCTCTAGCTTGACCTGCAGAAGGGGTGCAGATTCGGCTGAGGATGGTTCTTCGGGGGTGGCGGGCAATCTCGGCTCGGTACGCATGCTTGGCGCGCGCTAGCCGCCGCCCACACAGCACGCCAACGCGCGCCCGACTCCTCGCTCTTGCAAAAGAAGCACCCCCCCACAACCTTGCAGCGCTGCCGTCAACAAGGCCATTCGCGTTGGTGTAGTACCACTACATTCTCATTCCGCCACCACGCCTTTACAGACGTCCCTGGTGTGTCCGTGCGCCGGGGTTTGAAACCGACAGCTCGCACTGCACCGACAAGGGACGCGGCGACGACAACTTTCGGATGCAAGTACGCAAAAAAACTGAGCCAGTGACGGATGTGCGTCTTTCTTTGAACACCGCGCGGTCGCCGCAACGACAGCGGCTGCGCGCATGGCGTGAAATCAACAGGTGGCTCGGATGGAAGCAAAACTTACCCGCTCGGAGAGTGGCGTCGCATCCGCACGTCCGCGCTTGAGGGCCGGCGCTCGCACCAAGCGTGGTACACCGCTCAACGGATCCTCCATCTGGGAACACGCGTAAGACGTGAAGCTCGACTTGGGCCGAGTACTACTACAGCACAGCACAACCCTCAGCATCACCAACAGGTGGTTCTGTTCTGCATCCCAACAGTCGCGCCTTGCAAAATCGGACACTATTCACGGCGCAGGAGAGAATCGTAAGACCACCACTGTGTGTATGGAAAAACCAATGTGTAAGACGAAACGTCGTCTCCAGAGAAACAGGTGCGATCTGTCAAGTTGCCGGCGTAATCGGCACGGTAGTAGTGATACGAACGGCGCTACCCCCCCTTCCAATCTCTGCGACAGAACGACACGATTGACGCCCGTTTTCCGTCATTCGGTGTGTCCGCGTGTGTGTGAACTACTGTGGTTTTATTGTGATAGCTTCTACGTAGTGCGCCCGTCGTGTCTCCCGCGAGTCGTGATTGACCCCGAGGTGGGAGGCGGTTACCTGCTGGAGTGGCGGCAGGCGGGTACGCTGCAAGCCGAAGCATCAGCCGACGAATCGACGGTGTGGCACATCAACGCATGTCACTGGTGTGCGGACGGTGCCCGACAGCACTACGGATGCCATCCAGGGTTGTTCCAGCGGTGAACACACGCACGCACACACGTCAGCAGTAACGGACGAGGAACGGGGTTGACTCGAAGAGCGCGCACATAAAAAAACCCTGGGTTACTTCGTGACTCGTACACTTTCTATGTCCACGGCGAGCGTAGACATACGGACGAAGACATGTCCGCTAGGATTGCAGAGAGCTCGCCCAGTCTTCACAGTTCATCGCAAGGTGCGAGCTCAATAGACTTGCTGCAGCCCTGTGCTGTCACGCACGCTCCATTCTAACAGGATAATAAAAGAAGGCAAAAGCAAAGCAAAGAAAGAAAAGCTCATCCGAGGAGCACTCCTTTAGAGCGCAATAAAAGTAGAAAAAGAGTGCACTAGTGCTGCACTCATTTGCGGCACGTTTTAAGTCTATCGCACTTTTCTCTAGCTCGGTTAGTCACTGCACATACATGGCTTCTTATCGCATTTAAATACAGATGTTGCACATAATGGAGGTAATTCAATTATCACTGGTATAAATCACGTGACAATTCTGCTTTTTGGAAGCGAAACCGAAACTACAAATCAGCATTGCGAACGCAAGCGCCAAGAAAATGGCATGCTTGCGTTGCTTCGGCACAGCCAGCGTCTACAAAGTTTAGTGCCGCTAGCGAGGCGTCATAAAACTGTTTTGTTGCACGTGTATTGCGGAGACATCTTCACAGGAACTCTTCAAGAGGGGGTCGAGTTGGACTCGGACAGCAGTTTGCGGCAAGGCGACAGCGATGGTCCTTCCACATTCGCCTAGCTGTGCATCGTATGTGGGACGGGATGATTTCTTACCGCGCACCAAACATGAGTGCCAGTTTTGTTAAGAATTGCTCGCGTAGTCTAGCTAGTGCACGCTTCTAAAAGCGCTAGTGCATCCCTTCTCAACGCCTCCTAGGATGTGTTGCCCTTGTCAAGCTGACACATCTCAACTCGACTTTTGTACAGGTAAACTAAGCTGACAAATTACAGCCCCACAGGTTCGCTCAACCCGCATTTGATGAATTAGAAAAGAGTTGAAAAGGTTGCTTTGCTGAGAAACCGCTGAGCGCGGTTCATTGCTCCATGATCGCTGTATCACATCGCTGCGGCGCGCAGCGCTATTAACTAGCAATCTTTGAGGCTACGCTGTACGAAACTACACAGCCAGCAATAGCGAAACACGAAACCACCAGAAGGTGTCGCGAGCGCCGCTTCAGCTGGTGGGTCAACGTAAACGCAGCTGAGGCGGCGAAGATATGTTACGTGTAACATGAAATGTAGCAGCCGATTCGCGTCCACAGATTGCTCCCTACGAAACAATAAACATTGCTACGGCTTTCGAGAAACATGACAGTCTGGCTTACGCTCCTTTACGGAGCAGCTAGCCTGGCCCTGCTGCTGTGTTCGGTTCGCGGCAACATCGCCGACGACTCGGTCCTGTTCAGCATTAACTGGCCAGGTGCATCGCCCGACAAGAAACTGGCACCCGTCGAGGTAAGGACGGTCGAGAGGTTGAAAGATTTAGCGGTCCGCTCAAGATGATGTTTCCCCACGGTCGTTGCTGTTCCAGCTCGAAACGCTGTGGATGGTCTCCGCCGAAAAGGAGCGCTACAAGTGCCTGCTACCCGCCAATCCTGTATCGCGAGAGGTGCCCGCGGCTCTTCCTTTTGTACCGCCGTATTACTGACATGTTTGTGTTGCGCAGGACGCCGAAGCTGCTGCTCCGTACGCGGGGCCGACGCCTCTTGCGCTGCTGAAGCCGCTCTTTTCCCGGCTGTTCTGCTCCTACCGCGTAAGTGAGATAACGTACAGGTGCACGCTGCCAATTCGTTTAGTATTTCATCAGCTACACCCACATTCACCTGTTTCCCTCACCCGCCAGTACAGCGTACCCATCATCTGACATCATGAGACGTCACAAACGCACACCTGCGCGCGGGTGACGTAGCGCAGCGCAAACGCCACATAACTGCTCTGATGGTTGAATTTTAGCTGAGGGCCTCTCTTAACGAAGTCCGATGCTGTAACAGCTACGCCGCTGGCGCCTGGGCCTTCAGGCGAAAGAGAATAATCACTGGCGTGCAAGCAAGTGCGTTCAGGCGCCTGGCGCGTTTTTCACGACGCTGCTGGTTACCTGAATAGTTCCTTTCGTGCAAGCCCGCGCGTTTAGACGCTGGGCACGTTTTGACAACATTAGCGGAGCGTCAGTTCACAATTTGAATGTGCGACCAGGTTGATTCTTTGAGAGACACGTAATCAAGTTTAGGGTGCATGTGTGACTTGGCCTCGTTCATCTCAAGTTCGTGTTTGTGCCCTGCGCATTGACCATAAACTGTTTTTTTTTTTTTTAGCTTGAGCAATACTGGACCTATGAGCTGTGCCATGGCAAGAGCGTTCGGCAGTACCATGAGGAAAGCATTGACAACAAGGTATGTCTAAATCTTGCATGCTATTTCACAAGTACATGCATAACTTTCTCTGCACAAACAAGATGACTCAAGGAATAAAAATAAACTAAAAAAAGTACTCCTGTAGACGCTTGTGACTGGTCCCCGAAATGAGTCTCTCACCCTACAACAAAGGTGCATGCCATTGCCTTTCTTGCTTTGTCTTGCTCATGCTAACAAAAGTTATGAATACACAATTAGCCCACCAATGTATGACATGCTGAAAGCACTCTTGTACCAGTTTTAGCTTTTGCTACTCGATGCTTGTGCACCTCTTTTGTTCTAGGTTGTCCTTCAGGAGTACTTCCTTGGCAAGTACGATTCCAAAAAGCTGGAAGCCGATGGTAATTGCAGATTGTGACAACAAGCGATGACCATGTCTGACACCAATGCTCCATTTCAGATTCGACCTACTTATCAACGCGAAGCCGGGTAAGTAACCGTTAAAACAGGGTTAAAGGGTTGTTAGAGGGGCTTTAAAATAATGCATCAAGACCACAGTGCAAGATACATACACTTAGGTGAGGACCCTGTGAAACACGATTGACCAAGTGAAGTAACAACACCTCACAATCGTTGGTCCGGTTATGGCAGTTGCCTGACCAAGGAGAAATGCCTCTTCAAGACAAAAAGGCGCTACTCGGACTATAGCATGCTAGAAAGTAAAGATAAAACCACATACCTTGTTTTATGGTCATGAGAAACATGTGTGGCAAACACCGGCATTGCTGTAAACCACTTCATTTGCTGTAGGTACAAAAAGTTGTTCTGAAGTTGCATCGTCCTGCTGATAGGTATCCGCTGCCATCACCAGATGGTAGTAGACGGCAGCGAAAGGCCCGACTGGCTTATGTTGTTGCTGCTGTTCACACGGAACCCTTCTCCACTTCAGTCTCCAAGATTCTCATTTGAGTATTTGCTACTGCCACCAAGATCTGCACCAGCGGCGGCTCCAGGTGGGCTCACACCCAACGACCGGGGATAGGTGCAATGCTAGAGCGAATATCCATTGCCGGGGCTAGTTGCTGCCATTGTTGCTTGATCTGCAAGAAAGTTTCACCAGCGCAGAAAAAAAACGTGAATGCACAAAAAGAGAGCTGACCCACGCTTGTTCACATCACCTCCCTTTTGGTGGGTTCGTGTTTATTTTGCACAGTGTTCAAATTTTCTTTACAATGGACTACCAACTCGTCCACACACTGACATTAATGGCTTACTTGATGTGGTCGAATGTGCATCACAAGAAGCCGAGAAGTGTCCCCATAGGGAGAGTTTATATCTCACATGGTAGTGGACACACAGCGCACACGCCTGCTATGCCGTACGGCAGATGCACAGTTGAAGCGCACCGCTCATTATAGCACTACAACCTTGTGCAGCGACCTCCCCGAATTCGGCTGGAAGGAGGCCTGGAGCTCCCGTACTTTGCAGTCAACATGACGGGAGGCACGGCTTGCGAGCTGGGCGAGCGAGCGCAACGCTCGACTCGTGTGCTCTACGTGTGCAGCCAGGAGGCCCGCAACGAAGTGCTCAGCATCGACGAGCTCTCGACGTGCGAGTACCAGGCTGTGGTGCTGACCCCGTACCTCTGTGGCCATCCGGACTACAGGTGCGTCGAGCCAGTGCCAATTGTTTGCAGAGCGCACCTTTTTACATGGGTCTAGATTGCCCGACTATGGAGGCATTGCAACTGTAAAAAGACTGACTAAAGTGAACGGATGCTTTTTAGTGGCTCAGGCACCACGGGTCACTCTCATTTCTCTTCTGAACACTTCTAGTAAGCAGTGACTTCTACCTCTTTGGAAAAAAAAAATGCTGAAAAGTCTTCTGGAAAGTAAAACTGGTGAGAAATCGATGGTTCGGATTATCGGTTCGGATATAATATCGATGGTTCGGATATAATGTCAGAGCATAAAGTTACTTAAGACAGGGGGGTGAACTTACCATTGGGATAATTAATTAACAGAACATAGCAAGTGTATCACATAGCTAGTTTTAGAAAATGTTATTCAGCCTGTGTGATCTAAAATATAAAAAAAAGTGGAACCTGTGATGTCACACGTAGTGTTGGGCATGGAGTTTCTGGCATGAAACTAAAAAAAAACTTTAACCTTCTACTAATACACAGCTTGCCCTGTCTTAACTATCATGGTGAAAAATCAATGAAAAATAGTCAAAGAATGGCTAGTCAATCTATGCTAATCAAGTGTTTTGCTATAGCCTCCCTCTAAACCCAAACTTGGTGCTGCCCTGCACAGTCCAGATACATCGCCAGAGAATCCGATTCAGTGTGTGGCCCAGGACGGTGCCCCCCGAAAGCCCAGGGGCATGTGGACAGAACAGGTGCAGCAGCAGCTGATTCCTCCCGAGCCGTTGCCACCGCAGCCGCCACCGACTTCCGAGAAGATCTCTCAGCTGGTGCAGGACTTCCTTGCAGGCAGCTACTGCCTCACGGGGGTGAGTGAATTTTGCACGGCTCGCCCTTTTGCGATGACTCGGGAAAACTACAGGTCGGGCAAGAAATACCATTGCACGAAATAAAAGTTGGGGCGGTTATGCGCTAGCGGTGCGAAGACTGAGGAAAGTCAGCGGGTTTGATGACGCTCCCATCCTCCTTGCCCTCGCTCCCGTTTCCAACTCTTTGATATACTGTACTCTGCTGTACTTCAATATCATCCCTACTCTCCCAATACCTCACTCTCGCTTTCCTTTCCCACTTCCTCTGTATACTAGGTATACGTGGCCATGGTATGCTTGTGTTCTCCCTTCGATTGTCTCTCTGCCTTTTTCTATCGCTTTTTGTGTTTCCCTCTGTGTATTTCTCTTGTCTTTCTATCTTTATACCTATCTTTATACTGTCCTCCTTATCATTCTTTTTCTCCTCCGGTACATGTTCATCTTGCCCAGTCGATTTATTGCATCCCACACCGGACGAATTGGCACACGCGTTCGGGTAGTCAGGCAGAAAATGAAGAGCAGTGCAAAGAGAGCATTCGTTGGCCGAGTTAATGCATTTATGATGATGATAGCTTTTGTTCACTACTAACGAAGTGTGGGCATTAACAACTATACTCTTGAAAACAGTCATAGCTTCTCAACAAATGAAAATGAGGGACACCTTCCTTTGTTTGACATGTCATTCAGTCTCGTATAAGGACATCAAATTTTAGTTCCAAAATGTCCACTTTGTATTTCGACATGAATTTGAAGACACTGCTGAAAATTTCTCAAAGTAGCCACAATGTATTCTGGGGGGATCTTAGTCCTGTTCCTATTCCAGATTATGTCATAGGGATTCGATAAATTCCTGTTTGCTGCTGGTTGATGCCACCTGGCTCAGGAAACCGTTTTTTGGCATGATGATATGGGACATGCTGTAGTCTGTCTTTGCAGTGTCTGCGTTTATGGTACCCTGCTTGCATTATGCCACCACCGACTTCCGAGAAGATCTCTCAGCTGGTGCAGGACTTCCTGCACCAGCTGAGAGATCAAGTTTCCTGAAAATATTTTTCATTGAATAAATTTGGACACCAACAACAGTAGGAGTGCCAGTTCTATATAAAAAACAACTCTGAACACGATTTCAGAAATCCCTCTGCTGGAAAATGTGAATAATGTACTGAACAATAATAATGTTCAATGTCTGCCGCAATTTCCTTCGGTCACCCCGTAGATGGTATTCAAATTCTGGCTGGTACACAGTCGGTCTTCATTGACAGCTAGAAAAATATTTTTGGGTACATGTCAACAAAGTCTTACAACGCATCAGAAAAATATCTGTGCAACGTGATGGGGCCTCCAGATATTCGTTCGAGAGCACCACTGAGTGTTTGCTAATGAATGAAAAAAAAATATATATTGGTTTTCGAGGGTGGAGGCTGCCCTCAATGTACAGTGCTCCATTTATTTATTTATTTATTCATACTGTCGATCCCATCAGGGATCTTTACAGGAAGGGCATATTGAATTTTTACAATATGACAATACAAATATCAAATATTCAATTATGCATAAAAAATATTGGTGGTTAACAAAGGCCATTACTTTCTTAAACGTCTGATGCGCTTTGTATAAGTTTGTGTGCACAAATTATTATTGCTAGTTATGTGGACTAATAGCTAATAGTAGCTAACAGAGGGCTAGTTTCATCAAGGTTTAGACAAATCAAATGTCCTTCATAAAGGCTGTGTCTAAGAACTTCGAGCCATCGTCATCACGGTGGACAGAAGGCGAGACCAAACACAGGTTGATCGCTTCTTCCTCCGCCTCACCTGAAACTTCCAGACTTACTTTATGTAAAGTTCATTCGTTCATTTAACTTTATTTTGCAGTGTACTTTTGAATATGATCACTACGGTGTAAGCACCACCATGTTTGACAAGTCATTCAACATGTCAGTTTCCACAGGCCGTGTGAAAGTGTAGTTTCTCTTTGCTCAAAATGAATATAAATGGGAATGACATTACATTTCTAGTTTGAGATTGGATTCTACTTATGTAAAGATAAATACGAATGACTTCTGGATAAACGGTTGGCTAACTAAAATTTTATTAAAAGTAATTACTATAAAACATACAAATCAACATATTATTACATTAGCTTTGTTTTAATAGAATATAAAGTGCCTTTGAATGATGATGTTTAAGTTTGGCGCATTTACTGACAGTTATTTACAGGTTTCACATGAAAGCATGTACATTCTTTTCCGATCAATAAGCTCGTCAGTTGGCGCCTGTATTTTATTCTTGGTCTTAGTCGTGGAGCTATTTTCAATTTCTTGCCTCTAGAGATTAATGTACCAATCATTTTAGCTGCCACAAAGCACGGTGCAGGCGCCTTTTCAAAAGCCGAGGTATTGCTTGTCTAGCACTCTCCCGTTGCAGTCTCATACCATGGGACCCTTGTCTTTATACTTTACGTCCTGTAATTGTGTTATGTATTAATAAATCTGACTGATTGAGTTGACGTGTGCCGCCAGAGATTGGACTTTGGTTCTTCCTCCGGTAAAAACCTTTCCGTGACAGGGCGCAGGCTGGTGGAAGTACGAATTTTGCTACGGCAAGCGTGTGAGCCAGTTCCACGAAGAGAAAGGCAAGGAGCGGATCAGCATCCTGCTGGGCACCTGGGACCACAAGGCACACATCGCATGGCTCGACAAGCACCCCGAGCGAAAGCCCGGCCGCACGCCCAGGTTAGATAGGTGGTTGTTTGCAGTAAACTCTTGGGTTAAGCAAGAGCTCTTATGGCGAGGAAACAACGCAGATAAAGAGCACACTCGGCAGCTAAAATCGCGAGACAATGGAGTTTCGTGACACGTCACAGTGAGCAAGGCTGAATTGGGCACCTTTTGTGTTTTTGGTTGGCGACTGTACGAAGCGTCTACTGCGGTCGTTTGCAGTGCTGTTTCAGCTGTTAGAACAACCTTGGTCGGGTACGAATTTGGAAGTCTCGTCAACTGCCGCCATGAGACGGATCGGCCAGAGACCCTGCCTTCGGAAACAATGCCGACTGCATGAGCGAGACTGGGGTTTTTTTGGCTGCAGAGTTGATCAGCTCAAATAATAACTTATTAGTATTTTATTGCTTCGTATTCAAGACTTGTCATTGCAATGCAGTAGATCTTTCAAACGCTGTGTTCGCAGCAGCTTTTCTCTACTGACTGGCAACTTGTGAAAAGCACAGAGTACCACACGCCACTCTCTGCTGCAGGTACCTGACACACTTTTACGGATCCGGGGACACCTGTGACCTTACGCAGAAGCCTCGCACAGTGGAAGTTCTCTTGAAGTAAGTTTCAACCCTTTTAGCAGTTATCTGCAGCTGGAGCTCGATACAATGCATCTCTACTGGGAGCGAGGAACTGCTGTAATTATCAGTGTATAGTTAATGACCTTGCTATCTGTTGATGCATCTCATGCTATGGTCCATTTTACGTTCACTTCATCGGCAATTCTATTACGTGGTGTCTGGTGAAAACAGGACTGCATTGACCGTATAGAAATGCAATGCTCCTTGGGGAAGACATAGTATCAGTAAAACTTCACGCTATATCGTGGGATGTTTCATTCTTGTCACGTAGGGCAGCAGGTGATGTACAACTCAATCTAATGGCAAAATGGTAATTGAATGTGCTTGTGTAATACCCCGTTACATGGGCACTACAGCCTCAGATACGACAAACCTCGGCTAACTGGCATGCCTGTTGCACAGGAGATTGGCTGTGAAAGACGTCACATTACACTCAAGTTCACGAATAAAACTACTATACATATTTACCTGCTTTTCATAAATACACTGGCAAGCAAAATGTATTTTGTTTAAAATAAATACTTCCTGTATGCATGCACAGTTTCCAAATGTCGAGCGTATTGCATCAAGTGTTCTGACATAAGTTAAGACTAATTGCAACCATGGGTGTCTGCAACTATAGATGTCATGATCTTTGTCAGAGACAGATAACTTCATGCACATTTAGGGGGACGTTTGGGCCTCCAGTAGAGCCACATTACATGGGACCGTTGACATGGGCGTCGCCATTTTGTCATATTAGTTAACCAGGGCGGTCAACCACAGTTAGTGGGATAACTGCATTTAAGCTTTCATTCTAATTGAACATAACTATGTATTATGGTATCTGAGGTTAGTCGTAACAGAGGTTAATGTGGCCATATAATTGCGGTGCATTCATATGGGGGCATCATGGGAGATGCCTTTTGCCCTGCAGTGAGCATAGTGAGGCTGATAAGTGATGCGATTGCGTTATGAGACGACTATAAGTTGGGCCTGGGCTGTTGAGATGCATACTCGAACCAATCGCAGGTGCCGCCAGGCGAAGGGCAACGTCGACAGCGTATCCCTCTACTTACTTGAACCCCGCACCTGCGAGTACATTCTCGGAGTAAGTCGACCCGATCATCACTAGTGGAAACAAACTCGCATCATGTGCATACAAACGAGTCACTGTTTAATCGTTGCTTTTTACAGGTGGAGTCTGCCATAGTGTGCAGCTTTATGGACAAGGTGGACGAGTACGCGCTGCCCAGCTGACACTGGGCCAACACCAGAGCGCACTCACGAAGCCGGTCGCTGTCTCTTGGAGGCTTGCGCGGGACTCGGAGACCGCCGCTTGGCCCGGCCGTTCCATTCCTGCGCATGCCACCGCGACAACTTGCACCAAATTCCGCAACATTCTCGTTGAAAAACGAAAATTTCATGTGCTTCAACTTGTGACAGCATGTTTTGTTAAGATGCGAATCGGCAAGCTCGACAACAGACGCAACCTCAAAGACGGCCGACAAAATTGTTAACAAGTGTTGTCATGTGCGACGTGACGGCTAACTAGATTTTCTTTTTTTTTTAGCAGTTTCGCTCACACAAATTAATGCTTGAGAAGAAAGTTTCTCCAAACATGCTAATCTTGGTTACATAATTGAAAACAGTCTTTTCTTTTTTCCTGCTTAGTCAGTTCTGAATCGACTAGTCCTAACAGAAAATTCGAGCATTAATTCCAGCACCACACAACACTGGGCTTTAAAGGGAATCTAGCAATCGCTAAAAAGCACACTAGTCATTGCTGTAAGAGGCTTGGGTCAGTAAACCTTCAAGCAAGCCTTAACTCTTTGAACTTTCGCTCATGTGAAATGCCTTGGATTTCTGGCTGAAACCAATGGGTTCAGTGCTCATTTCGTTTTATCGACCCAGAAAGTAACTTAATTGCTAATTTACTGCAGGTGTACCCGGAGAATATGCGAGTTACTAGCCTCGAATCTTCCAGAAGTTGGGCTTCCGTTTGCTTTCCTTTTTTTTTTTTGCCTAATTCCTACTTTTGAATAAAAAGTTCTATCTTTCACTTTATTGTCTGTCTGCTCTGTGTGAGTGGTACTAACGAAACATCAGAGACTAAGCTTGTGCAAATACTTTGAATATTAAAACAAATATTACAATATTTGAATTTACTTTGATTTAAATTATTGAAAATTTCGAAGTATTCAAAATGAGCAATAAATATACACTTGACCCTCATTATAACAAAGTTGAATGTTACATCCGAAAATTTGTTATAAAGTTTTATTTCTAACATTAGGTTGCAATACTATCTTTATTGTTTTTTATTATATTGCAAAACTATGTATTTACCCTCCTGTAAAGGTGGCTTCACAGCATTAGAGGCATGCTAAGCCGTGAAAACATCTATCCAAAAAGAATACCCGCTGCCGGAAAGCCCCTACTTTAGGGTTTAGTGAACGCATTACCCTCGCATCGACTCGTCATTGGGTCAAGAGCTTGTTATACCAACTTATATGCTCTGAGTATTGTATTTTAAAACTTGATGTATTTCACACGTTATCACTTGCGTTCTACCGAAAATAAAATCCTGCTACCGTTCAATGCCTGCGAATATTTTTGTTTCCACTTCCTTTAAAACGAAAAAAAAAAATGGCATTTGCACAGGCCTTGTTTCAATTCTTAAAAGGTATTGTGCAGGTTAGTTAGGGCATGACAAATATCTTCATTTTTCTCTATAATATGTGATATACATACTAATGAAATTCGATTCAAAATAATTAGAACAAAATCACAATTCGCACAAGCCTAATAGAGACCGCTGCTTTTACGATGGTTGCTGCCTCTGTCAGTAAATCTTGAACAGGATTGTTGCTGGAGGCAACGTTTTGACAAGATATCTTGTCATGGCATGGCTTTGGCATGGCAGGTCAACTCTGCTGAAGTGACCCGATTCAGCAAGCCAGCCTATATTACAGCCCATTCCTTTCTTTTCTTCCCAATAAGCGAAATGTGCTGGTTCCCGTGTACGCAGTAGCGGTGCTCCTATTCTGACATGGTGAAATGTCCCAAGCTAACGGATAGAAACTTGACATTTTAGGGCTAAGTAATGCACATACTTTAGTTTCCACAGTATTCAGTTAGCGTCACATTGGCGTAATTTCGACTAGCTTAAACCGGAGCCTACATTACCTTTAGGGGCCAGATTGGTATTAACATGTTGCGATTATTTCTGCAACATGCCAGTTGTCGCATCAAAAGTCTTAGTGTCGGGTGTCAGTCTATTGGCACTGTGCAGGGTTAGCCACATTTAAGGAGAACACCTGATAGCACTCAATCGACTAAATCTAGAGAGTTTTTTCTACTTCACAAGAAGAACGTCTGCCATGTGGTGTCAATAAGTGGAATAATAGCTTTTCAAATTGTGTAACAAGCATCAGCTCCACGAGGTCTTGAATAATAATGAGGTGGTCACTTTAGATGTGGTTGACCCTGTCCACATACACATAGATCAGACTCTGCTGAACTCTCAGGTGTACAGAGTCAATCTGCAGTAATCAACTTAGGGCTCACCGCTCGTTCTTCTTGAGACAAAGTCCTGAACCGGGCCACTGCCCGGCTAACAAGCTGGTCCTCTGCGAGATCCGGCTCCTCCTCGAGCAGAGTTGCTCGAATTGATTCCACGTACAGCTGCACACCAGACTTGGTGGGTGCGGGGGCAGTTTCGCTGCGGGCAGCACCAAACTGCAGCGTCATCTGCCGACGACCAACGCCCGCATCTCCTCGCGACTTCACGCAGTTAGTGGCACCGTCCGCCACTGGGTTCTCCTGAGACTGTTAAACAAGAAGACGTTTGAACAGTATCTCCATACTTACTCAATGTAATGCAGTGGTTCTCAAATGGGGGTCTGCAAAGCCATCTTTAGGTTGTCCACCCTCCAATCCCCCCCTCCTCCTCTAGAAGAATAAAAAATATTTAAAAAGCTGGTTTTTTAAGGCATGTTAATGCTGCGTTCAGTGACAAGAGCCCCTTCAGGTCTGTAGCGCGCTTCACGACACGACACTACTGCGTGGTGGCGGAGCTGACTGTGCAATTTGCCATAGAGCCTTTTTATAATTTTAAAACTACAGGTTTTCTCGCTCACTTTAATCCAAGTGCCAGCTTAAACAATCTGCATGCCATTTAAATAATCTCAGCACCGAGCTTATTTAATTCATGTGCCAAATATTTAATCCTAGCGCCAACTCAATGAGGCCATGTGCCAGGGAATTTAAACCAAATGCCACTGTGTTTAATCCAATTGCCAATGACTTTAATTCAGGTGCCAGTCAGTTTAAGTCATGCACAAAAGCGGAATGTGGGACATAAAAATGACAGTTCAATTGAAATGCAGTGCCTATATTATAAAAGACAATAGTCGGAAGGTAGAAAAAATCATTATTATTGTAATTCACCGCTAGTATTAAAAAAAATATTGCTGCCGTGGTTCGCTTAGGCCTTGTTTGGAGCACCTATATTTGCTGTGTACAAGTTTGTAGATCAGTGCTTAGCCCGGGTGGAGTCATTTCAATGGCAATGAAAGAAAAAGCAGGAGCATGTTATCGAATATTTTGTGTTCATCAACAAAGTTCATAACTGGATTTGTATAGCATTACCTGACCGGGCCAGGTCACGTAATGTGAAAGACAGAATATGGTTATCGGAGTGCCGGAATGCATAGCAAGATATGGAAAACATGGCTGTGGGCAGCGATGCGTCAAAGGCAAGTATGTCTTCAATGAAATAGGAAGCCCTTTCAGGGCAGAGCGAGTTAGAGATAATTCGAAGAGGTTTTCGTCCTGCAGTGCACATAAGACGTAAACTCATGATCTTGATGTAGAAAACGGAAGTCATATTTTACATTCGTATTAGCTGTTATCTTTTCATTCAAGCTCGGAAACACTGTTTTGGAACATAAATGCTTATTTTATCATCATTATCATCAACAAAGTTATGTGTATACGATGAACGCGGGTTTTAAGCACACTTCAGCAACACTAGCGTCGTCTTTTACGTGAAAACAGGAGTATCTCCGTTGATGCTTTCATAAAAAACTTCATTCTACATGAACCCAAATAAATGCAAGTTCAGTTTTAAATGGTTATTTCTGATTTCAAGAACGAATGAATATCATCTGTCGGTCAACACTGTTCTCACCGGCCTGGGCAGAAGGCTGCGAATGCCTCAGCGGATAAGTAGCCAAATGCCGTCTGCTGAGCAGACGGCACGAATCTATGCACATGCGATGGCGTACATGGTTAGTTGGAATAATGCAGTAGCGATGAAAGACTAACATGAACTATGAGTAAATACATTTAGTACCTGTAAATGCAATTAATATGCACTGTTTACTTTTTATTTTGAAGCTATGACACCAAAATGTTGGTGGGAAAAAGCACTTCGCTCTTCATTTCATAAGCGCTAGCATGTATATGCGAGGGAAAAGTTCTTCCTGTGACTTCGTGTTTACATTATTTTGACATTTATACTATATAAAGTGGCCAACTATGTGTTTTTGGTGCATAGATTAAACTGACTGGCACCTGAATTAAAGTCATTGGGAATTGGATTAAACATGGTGGCACTTGGATTAAACTTACTTGCACAAGGCCTCATTGAGTTGGTGCTTGAATTAAATATGTTGGCGCTTGGATTAAATGTTTGGCACATGGATTAAATAGCTCGGCGCTCAGATTATTTCAATGGCAAGCAGATTATTTAAGCTGGCACTTAGATTAAAGTGAGTGGGAAAACATGTAGTCTTCGTTAAATGCAGTTAGCCCAACTAACGACAGCCAGTGACGCACCAGCAGTGGCGGCACAATACGGTAATGCCATTTCAGACTTGATTTCCGAGCTTTTAAAAAGAAAAAGAGATGAAGGCGAAGTGAACTACTGCAAGCTTTAAGGCATTCTGGTTGGGGACAGCAGAAATGTTTCTCCTTTCCAATGTTATGGCCGTAAAAGCTAACTTCTACGACATGCATACGAGCACGCTTTTTTCAGATATTCACACTAAAAAGCAAATACAGAAACAGCTTGAATGAAGCTGCAGAGCACACATCTTATTTACATGCTGCTGAGATTAAATTTTGTGACGCTTGTTTGACCATTCTTTGCCACATAGCTTAAGAGGCCGCATTAGAGGCTGCATACCAGATGGCACAAAAGTCCACATGACTTCATTCCACGCATCGCGTTAATCACATTCCTCCTCTCTGTGCAAGTGCCTCCCCCCCCCCCGCCTATCGCTTTCACCTGTCCACTAGGAGTTCCCCACACATATACAAATTGGAACATCTGAAGTAGTGCCTGCATAGCTGAGAGGCACCGACGCTACAACATTTGCAGCGCCAACAGAGTCCACCGCCCTTGCAACAACAATGCAATGTAAGAAAAACTGATGTGTATAACTGGCGGCTCACCTTGGTCACCTTGAACGGGTTCCCTCTGGTCACGGGTGGTTCTGGTGCGGTGCGATGCTCATCGGAAGGCAAGGACGCTACTAAGGAAAGAACCGGTACAGCAACTTAGTGAGGTGGAAACCCTAAAGGGGTCTTTCGTCATGTTATGCATTGCCAGGTATGATATGGGCAGAGAGAAAGAAAAAAATGAGACGACACAGGGTGATTCGTGAGGAGTTGTCTTTTGTTTTTTCGTTTTTTCTCGGTCCGTGTCTTACCTAACAGCACATTACTTGATGAAGACATATCAACGAGCCCCAACTGCAACCTTAAGGGCCCTCAACCTTCCCTGTAGTGTGAATTTTGGTTATGTGCTGGTGATCTAGAGATCGTTTTACTCAAATAACTCTTTTACACTGATTCGTTATTGGGCAGAGCAAGAAGTCAAAGTGCCCCTATCGCCAGTGCCTCAGAAATGTAAGGCTCACAAAAGTCGGCCACAACATGACAAAAAATGACGGTGCCGCCGACATCCATCACTGTACCTCTGACATGCTCCTTTTCACGACGTCAAGCGCTCCTCAGGTGTTTTCAGATTAGTTCGATAGGCAGTCATATGACTTGTGCATACAGATGCACTTCTGTTGCTGGTTATAGGTCAGAAACTGGAACATCTTGGTAAGTTCTGTCAGGGATTCTGTCATTGCTGCTCACTTTAACATAAGGTTTTAGGATAGTGAGAACAATCCTTTCGTTTTTAATATGCGCAGTATTCACATTAACCAAGAAAGAGTACATACAGTTCGAGCTGAAACCAGCTAGCAGAACTGTATTTCACAGGTGAACGGCAGGCACAACGCAAATCTGCGGACAAAGCTTACATCTGTTTCTTTTTTTTTTTCGCGCTGTAACCAAGTATAGTACTGAAGTAGATACACTCTTCCTTTCTCTCGTCTAGCGGGTAGCTTTTCCCACGCTTTTATTCGCTGTTAGAGGCGAAACAGCGTGTCCTGTTCACGTGACCAAAGCCCCACCCCCCCTCTATGTATTTCTTTATACATTACTATGCACTAAAGTGCTTATTTGGGCTGGCTGATATATGTTCGAGGAAATGAGAAGCAACTCGATACACAAGACTATGGTGGATGAACTAATACCGACTTAAACTCTCTTTGCACAGAATAAAGCGTTGCTTGCAAGTCGACACTTAGTCCTTTTCTGTCGTTGTCCTCTGCTTCAAGCAGCTCTAACGCGGCACATCTGTAGGGCATTGTCCTGTACCCTCTACATCGTATGCAGAATTGAACTGATGTGCCGCGTTCCATGACACTGCAAGAAAATTACGTAGGAGCTGGCGTTACACAGGCATGCAAACTAGGCATTCGCACACGCACAGAGGGGGGGGGGGGGGGTCTGCCATAGATATTTGCTCCTCCTAATCAAGAACCTTGCAGATGCCTATGGGCCTGCATTTGTGTTACTTTCACTCTCTTTCAGAGAATGCCTCTTTCGAAAAGGTTTGCGACCTTTCGCACAAACTTTTGCCAGTTTTCATGCAACGCAGCCATTTCATACTTCGCACACATGATCGTTGAGAGCTGTCTACATTCTGAGTGGACTCCGTGTGTACCCTCCGTTTGCAGTGCCTTAGTGAGGGGCCCTTTAAAACGTACAGAAAAACAGACTGGCCTTGCATTATACTCGCAGAGTTATATTGAAAAAAGTGCAACCTCGGCATTCAGGTGGCCAACTCACCATCTATACTCGCGCAGTCAGCTGGCCGCTTCCAGGATAGATGCAACGGCTTGCGCTTCAGTACCGCATATGATGGTGGGTCAGGTCTACGCTTGCCCATAGGTGGGATGGGCCGGCAGACCTGCCTGGTTTGTGCCAACAATATGTTTCCAAACGCGAACTGTGTTCATTCGTCATATGCTGAGATCTGACCAAGAATCACAGAACTTCTGACCACACTTTTCTGTTCTAAGAAGAGCAGTGTGGATGGCATTTTAAAGCACTTACAAGTTATTACCCTAATTTCGGCCACTTCGAAGTTAACGTAACAAACCTTAACAAGTGAAAGAGAGAAAAAAGTGAAGCTGCATCACTCAACAGAAAATAAAGATGATTGCATCACAAAATGAAAATCTCTTTTGCAGACTGATCTCGTCAGTGATCTCTTTGTACCAGTAAAGCGCAGACAAATTCAACTTATGCGTGTCATAGAAGTAGTTAATAATGCGAGTGCAACACTAAATTTACACGTGGTACATACAGAGAGTCAAGTCAGGTATAGTGATTTCTCAGTTACGAAAGCTGCTGTTAGGAGAATGCATTTGCGTGCCAGTTTTAGACTAATATCACTGTAGAAAAAGTCTTATAGACTGCACAAACACAGATGTTAAGCCTCGCTGGTACTTTGGAGTAAATAATTGAAAAATAATTACAGATACTCTCAGGGTTTCACGTCCCGAAACTATGATATGATAATGGGACACACCGTAGTGAAGGGCTCCACAAATTTCAACCACCGGGGGTTTCTTAGTGCGCACCTAGGCACGTCGGCCTCTAGCAGTTCGCCTCCATAGACCGAAACGCAGCTGCGGCGACCGATATCGGATCTCGCATCCTTCGGGTCAGCATTCAAGCACCACAACCACTAGACCGTGCAGTGAAGCCTTATAGACTGCAAAACGATAGTCGTTAAGCCTCGTTGGTATCACAGAGTAAATTTTTTGGCGCAGGAACAAGACGAGGACTGGAGAAAACACAAAACAGGTGCACTGACAGCATAAGAGTGCACATGTTCTGTACCTACTAGTCGTCTCGTTACAGCGTTTAAACTCTGTTACTCTGCGAGGACCTCTATCCACGATAGGAACGGCGGCCCATGTGTGCAGTGGCAACAGTTTTTAGAAGCGTCAATTCACGTAGGGCAGTAGGTGGCACCCTCCCACCCTGACAACTTATACGGTACATCCAAATAACAAAGCACTACAGAGTTTTTGCAGCTACCCACGTAAAATTCCGCTGGTCAAAAGTCGAACTCTCTGAATATGTTAAGCTCCCTCTTTCGAAGCACAACGCTCAGACTTGGAGTGCTCTAAGGCGTGCTCACTTTGGCCTCAGAGAGTGATTGTCGTTCGATCATGCAACTCCCGCACCTCGTCTGTTTGGAACAGAAGACGGGCTAACGTCTTCACTCCTCCAGCCTCCAACTGCTCTGGCGAGCAACTGCAGTGTTTAGCTCAGACACGCATGCCTCTGGCTCACATCAAGAGCGGGATCCACACTGCTGTAATCAAAGTCGCGGTCGTATGTACCAACAGACTGCTCTCCGACTTACCGAGCCACAGGGGCACTTTGCGACGGAGAGTCCTGTTCCAGTAGAAGACGCTCGACGCGCTGTGCCAGCACAAGCCGTCGGCTCTTGGAGGCGTACTCCACTGCTCCCTGGATCAGCTGCTCAGAGTCCATGAGACGTGCCACATCCAGCGCTCGCACCTCTCGCTCTGCCTTGGCTGCCAGCTGCATGCGGTAAGTGAAACGTTCTTGAAGAAAAATTTCAAAGAACACCAGTTTTTGGATGAATAACGGAAAGAATTATGTTTCGTGGCACTGATATACAGTAGGCTCTCGGTAAACGGAACCTTTAAGGACCGGGAAAGTATGTTCCATTTAACAGAAGTTCCGTTCACTGAGAGGTGAACATGGGTGCAGCATACAAGCCCGAAGCCAAGTATTGCAGAGGCAATGGTTCCGTTTAGGAAGTAGTTCCGTTTAACAGATTTCCGTTTACTTGGAGTCTACTGTAAAAACAGTAATACGACTATTTGTTTCATTCTGTTTATACGACTATTTGTTTCATTCTGTTTCTTCCAAGACATTCTGATGTTTCGTAAGATGCTCTCATTTATAAAAATCCTTTACAGGCATCTTCATCAAGATCTGTTTACTTTAGCAGTTGTTGGCACTTTTTGAGCATGTTCAAATGCTTCTTGAGAGTAGCTTATTATGAAATTTACACGAAGTTTCTAGCGTACTGATGCCTTCTATTATTACCTGCATTACAATGAAGTGGCACGAAAGGCAGCACATACTACACAAAACAAGAACACGGCATAACATTAGTTGAAGCTACAGTACAAAAGCACCGCCAAACAAACGGAGCTGAATTCGCCAAGCTAAAGTGCTTGGCAGATCAGCAAATGCCAATAAGAGTATGGTGCGCACCGCAAACAGCTTGAGCAGGAGCAGCTGCCTCCGATTGCTGACATCAACCAGCTGCTGTCCCTCCTCGCCCACTCTTTTCAGGGCCTCCTCCAGGCACCAGGCACGCCACAGCTCCTCCTGTCGACGAGAAAGCCTAGCTGCAGCAACTTACAGCGGGAATGTCCTCTTCAATCAATGAAACAACAATAATAGGCTTGCGCAATCACTCGTGCATTTTGAATATACGAATGCTTACTGACGTATTCGAGTTCGCTTCGACTTCGAATTTAAATTAATGAAAATTTCGAAATATTCAAAATTAACAAATAAACTGCATGTAGCCCCTGTAAAGGTGGCTTCGCTGCAGTAGAGGAGTGCAACATCCTGAATACACCTTTCCGGCGGAAATCCACTCTGCCGTGAATCCCCTACTTGATGATGATGATGACAAACTTAATGTAAACAGGCAAAGAAATTTTCTACGGTTTTCCCCAAAGGAGCTTTGCTCATGGTCGCGGTCCTTAGTTCAGGGCTCCACTGGCTTTCGCTGTCTGCCCTGCTCTCTGGATGAGCCTGATCTGGTCGTTGAGGGCCAACGTCACGGTTCAACGAACACGCTACCCTTGCATCAATTCTTCTTTTTCTTTTTTTAATTTAAAGAGCTTGTCATGCCGGCCTATATGCTCTAACTATAGTAAATTTGAAAGTGTAACATATTTTACACGTTATCACTAGCATTCTACCGAAAGTCATACCCTGCTACTATTCAGAGTTCTTTACAATTCCCTTTAAACAAGAATAATGACATTTGCACAGGCCTTGTGTCAACTTTTCAAAGAAATATCATGCAGGTTACTAAGTACATGACAAATATGCTCATTTTTCTTTGTAACTGACATATACTAATCGATCTTGATTAAAATTATTTCAAACCAAATCATTAGTCGCTTCAAACTCGCTTAGAACCTTCAAAATTGATCATAAATTATTCAAACCAAACCACTAATCACTTTGAATTCGCTTCAAGCCTTCGAATTCACACATGCCTAAACAATAATTATAATTGTAAGGGTTTTACATCCCAGAACCATATTCTTCTGAGATATGAGAATTTTGACCACACAAGGTTCTTTCGAACACACGAGCTTCTAGCATTTCACTTCTATTGAAATGCAGTCGCCGCGGCTGAGGTTTAATCTCATGACTTGTGGGTTGGCAGCCAAGCACCATAACTAGACCACCACAGTGAGTTCAATCAACCAATCACTCAATCAATCAATCTTAGTGTTACGTTGTAGGAGAATTGCTACATACAGTTAAACCTCAATGCAACAAACCTGAATAAAATAAAATTATCGATATAGCGATGCATTTCAGTTTTTATGACTCGAAGTCCATAAAGCATGATGTATTTGTGACCTCAATATAACAAACCTTGTTTATACGGGACTTAATTATAATCACAAAATTAAGTCTCACTGCTACTGCACAGGAATCAAAAGCAACAAATTGAAACTCCTGTTATGGTGCCAACAGTCTTACAGTTGACTTGCACGCATTTTCTCTGAACACATTTTCCAAATTGTTTGCCGTGTGATGGAGAGCGGTCGTCGAATAGGTGGCAACCCCCGGAACATCATCATCATCATAAGCCTGATTATGCCCACTGCCGGGCAAAGGCCCCGCCCATGATTCGTCAATCAACCCGGTCCTGTGCTTGCTGCTGCCAATTTACACCCGCAAACTTCTTAATCTCATCTGCCCACCTAACCTTCTGTCTCCCCCTAACCCGCTTCCCTTCTCTGGGAATCCAGTTAGTTACCCTTAATGACCACCAATTATCCTGCCTACATGTCCGACCCATGTCTATTTCTTTTTCTTGATTTCAACTATGATATCTTCAGCCCCTGTTTGTTCCCCGACCCACTCTGCTCTCTTCTTGTCTGTTAAGGTTACTCCAATCATTTTCTTTTCCAACGCTTGCTGTGTTGTCCTCAATTTAAGTTGAACCCTCTATGTAAGACTTTAGGTTTCTGCTCCATAGGTAAGTACTGGCCAGATGCAGCTGTTATATACCTTCCTCTTGAGGGTTAGTGGCAGATTACCATTCATGATTTGAGAATGCTTGCCGAATGTGATCCACCCCATCCTTATTCTTCTAGTTACAGTGCAGTGCAGCGTAAATGTTGAGGCAATAAAAGGAAAGGGGGGTGCACCTCCATTTGCCCCTTCTCGGACTCCGTCCCCAGGTAAGGCAAACTGAAGTCCAACATGACCATGACGGGCCGCGGCAAAGTGGCCGGGTAGCGGGAACCCTTGCACAGCAAGGCCCTGCGAGTAAGGATGCATGCCACTGAGGTGCCCTCCGTGGGCAAGGACGTTGCTGAGGACCTACCGAACTTGCTGGTGTGTCTCGCTCACACCGAGCACAAAGTAGTGATCCGACTGATTCTTCACCTGCAAAACCAGACATGATGATGAAAAACCCTATAGATGGAAGAAAACAGAAGTGGTCTCTTTGGTGTACCAGATGTCGTACACAGGCAAGCCTTGTTAACACTCAGACCTCGATATAACGAACCTGGATATAATGAAATATAGGGTATAATAAAATAAGTGATAAATAGTCTTGTAATGAATATAGTGTTAAGAATAAAACTTGACGACAAATTTTCTAATATAAAAAACTTATTTTTGTGTAGGATGCAACTTCGTTATAACGAGGTTTGAGTATAACAAAGTTGCATCTTACACAAAACAAAGTTTGTTATATCCAAAAATTGGTTATAAAGGTTTATTCCTAACACTATATCTATTGCAAAACTATTTTTCATTTACTTTGTTATAACCAACATTACGTGACATCCGGGTTAGTTGTATCGAGGTTTGAGATATCTGTAATACATTCAATAGACACATGCAAACAGTGCGAAAAATCCTTGAACACGAGGTGTGTCCCAAGCTGTTTCCACAAGCAGTCTTCTCTTCTCGCTGCCTTGAATATTACAAGACGACTTGTCAAAACGGCTCCAGTGACAAGCCGCATTTAAAAATTTTTTATTTTATACAAGCGAACGTAGAATGAACTTTGCTTTGCATCAACACCATGGGGCACATGTGTGCTTCAGTGGTATCAATTCAACAGCCAACTGCATGCGAGCCTCGGTCAACACAGATGTTGACCGTAGAGGCTTGTACTTCAGTGACGAGCAGACAGGCATAACAGCTCGAGGTACGTACATTGTCCCTGGTGTTGCAAATGGGAGTCCAGCCATACGAGGAGCCCAGTATGGAGACGACACCATCGGAGTCCACATACGCAAGTGAGCCTTCGTCGGTGTACCTGCGCAATAATAATCACTTGTGGGGCTTTACGTACCAAAACCATGATATGAGAGGCATGCCGTAGCAGAAGGTTCTGGAAATGAAGACCGTGCAGTGTTCTTTAACATCCATCAACATCAGACAGTACGCGGGGCTTTACCGTTTCACTGAATCAAACAAGTGCAATGACATCCGGTAGCATTGATTTTGGGAACTTATAAAATAAACTGAAAACTGCCAGGAGTGGTCGTAACTAGGCTGGTTGATACATTTTTAACCAAGAACAAGCAGCATTAGACACAGCGCACTGAGTGAACAAAAGACAAGGTGCTGAACTAACCACGCTTGTGTGTTCTGGTAAGCATGTACCACACAGACCGGTAACAAGTACTACAAAAGGCTCCGCCATGCCATTAATGCTTTTGTGAAATGCTTCGTTGCATTACAATAAGCATTTGCCTACGTGATTTCACCAAAAAAAAAGCAACTGTGTCATCAATTTCATGAAGTTTTGGTTCTAGTTAAAGCTTTGCGAAGTTAAAGCTTTGTAAATTTCTTTTCTTGCGAACTGCTCTCTTGTAAAACGGAGCCATGCAGGCTGAAATGTGCACAGGCTTTTGAAAGCACCGTTTGCGTTTGGTCAGTCTAAGTGTTGGACATTTTAGGTACCACAATGCATATTCTGAGCAAGGTGGAGATGACATTGTCTTGAACCTCGCATTTTCTTTTCAGTTGCAACAGCATAACTCCTACATAAAGCAATGCCAAAGCAAGTTTAATGTACTTCATTATGTCTTTCAGTTCTCCGTTCCCCTCTTAAGCTTTGAGTGTACAGTTCTCAATGAGTGTACAGTTCTCAATGTAAGGCTCCATCGGGCTACCCTTGCCCGCAAAATAATATTCCCTCCCTCATTAAAGTATTGCAAACTGACTTCTTATTTCTTATGAGTAGGATGTTTTATTATTATTATTAATAATATTGAAAGAAGCTTTCTCTCATTAGGCTCTGTCTAAATGGCTGACGGGAATATTGCACAACTAAATGTCTTCAAAATCAATGCAGCTTGCACAAGGCTTGGTCACAGCAGAATTGATGTGCTCCTAACTGGTCTTGGCTTGGCTTGACTTCTTCCCTCTCACCTTCCTCATCACAGCTAGCTGTACCACACTATACATGGATGTGCTTGCTTTGTTTTTCTTTCTGTGTCTATTTCTATTTGTCTCTCTCCCTCTACACTCACACCTCATTATAACGAAGTTGCACCTTACACAAAAATAGCTTCGTTACATCTAAAAATTTGCTATAAAGATAAATCCAGAACACTATCTATTGCAAGACAACTCTTAGTTTACTTCGTTATAACTGATATTTCGTTATATCCGGGTTTGTTATACCGAGGTTTGAGGGTATTTCTATTTTTCACTGTTTAAATTTTTTTTCTTTCGACTCTACTTCTTCCTACCTCTTATTCTCTATTTTTCTCTATCTTTGACTCCCTTTCTTATCTTTCCTTTTCTCTATTTGTCTTTCTTTTCTTTTTTTTTTACACTATGCTTTACTCTATACCCTCTTCCTCACCCTCACAACACTCTATTTCTCACTTTCTCTTTACTTCTATGCCAATGCTTTACTTTGTACCCTCCTCCTTCTTGCTCTTCGGCCACAGTTCCCTTTCCCATCCCTTACTATACCACACCATACAATGCTATGCAATGCAGCATGCCTGGATATCAGACCGGCTAAGACGCCCACCTTCGGATCACAGGTACGCGGGTTCAAGGCGCACGTAGCCAAGAACTTTCCTTTGCCAAATATTTCTCTCTCTCTGTACTTGTCTCGCCCATCACAGTTATTGAATATAGGCACCGGAGAATTCTGCACATGTAAGGTGCTAGATCTCGAAACCCCCCCCGTATGTTTATGAGAGACGCCCTAGCGGAGTGCTCCGGAAATTTTGACCGCCTGGTGCCCCTTAACGTGCACCGACATCGCACAGTACCATTTCGCCTCAATCGTAATGCGACTGCTGCGGCTGCAGTTTAACCGCAGCCTTCTTGTCAGCAGCAGAGCACCGTAGTTGCTGTTCCACCCAGGCAGACAAAACCTGCGCACGTGTTCTGGGAGTGAAGCAGAAAATAAAAAAAAAGAGGACGAAGAGAGAGCGCGCCAGTTCATGATCACGATGATTTTCCACTGACGACATGCGGCAAAGCAAACTCGATCTTATCAGCTCCACTATAAAAACCATCAGCCGTGTTGTGAGGATCTCGGGCACTGAAATTGTGTACACCCACCCTGCCCAAGCAAGCCGCTGCCTCTCAGCCAAGGGCACCGAAACGGGAGGTCCAAGGACGCCAGCCCCCACGTTGTACTGAACCACGGCCAGTGCCTGCCGCTCGGCTGTGACACCTGCATGGCGTTACCGATACAAACGTCCGTCACCGCACATCAATTAAGATCGCACAACTGCACCCATTGCACATTCCCAACAAGAGGATGTAGACCATAAAATTTCACAAAACTGACACAGATCGAGACAAAAAAAGTCCATGGATTTCGATGGGCTTTGACAACTATATATAATCAAGAAAATATTTGCACATTTTCATGCACATCTGGGTACAGATAGATTTATTTGTTGTTGACAAGCAGAAATTGACATGCCAAGCGCGTAAAGATTAAAATGCTTTCGTACAATGTTAAGCAGGTGAAACGAAACCAGGCCAGTTATCTATATAAAAAACACTTAGTTTTGATCTCGGCGTTTTTCTTCAACGAATGCAGTCAAATATGTGGTCATGTGACATCAACGAAACTCACCTGCTCCTTGGTGGTAGATCAGGGCGAGGGAGCGACCGCTCGCAACGAGCGCAACCACCGGTCCCGGCGCACGCCACACGGCTTTCTGCAAGCCGCCAAACGTCCACGTACGCACCATCCCGGAGCTACAGCACGCGGCCAGCCAGTCGCCGCCCACCGCCACTGCCTGCACAATGTGCGGCTTTACTCAGAGCTGGGGCCGCTCACGATCATTCTCGTTCACGGCGCACAACAATACTTTGTGAATTTTGATAAACAGCTGAAGAGCTGAAAATTCGATACAACAAAACCCAATTTTACAAATTTCCCAGTGTCATTAACACATTTTCATTCCCTCGCAGGCTTGCATAGGGATCAAAGTTATTATCAGCTTGAATCGACAAAGCTATCATGGCATAAAACCCGTTTTAAAGTTTCATCAAAAATAAGTGAGTCAACAAATGCAGCGATTCCTTTCTAATTTTGACACAGGTGGGGGGCTTCCTTCAGGCATGAGCTACAACTTTATTGCATTACAACATCTAGCAACCCAAGTCACAATCCTGGCTTTATTTTGGAAAGGCTGCACCCTACACCCGGGCACAGAGCAATGGACTTAGCAGTCTAACTGCGCTTTTATGTACCAAATGACGCTAAGGGGAGGTGGTGGTTTCTTGTCCCTGTAAATGCCCCCAAAAAACATGTTGGCTACTTTCGTTATCTGTTGGTATACGCAACAAATAACACTGATAGTCTCCTCGCAAATTCACGTGCTCTGCCCGCTCACACACTCACTGCATTCGTCCTCTCTGTCTTTGCATATTGGCACACTGTCTTGACTTCACGTAACCATCTACATAGTTTGCACCAACTGGACGGGGGAGGCTTCATGTTCTACCGACGTGGGAGGCTCTACGCCTGGGCTGCCCTTGCATACATTTCACGCGCTGTAAGGGGAGCACATGCGCCTAGCCTCCCTTTCCCTTTTACGGCAGCACGACAGCCTGGTTGCGGGGACATGACTGTCCCTTCGAGAGTCAATGAAGCCTCTTGCGAGGGGATGGAACACCCCTGCGGCCAGCACTCGCGATTCCCCTTTTGTCGGCGCGCGGAACGGGTTTCCCCTCTCTCAGCGAGAAAAGGTATTATTCATGTTGTGGGGGTGTCAGCTTGGCGTGGCGCTCGCCATTTCGAGACCCCACAACGTCAGGGAGAGGAAAACCGGGTCAGTGAACAAAACTAGCGTGCGGACGGCTGCACACTCTCTCTGACACCGGCCAAGAACGAAGGAGGTCGAACCTGCAACCTCTTGTGAGCCGAGGACGTCAACGACCAAGGAGTAAGCGTCTACTCTTGTTTCTGTACTATCTCCTCGTGACATTTGCGCGCTATTGCTACCGTATAACAATAAAGTGTTGTTTTGTTGACCTAGCCTGTTGCCTTATTCGCCCGAACCCTTGTAGCTGCAATGAGGCAAGCTACGGATAAGGGACATCATTGATGCATGGTGCGACTGTGTGTGGCTGGAACATTAGCTAGGCTTCTGCTTCAGCCATACATAGGACGAACACCCTACAACGCGTAAACAAGTGTTAGTGACAAGTGAAATGCTGCGGTAGCTTTCGAGTCCCACGATGTTACAATTTCAGATTTCAAAGAGCTAGAAGTTTCTTTTCTCGATGTTATGAACTTCCTGATTTAACAATACCATTTGAGCACGGTCATCACATTGTTACACCATATTTCAACTGTTATGCATGAAAGAGTAGTTGATATGTAGGGTTTAGCATCCCAAGCATCAAAGAGTGGCCCACTTTATGGAAAGTGCAGGAGATGTGACTTTTCCACCTCACTCATACCCGACAGTGGCACTGCAACCTTGCACTGTTTAAAGGAGCACTGTCACAAAATTTCAAAGGCGAGATAACGAGCGAGATAGATTTATGTGGAAATATACACAACATCTACGAGATATCGAGGGCAAATATAGCCTAAAACATATTTAAAATCAATTTTAAAGAGCACGCCGCGCGACTGAACGAAATGCGGAGCCCCTTGCGACACAGACGTCAATGCAGGGGCAATGTAAACAAACCTACGCCACGAGTTTGTGTGGGCTGGTTGCTGGCACGCACACTGCGCTTGCGCTACTTGCGAATTCCTCTTCCGTGCCGGGGGGCTTCACCTGTGCTGGCTGTCAGTGCACCGCAGTGCACGGTCTCACGCGCGGCACCGACATTACAGTTTTGCAAGGTCACCTTGCCCCCGGAACTGCTCCTGCCAAGATCGGTGATTTTTGAAACCTAAACTGAGACTGCGCACTATAAAGACGTCTCTGAGTAAATAACCGTCGTGCACTCGCGCAAACAAGGTTTTCAGCTGTGATAAGTGGGTCATAAGCTACCTACTGCAACAAGAAAAAAAAAGTGCAAAATTGTGTCAGAGCTCCTTTAGGCAAGCAACACACATACGCAACCGGCTGTTCCTGATTGTGTGACTCACCTGGATGCCATCAGAGAGCGTTTCGACAGCCCATTCCTTGTTGCTGTCCCACGATGTCAGGTGAAAACACTCCAGCTGCTGGGGACCAGCCAGCACGAGGGCCTGGTCGCTGAGTGCTGCCATGGTGTGGCCCAGGGGGTTGCCGCGGTGTAGGGTGTGGTGCACTGAGGTGTCGTGGAACTCCACGTCGATGCTGCTCTCCTCGGCGGTGTTGTGTGCCCAGACCATGCCCACGGAGTTCCACACCTGGAAACCACACAATCTCATCATCAAGACTGACAAACAGTCACAAGCACATTGGTGGTGGTAATGGTGTTACATCTAGAGTTACCACGAACACAAAAGTAACCCTGTTCTAGCTACTGTCGCACATTTCTCCAAGGTACCAGTATTACAGTTCTGGTCTGAAGATGAGAGAGACAGCACTACATTCCGCTTTGCATTGTTTGTTCTGCTGTCTTTTACTTTCTAAATGTACTATTTTTCAAACAAAAAACTGAACAAACACGTAAATGTGTCAGTAAGGCTTGTGATACAAACAAGACAGAAGTTCAGGGGGAAGATAAAAAATTAAGCAATAAAAAAATTGTCAAACAAGGAATGTCACTAGAGATTGTGGCTCAACAACAATACCTGCCTTCAACCAAGGCAGTAACAGCATTCGTTAACAACATATTTTGTGTGCATTTTACTCCTTTCACACCTTTTTAGGAGGCAAAGAGGAAATTGGGAGAAAAAAAATTTCCAAACCGTGAAAATCGTCAAACAGCGAAGCTGCAAGCATGTGAGTGATAGTATAGAGCGTCACCATTTTCATTTTATTTATTTATTTAATCACTTCCCACTCAAGTCACGTGACCTGCGTGATGACTACCTAATACTACTAATACTACTATTACTATTACGATGATAACGACTGCACAGGACAGACTAAAGCAGCTACGTTGTAAATAAAAGCCGTGGGGTCAAGAGACGAGTTCAGGGCGATTGCTTTACAACTGCACATTGCATCCAATGCAGATATTGGCACCCAGTAACCTGATATTCCTCAAACACCTTTGAGTATACCGAACACTTGGCACACGGGCTCAAGGCGAGCCGTACCATGAAACGGTGTTGGAGGTGGACAGGTGTGGAGCTCGGCTGGAAGGCATCCTGCACCAACCGTGGTCGGTACTCTGGCTGTACAGGCGTAGCTGCCCTTGTACTAGGCACCGCAGGTGCGTCTTCCCCCTCGGCGTCCGAGTCTCCAAAGATGAGTGGCTCGTAGGTCGCTTTGATCTGACCTAGGTCTAGAGTCCCAGAAGTACAGAGCATATCAGAAAAGATTGCTTGATAATCACACGAAAATATTTTCTGCACTGCTCCCCAGTGAAAGCCGCATATTCTGACAGGTCCCACTAGCGAACATTGCAGTAACACATCATACTCCTACTTGGAGCATATGCTTTGAACACCCCTTTTCATGCGTATAAATATGCTAGGCTTTACAATAACTATAATGCTTTCTTTTTTTCCAAGTTAGCTAATGTTCTAGCATATAATACTTCATCTTGATTTTCATCTTTTCTACGAATTCTAGCTTCAATAAAGGAATGGCTGAATGTCAGTGCTGACCCAAACACTAATTAAGAAAGTACATGTTACTTCCCATAGAATGTTTCACATTAGAAGGAATGCAGTACTAACCGACAAGCAAGAACAAGACACAGCAATGTCTATGAGCTCCTTGTTTCATCCAGTCTAGAGGCACTTTTTTTTTTCCTTCAATGTAATCTTTTCAGAGGATCAGCATTGCTGCATTAGTCATACTGCAAAACATTTTCCAAGAGAAAAAATCTTCGAAGCACAGCACAACATCTGCTGCTGTCATGCCTTGTTTGTCCCAGCAGTTCTTATTACATATCATTTCACAAAAAAAAAAGGTGTACAACATGGACAAAAAAGGGGCGGTAGAAGGCCAATACCTCTTGTTCGTAGTCTTTTTTTTTTTTTTTTAGGGGGCGAAGCTCCTTAGGGTCGAGCCACCAGCGTCCGCGGTATTACACGCTACGGATACCCATATGCACATCGATATCTATATGAACACCCTAATGAATATCCATATACATATAGTTATCCATATAGATATTCATTTGGACGTCCATATTTCAAAAACTAATTTGAGCACAAACCCACGACACATTCATGCACACGCACATGAATGTGCCGTGTGTTTGTGCTCAAATTAGTTTTTTTTAAATGTTCTACCAACTAGCTCAACAAGTTGTTTTACGATAGATGTCCATATGGTATCCACATCCATGTGGATATCCATATCTATATGGATATCCACGTGGATATCCATATCTATATGGATATCCACATGGATGTGGACTTTATTTGGCTATGGATACCCGTATCGATATCCATATGAGCATCCATTTGGACATCTCAACACAATGTGGCCATTGTGATTAATAAACCACTTTGTATACACTGTACGCACATGTCACATCATTGCATGATCAAGTAGGCAATGTACAGGGGTTAATGATCCCCCGGAGCATCGCCAACTTGTCAGAATTCACTTCGTGATATGCTGCGATTCTTTTTCCTCCCTATGCCGTTTTATTTTTTGTTAGATCCATCTATTCCGCACCCAACAGTGCACTCTATTCTGTGTCGTTGCCTCACCTATCTATGACCTCTCAGCACTTCTTGTTCCCATCTCCAGCTTTCATTCCTATTCCTTTCTTGCTAAAGAAATAACACAGCAAGACTAGTAAGAAGCACACACGACATGTAAGCATTCTCATCAATGAAACAGCACAGCTTGGCTTGCACACAGGTGGCACTCACCAATGCCGTCATCCTCACCGTCCCCTTGGTCTTCTGGCAGGGCCTGGAAAGAGACGAGCATTATCATTTCAGCTCGCGTGACATCATGGGCTCACTGCCCTAAAGAATAGCTTTTCTGGTGCCATGTAGGCTTCCACTGACCTTGTTCCAGCAACTTTTCATAACTGAAGACCAGACGGAATAAAATGCCCACGAAAGAGTGCGACATAGTGCAGAAGTGTATTACTAAATGACTTGACAAGTTCTTTTCCAGGAGTACCAGTGATACTAGCTATTCCACTACACTACTGGAGTTTTGTTCGTGCCAGTGTTTTTCACACCAAGAGCATTCGAGTCTCCTTGAGGAGCAATACAGCAGTGAAACAGCCCCCGAAGTGCAGCTGAGTGAAACGAACAAGCAGTGCAGATTGCTGCTCAGCTGTGATGCCGATTGCAGTGGTGGTCGGTGCCAATGGTGTGCTGGTGTAACTCCTTCACATACAATAATCCTAGTAGTGATCAATGAGAGTTCTATATAAGAAAAGACTACAAATACTCTGGACAGAAAGCAACTGCTGCAGATCCACTGTGTTTTATTGGAATTCAGACACACACAGAGAAGCTCCTTCGCGACTTTTTCAATGCTCAGATCTCCGCGATGCGATGTTATTTTCCTGGGACTCTTTCACTCGCTTCCTGTAACAAGGCATGCTATCGACTGGGTATGTGCAAATACTAAACGATGAGGCTCGGATCAAAGCCAAAGCAAATGGTGAGTTGGCCGAATAATTTCAAATCTGACAAAACTTAACTATTTGAAATTTCGAGGTACTTCAAACGAACAAATAGGTGTATATTAGACTGCATGTAACGTCCCTGTGAAAGTAGTTTCACTGCAGCATAGGAGCTTTATGCCACCAAAAGGCCTGTCCGAAAAAATCCGCACTGCCACGAAGCATCACTTCAGGAATAAATGAACATATTACCCTCACATCGATTAATCATTTTTCAAGTTGAAAAGCTTGTTACGTGGGCTCATATGCTGTAAGTATGACAAATTTTAAAACATATTCTACTGGTTATCACTTGCATCCTATTGAAGTTTGAATCCTGCCACTATCCAGAGTTGCTTCCATTTGACTTTGAACCAAGAAATAAATGACACTCGCACATGTCTTGTTCCAAATGAAAAATATATATATTTTGCAAGTTGATTGGTTCATGACAAATACATTTATCTTTATAATATGTAGTATATACTATTTGAACTATTCAATTCAAAATTATTATACCAAATCACTACTCGCTTCGAATTCACTTGGAGCATACCGTTTACAACTATTCACACATCCCCACTATCATGATTATTTTGTGATACGTTATTAATAATAGAGGAATCAAAAGTCGAAGTCTCACTTTTGAATTTCATACCACAACTTCAGCATGCAAACCTCGGTACGATGTCACAGATGTCTTCTCTCATAACAGTGGCTCAAAGAAATTTCCTGAAACCTGTTATGTTAAGGCTTTGTGTCCCTCAGAACACAATGTCAACGATTTTGGGCAACACTCAACTATGCAGGTCCCGGCAGACACCACTAAACTTACGACACCACAAGCTGGTGCTTTAGGATGACGGTGCCACCTGTATTTCCTTTCTTGTGTATCCTCGCTTGCTAAGCGTTTCCTCTCGGTAAGAGTGGTGCTTTCGGAATAGCGACACTGTCTTATGCTAACGCGAGAAGCATCGCTTTTTATCTTTAGTGTGTCGTTGATTAGGTGGAACCCATTTGGCTAGACAACGGCCGTATCCTGCCATAATCAAAAACCTAAAGAGGTTAAGAAAGAAAGCTTTGCTTTGAAGAGTGAACAAATATGGCCGCTGCACTGACTGCCAGCACACTCACCCTGACTGCTGGAGATGCCAGCTGCTCTTTGTTGGTGCCAACCTCGATGTCCTCGACGAGACCCAACTGGCCCTGCAGGGCAGGAACAAGACAGGTACGTTACCATAGATAACACCGGCACAGCACTCCTTCAACCAATATTGGTAACCCCTGGTATGCTAAGGAAACTGATGGCTCACTCCTGTGGCAATATCTTGGCGATAAGCACACGAGATTCAAGTGATATGAGGTAAACGATGTGAGAATAGGTCAGAAACCGTCAGCTGTCAGTGCGAGAAAAAAATGAGAAGTTCTTTCAGGAGTGCCTCAAAGGTGGTAGCTTCAAAATGCGTGCTTGCTTCCAAGACATTGGACACTTACTCCTTACAGATCAGCCTCATGAGAAGCAGCACCTTGATTGCCATCAGACTGACTACACCAACTGCAGAGTGAAAGCATTTCTCGTTTCGCCGATCGACCCGGTTTTGTGCTTGGAGTGGCCTCGTGATCCCCGCAAAACTTCTGAATCTCATTTGCCCGCCTAACTTTCTGCCTTCCGCTGGTCCACCCTGCCTTTTCTTGGAACACAGCCTGTCACCCTTAATGACCGGCGGTTAACTTGCCCTCTCACCTCTTATGCCCATGCCTAACTTTTTCTTGATTTCCCCTAATAAGATATCCTTAACGCTCGTCTCTTCTATGATACACTCTGGCGTTACAGCAAGCGTTTGCTAAAGTAAAACCACTACATGCGTGTTCTTTGGTACGGCTCGGCTCTGACGACAGCTGTGTATCAGCGCAGAATTGCACAAAGAAAGCACAGCGCGACTTCAAGGAACGAGAGGCTCACCTGGACGTTGCAGTAAACAAGCTCTTTCCGACATGGGTTCCAGCTCAGGCTGCAGATGTTCTCACCGCAGGATACCCTGCATTAGAATCGACACATGACTTCCATGCTGGCTGTGAAAATGTGTCCTTGGCTTATCTGGAGAGCGAGTGAAAATTTCAAGTACCACAGCAGAAACCCTCACCACACACTGTTTTTTGAAATCAGGCACTGGGTATCGTACTGAGCTCATTTGAAGTGATAGATACACCCTAACAATTATTTACTTCTGCATGCAGCAAACAAGCAGTGGTGGACACCGAGGAGAAAGAAGCAATAAGTGATGAGCCGTCTTTAGATCACAGCAAGTTTTTCATTCAACCTTGCATTTGACAGCCAATGACAGGAAAACTGGTTGAAGAACTCGCTGATTGCTAACACCCCCTTTGCATATTATCATCAGAAGAGTTCTATCGTGAGATTAGATTGAAATTAGATCATGTGGCTTTACATACCAAAACTAAAATAGAATTATGAGGCACAGAGTAGTTGAAGACTACGCAACACTTCTGACCCCCACCTGGGGTTCTATAAGCTCGCCTAAATTTGATTTCACAGACATTTAAGCATGCCCCTTTCATTGGAACACGGCCACCACATCTGGGAATCGAACCTGCGTCCTTTTTCGTAGAAGTGCGACACAACAGCCACAAAAGAAACCGCGACAGATGATGAAAGATAGTGAAGACCAACAAGCGGAAATTCAATATTATGTAAATATTTGCACACTACTCTCAAATGATGAAACAATGTTAAGTTGCTTAACATTTGCCAATTATTATTATTATTATTACTCTTATTATTATTATTATTATTATTATTATTATTATTATTATTATTATTATTATTATTATTATTATTATTATTATTATTATTATTATTATTATTAAAATACCCCTAAAGGCCGAGAGGGTACTACATAGAGGCAGCTATTGCAACTAATGGGGAATAATAACAGAGAGAATGGAATGAACAAAAGACACAATTACGAACATTCTCTGGTATATGGCAGGTAAGTGAGATAGATCGAAAAAAAATAAACAATAGCACATCATGAATTATAAACTGACATTAATTATTACAAGAGATAATGCATGACAAAAACAATTTTTTGAGATGCATAGCACATTCGACAGTCACAAGGTGCCACCTTCAACTTGCAGTAAAAAATACAAAATGCGCACAAAAATATATGCAGATGCTCACAAAAAAAGATTGAGATTCGACATGGCAAATAGAATAAATTTTATTCCATTGTGATGCATGCAGGAGAGTTGCTATGCATGTCAGAGGAAAACAACGACGAAGAACCGTAGGAGTGGAGGCAGTCCGCTAGTTGTGAAATACGAGAGAGTTGCTCACGTGTGCATCAGCTGGCGCGCACTCCAGTTCCACACCATCAGCTGTCCTTTGCTGGTGGCAGCTGCCAGCAGCTTGCCACATCCTGCTGAACGCCACAATCGATAGCTCCTGCGTGGTTGCACAAAGTCGCGAAAGTGAATTGCTCCGTCATCCTTTGCCGTACCTGCCATTGTTTTTCGTGCACCGTTCCTCGCTAGAGCCTACGAACCAAACCTTTGCCTCTACTACCTGTATCTGGCATTCTGCACATTTCCGATGCAACTTTGTTATTGCATGGCGACGTGAACAGTGCCTGTGTGCTACTCATCAGAGCGGTAGAAAGAAATTTATTTATTTGGAGGGGAGGGGGCCGAAGAGCAGGACCCCCCACCCCAAGTCCCCCTTCTAACAGCACCAATGCTTCTCCCACACGATTTGAGTTTTTATCCATATTCCGGTCCCGAGACGTCCAAAAACAACTTACCTACAATAAATGTGTGAATATTTAGGTTCTTGGTTGCACATACATTGACTACTTTATTGTAAATTGCGAACAATTCACAATATTATAGTAATTGTTGAGTCAGCATACGCGTGTGTCCTCTGTACATTCTTTTCGCACTGTTCCTTGAATTACTGTAGCTTTATTTTTTCAGTGTTTCACTCCCAAACAGTCAGCAACGAACAAAGCGTTTGTTCATTAGTAACAATAACAAACATAAATAGCAAATGCAATCACTACACAATAAGTTGATGATTGATATGTGGGGTTTAACGTCCCAGAACCACCATATGATCATGAGAGACGCCATAGTGGAGGGTTTTAGAAATTTCAACCACCTGGGGTTTTTTAACGTGCACCCAAATCTAAGCACACGGGCCTACAACATTTCCACCTCCACCGGAAATGCAGCCGGGATTCGATCCTACGACCTGCGGATCAGCAGCCGAGTACCTTCGCCACTAGACCACCGCGGCAGGGTTACACAATAAGTTGGCCAGCCCGCAATGGGAGACAAAACGGCGCCACAAGGAGTTGTCCGTACGCATGTTCAGGTAGCTCACAAGTTCAACAACAGCAGCCCACGCTCACCTCTTCAACTGAATTGTGCACGAGCTTGTCCACCTTGTCCCAGGTACTTCGTGGGACCAGCTGCACCTCCGACTTCACGGGCAGGGCCAACTGCACGCGACCAGACACGCACCAGTTACCACACTGGGACAAACAGTGTCGGTGAAGACGGAACGCCTAAACGTCGAGATCGAAAAAAGTCTGGAAAAATAACAGCCCAAGTGTTTGCAGGCCGATAGGTATATTGCTATGAGAAGCATTATATGCCCACATCACATTCACCAGAAGCCTTTTCATCCAGAATCCTGTACACACAGAGAGATAAGGCAGCTCAAGTACATACCGTTACCACTTCATTACTGTTCTGCGTAACGATTGTTCCACGCAGTTCACATGTTTGCAAGTTGGCTATCTTCTAATTCAGTGTCAATATGCTTTCTAATATACACAAGTTCTCTACAAAACATCTTTGGCCAATGCTAGTTGATAAAGGCAGCAATTTTTCTTCTATTAAAAGGAGAACAGAGGTCAACGAAAAGCAAATCTGACACTTCAATTGCCTTTTTTCTGAAAGCACAGCCAGACGCAAAAGACTTCACGGCGGGCAGCAGTATCCTATAGATCACGCCATAAGAAGGCAAAATATGCCTCCAATTCGCACACATCATCAACAATCTTTGTGAATCTGGATCACACAAGAAACAACGTTTGGCTTGGGTCAAAGCCCACTTTCAGTGTTCTTTCTTGTGTTGCTGAAAAAACTTCCATAAAAAAATCTTTCTTTTTTGTGCAGTGTTGAGCATCCCTAGTTTCAACGTATTGTGTGCATATCAATGGAGAAAATAGGCATTTACATTAGGCATTCTTATAGCTCTTACTTAAAGGCAATCATAGCAACACTAAAGAGCACCACCTTGTCTCCTGAAGGGGACCAGGCCAGACGGCCAAGCACCTTGGAGGTCCTGCACATATAAAGACATTCCATACAGCTTTAGCATAACACTTGGGTACCTTAAGATATGCACAGAATGAGGTGAAATAAATTTGCTCATTGCGAATGTTGGGGATCTACGAATCAACGGCACAGTTTCACACATGTTTGGAATTCGATCAGTTTTGGCTGAAGTGCCCAATCGGAAGCCAGCTGTTTGACTGTGACAGCTGACCAAGCGCATTAGTCAAAATCAAGCTTTTGAGAATCGAACAGAGACAGACATGTGAGGATTCCACCCAAGTCACACTGTTTGAGAACCAGCTGCTAATCTAACATCATTATAATAAAGCCACGTTTGACCTGAAAGCTATTGCCATGATGCTCAGCATTTGTTGAAACCATTACACATGCATACGATAGAAGCTGTAAACGTTTTCCACTACAGCGGGAGAATGCACCCCTATACTAGTGATAAATTCATTTTGCTACTTATGTGATCACAATGGCGATTAAAGTTCCCAATGCAGCAAGCACATCTGACTTCACACAAGATAACAGTGATGACTCAGCGAAAGTCAACAGCAAAAGAAATAAGGATGACAGAGTGGCCACGGCGGTTTAGCATACTTCGAAGTATAGGCTTGACGATGACGACGGGCAAAAGAGATAATCACAGACACTGTGTGTGTACGACTTTCCCTTTTTAGTCCGTTGTCATCGTCACACCTTCACTTGAAAGTAAACAAAAGTAAATACAGGCAGGTGGCCCGTTAGTACCACCTTTGTTTATCAAAGCTTGCTATATACCTAATTTACTGCACATAATTTTCTTTGCAACCACAGCTAAACCACTGTGATGGGGTTGAATTTATCATGCATAATAATGTTATGCCTGTGTTTGCTACTGTGACGTGAGACTGTATCAAACTGCAAGGAAGGCAGCACAGTATACTGCCATGTGATGCTTACAGCGACATATAAGCCATTTATGTTGCGCTGCATAGCCTATGGTGTTTCCCTCACTGTATGAAGTTGACAACTTCATAACGTATATACCGAAAATCGTTGCTCTTCGGTAGGATGCCATGCCACGTCTTGACACAACTCTGGTCCGACACCTTCCAGACTTTAACACTGCCATCACAGCTCGAAGAAGCCTGCACAGCCGGAGAACACAAGTGCGAACAACTAGAAGAGAAGCACTTTAGTTGAATCAGCTTTTGCAGCACTAAAACAATGATGGCTGCACTTTACCCAGCACAAGCTGCTAGAAACTGAACAGTTAAAAGCGGCGTAAGTCTATAACCTACATAGAAAGGCAATCTCTTGTAAAAAAAAAAACTACAGTAAAATGTTGAGAAACCCTCCTCCCCCAAGCAATACAATATACCCCCCACCTACCCCCCCGGCAATATGTCTTGTCCTTCATATCCCAGGCATGGGCAGCCATTTTGGCACACCGGGTGTGGCAAACATCTAATGCACTAGATCAGAGGGTGGTGCACTGCACGCCAGGCTCCCCTTTGTCAGCAATCTACCATGAGAAGACCGCAGGCTTCGGCAGGCCATGTGCGCGGATTTAATTTTTGCGTCTGACTCCAAGGAATAATTTGACGAGTTTGACAGTGACGAAGGAGAAAGAAAACAGTGAATAAATGAAGCATTTCATTATCAACATGAATGGGCGTTTTTTTATCTTTAGTGGCACTCACGCACCCATTTCGAACCTCGGTATGGCACCGTGCAAACGCTCCCCCTCCCAAGTCTGGTTAGATTATCGTTTACCGTAGGGGGATGGGGGGTGGTTGCTCGGCCTTTTACGGAGGTGGATGATAGTAGTAGTACTTCTAATGTAAATGTAAAGAACGAAAATGGATGAAAGGTTTACTAGCCGCTAGCACGGACTGAACCTGTGGCCTTTGAATACTGCGTCCAATTTGAGCTGCAAGAACGTTCACCTCCCCCCCCCCCCGCCCGTTTTTCACTTTGAGGGATATATATAGGCTTGTGGGAATATTCGAATGCTTCAAATATTCGAAGAATAATATAGTATTGAAATTCGCTTCGAATCCGATTTCAATTATTGAAAGTTTCTAATTATTCAAAACTAACGAATAGGCGCATATTAATCCACATGAAACGCTTTGTAAAGGTGGTTTCACTGCAGTGTAGGGGTGCTAAGCCGGAAAACACTTATTTAAATGCATTAGCCTGAATGTACAAGTGGTTTCACCGCAGCGAAGTGATGCTAAGCAGTCAGAACATGTATTCAAGAAATAGGCACTGCAGCAAATCCCCACTTCAAGGTTTCAATAAATTACCCTCAAATCCATTCCGTTTTCCTGTTGTTTTTATTTTCAGTTTAAAAGCTCGTTATACCAACCTATATGCTCTAAGTATAGCAAGTTCTAAAACGTATCATATTTTACTGTCTATCACTAGGACTGTACCGAAAGGCTAATCCTGCTACTATTCAAAGTTGTTGCCACTTCCTTTGATGCAAAAAAAAGCCTATGCAAAGTCCTTGTTTCAATTTTTTTTAAATATTGTGAAGGTTAGTTTGGTCATGACAAATGTTCTCCTTTTTATTCATAATATACGATACATATACTATTTGAATTTGATTCAAAATTATTCGACTCAAATCACTATTCACTTCGAATTTGCTTAGGACCTAAAATTTACTAATCGCACAAGCCTAGATATATATGGACTCAAGCGTAGGAGTGCCAATCAGCACCACCAGTAGCCACAACGGTGAATGTGGAACGCTCTTTTTTTTTAGGGGCAAAGCTCCTTAGGGTGTGGGCCTGTTCGTCACTGTCCATTGTAGCCAACCCTAGTACTCAGAGTGCTCACTAGATGGTGCTGCAACGCTCGCTCGCTTGATCAACGCTCGCTCGCTCGGTTCGGTTCGGACTGTCACGGTGGATGGACGTGTTTTTTTAGCGCTCCCGATCGACTGCGCAGATAAGTTGTTTTGCATGTTTTGAGCTTGCCTTTATAATTATAGGGCAGCAGTTGAAATCTTCGTAGCACTTATTTTATGGTACGGCTTTTTCGGGGGCCAGTCACCAGGTATTTATTAGTGCGTGTGTGTGTGTGTGTGTGTGTTTGAATTTTTTGTTGTTTTTTTTTTCTTTTGCCACCTCGTGGGAGAGGTGCACGTACATTGAACACGCAAACTTTTGTAGTAGAGCTTAGACTTTCTTTTTCTCGTGGGGCAGGGTTCAAGTTTTGTAATTATCGAGTGAGACAAGTCATAGGGAGAATTGGTGTCGGAAAGACATGGTTAAAAAGACTGTTAAGTGTTCAGGATGTGGGGTTGGTTTGAAAGTGGACCCAAGTGTAGAAGCGGAAGGAGAAGAGGCTGACGCGAAGTGTAGGCAATGTGAGGTCGAGGAAAAAATGGAGAAAATTATGGTTACACAGAGTCACCTGCTGATGAGAATCACCGAGCTCGAGACTGCGTTGGGGACAGGGCAAGAGAAAACGAGGGCTATGGGAGAAAGGCTGAAGTACGCCGAGGAAGCACTAGCCAAGGTGAACAGAGGAGCGGCCTACGAAGAAAAACAGTAGGGAACCGGCAAGAACACCGGAGAAAAAAGAGCAAGCAAGTTTGGAAAAAACAGGTTCAGCCGGTTCAATTGTCGCAAGGCCCAGCTTCAGCGAAGTAGTGGTGGGGCTGGGAGGGGACAGAGCAGCCGGCGTCACAGATGCAAGTAACCCCCAGGTGCAGGACGCTCCAGCTGAAAAGTCACAGTGCCACTTCTCAGGAACAGGTAGTGATATGCACGATACCGGTGCGTGATAGCAACCTGCAAAGAGCGGTTGTCAACGCAAACCAAGAGATATGGCAGATGAGTCGAGAGAAAGGCTTTGAGGTGGTGGAAATAAACAGAGAAGTGCATAGGTGGGGTGGTTTTCAACGAGACAGAATTCACTTCGATGGGCGGCTAGGTCATGAGGTGGGTTGGCGACTTGCAGGACGCGCAGTAGCTTTTTTGGGGGGCAAGCGGGCCCTTCGGGGTGCAGGATAGCTAGTAACGAGGAAAACAACCAGGGAGATTCTTTTTGACAGGTGGTATGGACAAATACGATTCCAAAGTGGCACCAGTATCTAAGATAGGTAGAGTCCGGGGCAGAAATAGATGTAGCCACGAGCGCCGAGCCAATTCAGACATAGGGTATATTAACATGCAGGGTGGTAGGAACAGGAAGAAGTGGGAAGAGATAGAAGAACAGCTAAGGGAGGAGAGGCCGATGGCATACGGTTTTGTAGAAACACATCTCAGGGACATGGAACAACCTCCTAACAATCCGGACTACGTGTGGAATATTGTAATAGAACAGAAGGCAGCAGAAAGGGGGGTGGTATTGGAGCATTCATTCATAAAAGTACAGACTGGCAAAGGGTTAAGCAGGAGTGCAAGGAGCATTTATGGCTGAAAGGGAAAGTGGCAGGGCAAATTACACTCCTTGGTTTCGTGTACTTGTGGACGGGAGCAAGGCCAGAAAGGAAAACCAGGCAATGGTAGAGTGTATATGAAATGACATTCAAGAGTTAGGAGGAGAGTGCGAGATAATTATACTAGGAGATATGAATGCGCACATAGGAAGATATAGATGGGTATACCTACCCGACAGGCCAAATGATCATGGAATATGTGTGAAAGGCTTGATTTGATCATTTGCAACAGTACCGAGAAGTGTGAAGGGCAAAAAACATGGGAGGTAGGAAGACTACAGCCGACGAAAGATTACGCACTGATGTCACGTAGGATGTATGATAAGCTCAGGGGAATGCACATAGGTGAAGGTGGCTCCAGAAGTCTGGGTAGTGATCACAAACGTTTCAAGCTAAGTTTTGGAAGAGCAGCAAAAGTGGAAAGGAGACCAGATGAGCAACTACGGGAAAATTTTCATTCAGAAAGGAAATTGAAATAGCCACTAAACAAATTGAGAAAGTAATCACTGAGGATAATAAAACAGTGTGGACATACACGAATCTAATTAGACTGTTTGAGCTAGAGCTTGCTAAGGCATGTGACAAGTCCCCCCCGAAAAGAAGACACAAACCCAAAAGTTGGTGGGATGAGGAAGTTAAGAGAGCCATAGCAAAATGTCAGGAAGCCTCTAGGGAACACAGACATGCTAAGCAGAGGGGTGAACTGACAGATGATGTTGAAAGAAAATGGGACATCTTTCTAAACTGTAGAAGGGAAGCATCCCTTCTGATCAATGAAAAGATTAGAAGAAAGGGGGCTCAGTGGCTGGCAGAAGTACATAAAAAGGATAGAAAGGCAGCTGCAAAATTTTGGACAAACTCCCTAAGAAATGCGACAAGCCTACAACAGAGGTTTATAACTACAGCTCAAGGTGCTAGACTAGAAGGGGACGAAGCTATTGAATATATAAGAACAAGGATGGCAGAAAAATTTCAACAAAGAAGTGCTTTATGCACCACAATAGACAAGGATGAATCAAGTGGTGCAATGGCTCCATTTTCACAACAAGAGTGGGAAAGGGCTGAAAAAAGGGTTCCTAGAAGTACATCAACAGGCCCAGATGGCATTCCAATTATGCTGATAAAGACATTAGGTCCGAAGTATAAGCAGGCTTTGAGAGAGGCAGTGAGCAAAATAATAATCGATGGAGAAGTTCCCGATGGATGTAAACTTAGCAGGATGAGCATAATCTATAAAGGAAAGAGGGACAAAGCTGACATAAACAACTACCGTCCTATAACAGTGACATCAGTGGTCTACAGGCTGGCGATGCAGATTATAAAGGAAAGACTGCAGGCATGGAGAGGATGAGGGGGTGCTGGGGGAACTGCAGAATGGGTTTCGAAGAAACAGGAGGTTGGAAGACAATCTGTTCTCACTGACGCAGTGCATCGAAATAGCAGAAGAGGAACACAGGCCCCTGTGTCTAGCATTTTCGGATATCAAGGGAGCATACGATAGCGTGGTTCAAGAGGAATTGTGGAGAATACTGGACACACTAGGCGTGGAAGATGTAGTCACTAATCTTTTAAAGGATATCTATAAAGGTAACAAGGTAATTATAAAGTGGGAAAAACAGGTATCAAGCCTGCAGAGGTAAAATGGGGCTTAGGGCAGGGGTGTCCCCTGTCACCCTTATTATTCATGACGTACCTACAAGGAATAGAGGCCAAATTAGTAGAGGGAAGTGGACTGGACTTCAACCTCTCTTTCATCGAACAAGGAAAACTCATTGAACAGGCACTACCAGCATTGATGTACGCAGATCATATAGTGCTAATGGCCAACAACAAAGAAGATTTGCAGAGATTGGTGGACAGCTGCGGTAATGAGAGAGATAGGTTAGATTTCAGATTCAGTAAGAAAAAATCAGCAGTCGTGATTTTTAATGACAATGAAGGTAGTGAGCTTAGAATACAGGAGGTCACGCAAGAGATAACAGATAAATACAAATATCTGGGCGTATGGATAAGCAATGGGGCCGAGTACCTAAAAAAACACGAAATATACGTGTCGGCTAAAAATAACAGGAATGCAGCGGTAATGAAAAACAGGGCACTGTGGAATTACAATAGGTATGATGTTGTGAGAGGAATACGGAAAGGGGTCATGGTTCCTGGTCTGACGTTCGGCAATGCGGTCTTGTGCATGAGATCAGAAGTTCAAGCAAAATTAGAAATTAAGCAACGTGGAATAGGTAGCTTGCCTTAGGAGCTCACGGGAATACATCAAATCAGGGAGTACAAGGTGATATGGGATGGACATCATTTGAGGGCAGGGAAGCTAGCAGCTAAATAAAATTTGAGAAGCGATTGAGAGAAATGGGGGAGGCAGTCAGGTCAGGACGGGAGTACCGCGAACCAAGACATATCGGGCCAAATACGAAGGGGTAGACACAGTATACAGTGCGTGTGGAGAGGAAGAAGAAACTGCCGAACACTTGATAATGTTCTGTAAAGGGCTTCACCCTATAGTTCAGGATGATGGCACTGAGTTTTTCAAAGCACTGGGGTTTAGGGACCGGGAGGGCAAAATAGACTTTAAGCGGGTAGACTTAACTAGAAGGAGGTTATCTGATTGGTGGCTAAAGTCAAGGCACGAGTGAAAATTAAACCCTTCACTGCAAAGTACGAATCCTCAATGTAACTATTTAAGGGAAGACAAATCAATCTAGTTTTTGGTTCATTAAGTATTACGGCTTGGTGGCGCTAGCCACCGCCCGATCTAAAGGGTACAGCCATATCCATCCATCCATCCACCACCAGCTGCTTCACACGGCAGCAACTCGAAAGCGGCGGGCGCGAGTTCATGAACAAAGTGCTCAACCGAGACCTGGCCTTCACGTGGGGCATACCCAACATGGTGCAACACTGGCGAGAATGCTGCAAGAAAATCTTTGCCACGATTCGCCAGCTGGGCAAACCGCACGCGTTCGTCACGCTTTATACCGCAGAAGTATACTGGAACAGGCTCCTCGAAACTTTGAAACGGCCGCGAGTGGGATGCACGGTTTACCAATGTATCTTCGCCCACTCATCTTCATCGACTCCGTGGATATGCTGCAACTTTTTTTTTTTTTTTACTGCCTGCTGGCATCCCGAAGCGTGTGATCTTTTTACTAGCTGGCATGACCAATAATCTCTCACATACTACCTGAAGGCGTTCTTCCAGAATGAGACCTTTGCTATAAATGAACGAAAGAAGGGAAACTTTAGGGCTCATTATTTTTTGTTAGACACAATATTAATTAGAACCTAACCGACCATTGTTTCCATTCTTGTGCGTCGCTCGTTCATGTTTTCTCTCTCAAATTTGTGCAGAGCTCCTGTCAAAATGAACAGCAGCTAACTACAATGCTTTACCAAATAGCAACATTTCTCATCATTTCACACTACTGTGCAAGAGGAACAGAAGTCGAGAGGAGCAGAAATTAACAGAAGGCCACTCACGACAAACTCGGCTTGAGGGTCTATACAGCACCAAATCACTGGCGCCTTGTGGCCCACCAGTGATTGGAAGTTTCCAGATGAAACTTCCACGACCTTCAACGTGAAATCCCTGAAACAAATGATACAACAGGCGTGCCGTCGTGACTAGCAATGGAGACGAAACGCAAGTAAATCACCATTCCGCTGTCTAAACTTTTTGGCGGCTGAGCGTTTTTCAAGTGTGATAATGTCCAATTTCTGTATGATTAACATGTTAGCCGGCTTTATACTCAAATTACATTTATGGTTATGCATTGCAGGACATTTCTGTCGATTTAGTTGTCCAAATACTACAACGAAAAGACTTGCCGAGTTCGAATATGACAGCACAAAAATTAGAATTTGCACAAAGAAATTTTTACTAACAAAGCACAGGCCAACATGAAATGTTTTGGCATTTGCTATCGTAATTTTATGCATGTGGTAGATTACACAATAGTCATAGGCGTGCTCAAGTCGATGTATGGGGCAGCTTTTGCGCCCTTAACCTCTTTTTAGGTGAAAAGCGGGGAGTGGCGGTCAAAAGCCTATGACAATCACATAGCCATTTCGTGCATCCTCGGTAGTTTTGCTTTGATTTCTCTATGGTATTCATCAAATTGGCGAAAATACAAACACTTTGGGATATATGTCACCCGGCGTACACAAGCTTACCACAGCTAACTAACTGCACGCATCATTTTTGATGTAGTGAAAACTTACAAGATGTCATCTGTGGCCTATAGCTCCCTGAGGATCTTATACATTGAGACTATTACACCAGATGACATGTACAGTTGAGTATTAGTTTCTGCATAACACGGAGCACAAGTACTATTCAGTAATGCATAGAAATGACACAAGGTATTCGAAGAAACAGTGGCAAGTGGAAGAACCGAAAGTATAGGGGCATTACCCGGAACCTGCGACCAGAGTCTTTCCGTCGCTGCTGCACGCAACTGCGTAAACATCGGAAGGGAATTGAGCAACCACGCTGGTCTGCTGCCCGGTCGAGGCCTCGAACGCTTTGACGGTGTAATCGTCGATGGCGACGAAAAACGAGCCTCCCTGTCGAATGCAGAGAGAGAGTGAGAACCCGTCAGTGCCATGCACTGCTTAGTTAATGCGTAGTGGCCGTCTATGGTGCCACCAGCCGGCAAGCTTTGCCGAAGAACAAAGGCGTGCTTCCGGCACTTCGTCCCCATTGGCTGACTGCGTGACCAAACTACCGGCATTTCTGCTTGAGTGGCATCGGGCACCACGACTTCGGCCAGTCAGTGGGAACGAAGTGGCGGAAGAATTCTGCGCGGCCTACTCTGGCGGCAGTTCCTAAAGCGTAACTTACCCCACAGGCGACCGCCAGGGCGGACTCTCCGACGGAGTAAGACTTCGGCTCGTCGTCCTGAAAGCCCTCCCACGTCCTGACCTCCCCGTCCGAACCGCACGTCACTAAATGCCTGCATCAATCAAACGAAACGCTTCAACGTGCGTATTTCGAAGCACACGCCTGTGCCTTTTCCGAGACGTTACCTGCCAGTTGGACCGTAGCAGACGTCGGTGTGGCCTTCGGCGTGGGCGAATCGGGTGGGCTTTACGACGGGCGCCATTCTCGTTTCGAGGCGCGCACCGCAGTCCGTGATCTTGTAAACAAGTTTGTAAATTAGTTTAGCGTTTGATGTCGAAGCAACACTAATGCACGCACGGGCTCATATTGCCATACAGATTGCGCGCCAAATCAGCCAGACGACCAGAAGTGAATGTGACGACAAACTCACCGCTATAAAGCTTGTCGTTTGCGTATTCTAAGTTATAATTTTAAAATGCTATTTTCAATTTGTATAAATTGACTTTTGTAAACTTTAAACATAATTTTAGTAAGCGAACATGTTTTAAAAGTTTATTTTGTAGCAAATAATAATAAAAAATAGTGCTTAATGCAAAACTTTGAGGCTATTTTAAGTTATCGCCACTGCTAACAATAATGAAGAAGTTTTAAATTTGTTTTCAAGTAAATATTTAGTTTTTTAACCTACATAACGTTTCAATTGTTATTTGTTTGTGTTTGTTGTTGCGAAGCCACGGCAAGTCAAGCTGAACCAAGCTTGTGTAAAAAAAAAATAAAAAATGTGTGTCACAAGTTGAGCAATCCGAAGGCAACGTGCAGCGAAGCGGCGCTTCTCGGACGCGTTTTGTAAAACGCCATAGCTCAACCTTTGCTCGGGGGTTGGTTACTGACCGAGTGTTGTGCCTCGCTTTGAAATGAAGTCGTTTTTAAACCGCTTGTACAAGAAGATCAAGTGGTACTACTTCATGTACGATCTTCACACGTCCCTCTACATGTTGGAGTCTTGGGAGAAGAGGGTGTTCAGTATCCTTTTTTCGCTCTTTATTTCATCTATCTAGTTGATAGATAGATTATAGAAGAGCCACTGACCATATACAGGGGCGCGACGACGTAGTTAAGCTAATGCTGCGTGCAACTTCAGTGGCCCGCTATGGTGGTGTCATCAGTGCCATCGAAGCGGCGGGCAAGCGATAAATGGTAGGTGTTCTATGGCCGTGTCAGGTCACCGTTTCTAGTTCTCTGCCCTTCTGCTGGCGCGGCGCTTGCCGCCTGTTGCATGCGTCTAGCGTTTCCTTAACCCCTCATTATCAGATATCGGGCTAGTAGCCGTGGTCGCCATGTCGAGCTACACCACTTACGTCTTTTTGCCCCGCTACACGCAAAATGTGCTCCGTTACTTCGGTGTGGTCGAGTAGGCGACCGAGGTACGATTTGACGACGTCACCATGAAGTAAACTGGGTATCTGCGTCGACATTCTCCTAGTCGCCAGGACGGCCAGAAATTGCGATGTATCGCTTCGACTGTCTGACGATGCTGCTTCTCCAAGAAGATTTTTTTGTACAGCACACGCTCGAAAAAAAATGAGAAAGAACCTTTGAGATAGACAACGGTCCGTTGTGATGGAAAGTTTTGGTCTAGCGTGCGCAGCGTTTTCGCCTTTAACGTGCTTGCCAAAGAGGATATATAGCTTATGATGCATTCGCTGGGGCGAAAAACGGGAAGCTTTGAGTACCCTATTCCGAAACTGCCTATAATCCGGCATCACAGCCACGCTTTAATCTTCACCCTTGATTACAAAGAAACAACTACACAAATGCGCGGTATTCTGTCGTGCTCCTATGTTTAGTTTTTGTGCTTTTTTTTATTTCATTGTGGATCAAATGACCAAGGGCCCATAACACTATGCATATATCTTGTAACTTTTCCACACTGTGGGACTATTTGATCAGGCTAGTGTGAAGTCTTGGTTTTAATACCACTTTATTTGGATGTGCCATGTATTCACAGTCTTTATTGATGCGCTGGTATGTCAACTACCGATGCGCTGGTATGTCAGCTGTGCTGATTTTAGACTTAAATCTATTCATTGTGAAATCTATTCATTGGCGAACTCACTGCCACTGTGGCTGATTTGCATGAATATAAACTATACCTTTCGTTGTTAGGACTGTTCATTAATGAAGATACTGCGGGCTTTCTTGTGTTTACCTTGCAAGTGTCGGACTTACTGCAATGAATGTCTGTGTATCTTTGTTGCACTTATAGTTTTGCTGAGGATTTTCTAATGGGGACATCTGAAATTAAAAGTGATTGAACCTCTCGAATGGATAATATGGTGAATTAGCTTGTTGATATTAGTCAACCGTACTTTCATAATAGTTCAGGCTTGCCTTTTCATAGAAGTGACAGAATAAAATCTGTTCTTTTGCTTTGGTAATTTAGAGCGACGTTTCCTCACTTTCTTTGTGTTTGCATGAAAAGAGCAGTGTGTGATTGCAGCTGCTGAAATGTGCAATGAAAAAAGAAACTACACATGAGGTTATGTGCAGCACTCTAATCACAGGACTAGTTTTGAAGCTGCGCCTCAGTGCTGTATATCCCATTGCAACAAGCTTCTACAACTGCAACCTTTTTAGGTATGTGTACGGTTTATCCGAATGCCATCAAAAACTATGCAGGTTGTAGCTTCATAACCAGTGTGCAGTTAAATTGAATGAATCAGCAGCACTTTCATGGCTTTCCCCTTCAACAAGAATGCCGGCACGATATGAAAACTTTTCAAACATATTGTAGGTGATACATCATATATGTTGAAATAAAGGTTAGTCTCTCAGACATTGTACACATGCAGAATTTATAACTACACCATTCAAACTTTACAGATTCAGAGGAGTTGCTGTTGTCTAGAGTCCATTCTGGTTCGCTGCATATATGTCCTCTGTTTTGTTTGGAAAGCCGACCTGGCTAAAAGGCTGCCATGTGAAAAACTGCAAAGGCATTTTAGAAATAACATGCACGGCATCGAGGCTGTATTCAACATAAATGCTCCAAACAGCCACAAAAAATAAGTTTAGAGTGAAACTGCATGAAAAAAATTATGCAACATGGAGTGTCACTGGAGCCAATGTATCGCTAAGCCGTCCCGTCTTCTTCAAGGCAGTAACTGCCTGGAGGTAGGCCGCTGCAGTCTTGAAGAAGACGGGACTGGTTGTAAAAACGTTGGCTCCGGCGACACTTCATGTTGCAACGATTTTACATTGCTCCAAGATTCCGTCTTCCCCCGAACTTGCGCCTTATTTGGATATCAGAGTGAAAATGAAGAAGCATTAGCGATGCAAGCAATTTACTCTATACAATGAGGCCATGTAGTTGCGAGAATTCCAATCGCCGCACAAATTTAAGAAGGCGCCTTCAAGATGGCAGGTGACCGTGACATCACTGTAGGGTGCAGCTCGTATCTACGCCACCGCTGGATCCGCCCGAGATGACGTTGGACTTGCGTTGTGTGACCACGACATTGTACCCCTGCATGAGCGCCAACTGGGCCGGGTTAGGCATCACCCCTGGCGGTGGTGGTGGCACTCGGGGCGGTGCCAGCTTGGAGAATCGTGCGCCGGGGTCGAAGCCTTCGTAGTGTAGTGTGTTTGGGTCGTTCGGGTCCACGAACACCTGACCCTGGCACAGTGAGTATCGGGCAGTTTGTTTCAAGTCAACGTCATGCACAGCGAGTGTACTGTACTAATTGGATCTAAGAGCATTGAGTGTTTCAGAGACAACAGCATCAGCAGGATTTTGTGATGGGGGTGTCAAAGTCGCGTTGCATTGTGGTGCGGGGAGAGGGGGTGCGCTGGCATGGCTTTCTCTGTGTGTGTGTGTGAGGTCGGGGCATTTCTGTCCCGCCCAGCCTCACGCAAATGGTCAAAATTGCCTGCGGAATGAATGAAAATCAAAAACTTCATTGGGTTGAGATTAGATAAAGACAGAGGACTCTTAAACTAATTCATACTCAATTTGTCTCTTGACTCATAAGGCTATACTTTGTACAGTTAACCAAAGCTTGACATAACTATAGGTGCAATGTGTTGACACTCATAATTTAAAGTGACACTCAGATAAAACAGTAAATCAGTCTAGACTAATAAATTATGCTCTGCAATTTCACCATCGTAGGCTTAATAATAGACTGAAGAATTAAGTTTAAAGTCTCGTTTTTTAATTTCCTGTTAAATATTCACCCATGACAGACATGGACTGGAAGTATTTTGTTCGTATTTCGTTGGCTCAACGTTCAACGAAATTCTTTGAAACTTGGAATGCCAAGTATTTCGCCCTTACCCCAGATGACAATCTACTCGTTATCTACTGATTAGGAACTAGGTTGTCCATATAATAGGCGCCTTCGAAATGTGCGGCGTCACGGCAATCAATGCAAGAACTGCCATGTGGCGTTACCACCCACATTTTTTTTTTTTTTTTGCGCCTTTTCTTGTCGACCAAATGTCTCCTCGCGGCAAACGTGGTGATTTTGGCATTATGAAAAACTGATTTACCGATACGAGAATTTTTTTTTTCTTTGGCCCTTTAATCCAGACCCTAACCATTCGTTATTTTCAACTTTTTTGTCACGTAATACTCTTCATTCTCAAGGCTGTGTCCGATGGTCACATTCTCGGCGTGCTTCAATTAAGTAAGCATCATCTAACAAAGCATATGGGTAGGTTCCTTGGCATGTCTGACAAACTTGCAGAAATTTGCTATTAATTAACTTAACCAAATGAGCAGTTGTAGCCATCCCCTGAGTAAACGACTATAGTCCGATATAACTTTAGAAGCACGCGGCATTTCCTCCTCGAAGGCAGATGTACATAAGTCTGCACCAATGAGCACGCACTCTCGACTGACGTCACGAGCCGGACTGCCAGTGAGCCCGCCTTCGGAGAACATTGCCCCGTGCATGACACGGACTATTTATTTAGTCGCCGAGGTGATCGGCTGCCGCGCTCCGGTCGTGTGGGCGGGGCCTTTGACTTGTATCCGACTGTAGTTACGCCCAGGAAGAGAGAACCAGGGGGAGCAGAATCATGCGGTGGTTTTGGGACGTTAAACCGCACACATCAAATCAGGTCGAGGAACAAACGGGGGTTGAAGATATTATAGTTGAAATCAAGAAGAAATGGACATAAGCCGGGCGCGTAGGCAGGATAACCGCTGGTCATTAGGGGTCACTGACAGAATTCCAAGGGAAGGCATGCGCGTGACATGGAGACAGAAAAGTACGTAGGTGGGCAGATAAGATTACAAAGTTTGCAGGTATGAAGTGGCAGCAGAGAACTCAAGACCGGGTTGATTGACGGAACATGGGAAAGGCCTTTGTCTTGCAGCGAGCGTAGTCGGGCTGCTGAGGATGATAGTTGCGTGGTGCACCACCGCATGCGTAACACGAGATGCGGTGAATTTGGTTCCTCAACACTGGTAGAACTGTCATGTCAAGGCCGCTACGTTATGTTGAACAATGGCAGCAGGAAAATATCAACATAGCTACGGCGCATGTAATTGCATAATTGAGGCTGATGAATGGTGAAGCAGTGCCTCCTTAAATCTTTTGACTTTGATTTGCTCTTGTCATGGTGAACCTGTGATTGTAAAAGTGTAGTCCTGAAATAATATATCAGAGTAAACTTATTTATTAAGTATTTCAGCCTACACTGATGAACTATTTTTGTGAGAACTTTGTTGTTGAGTTCGCGATTATGGTTCCTTTATTGGAAAAGAAATAATAAAGTACGGGTGAAATAAATATTTATTCCTTAATTTCGCGCCAAAACAGCAGTGCCCGGATGTCGATGCGACGTCATGACTTTCAGTTTCGTTGCTTGTGCGTATTTTTTTGCGTGTTCATCGAGCTCGCTCAACAAAACTCTCTCAAACTCTTAATATGAAATCGGAATCTTCATTTTCATTCCCCAAAGTAGTGCACACTCTACCCAAAGACATCGGTCCGAGCGGACGCGTTCGGAACCCATGACTCCACAATAATTTCGCGCGGGAACTTCAAAGCGAGTTTTCCGCTATGTAACTGCGTCACCTGTATTTATGTCTGTCTCTTTTCTTTTTTATCGTGCGCGTTTTCTGACTCGTCAATCTCTAGGATGGCGTACGTATTTTGCGGTAGGATAATTTGCGATCAAAAGTGAAAATCTTGAATTTTGATTGTCATCAGCTCCTGCCTCTCCCACGGTTCGATAACCCACGAAATCGTGCCGTCTCGCTTCAAAGCACTGTTCACGGACATTTCTTGATTTCGACCAAAATGCCCTTAGTCAACATCAACTGTACTAACTGTTGTCAGCTGAAACCAGTTGGCCTACAATTGGGACCAGTTGAACCTATCTAATTCCAGTTGAAACCAGTTGGATTCGCAGTTAGACATTTTCCCCTGGGAACCGTTTGTTCCTGCTGAACCCCGCCTCCGCTTGTCATTTTCGTTTCCACCTATTTGTATTGTAGTGTTTTATAATAATTTATAAATAATTTATACAAATACGTCATCTTACAAGGAGTCTGTGACGATATACCTGCATGCCAGCCTGCATCGGGAGCACGGGCGTGTGGGCCTGGTAAAACATGGGAACCTGCTGCACTTGCTGTGGCTGCTGCTGGGGTTGCCGTTCTTGCTGGGGCTGCTGCACTTGCTGATGCTGAGCTTTCCGCTCTTGCTGGGGTTGTTGCTGTCGCTGCGGCGTAGGATGAGAAGGCCGCCGTTCGGCCTCCTCCGAGTGTTCCTCATGAGCTCGTAGGCAAGCGAGGCCTCAGAGCTTTTCGTGGACGGCCGTCGTTTGGGAGATTTAGACGCAGCCGCGGAATGCGCGCCGGATTTATGTGGTTGATTTTTTCGACATGGTGCGAGGCGCCTAGCACCGGAGTGCCAAACCGACCTATGCTTGTCCCTGCCCGATTTCTGGCAGTTACCCACTGTAGCGAGAGTGGAATCGACTGTTTTATCGCCTAGGAAAAAACTGGCTCATGCCCAGAAGGGCGATTGGACCACACTGTTCAGTATAAAGAGAAGCTTAAGACCCCACTAAGCAATGAGAAGATGAAACGTAAATAAAGAGCGAGAGAGGTGAAATGATTGAAAAAGCTGCATAGATAAATTATAGAAAGAAATTTTTTTCAGCAGCGGTCGGTAGCGCTAGCAACCCACACCCACCCTGGGGGACTGGTCGAAAATCAGGTAACTAAAAAGGGAATTTGTCAATTTGTTTATTAAGAATATTTGAATCTTAATTACTTTTTACAACTTGAAGTGCACTGCTACCTATCTCGAAGCGCTGTTCTCTTCCAAGGTTGCTGTACATTACTTTCGTTTTCTGCAGATTAATTTTAATAACAACCTTCCTTTTCTCCTTGACTAATTCAGTAATCATGAATTACTATTCATTCCCCGAGTTACTCAGCAATGAAATGTCATCGACGAAGCGCAGGTTACTAAGGTACTTTAACCCTAACTATCCTTGAATCGTAACCTAAAACAATACGTCTACTTAGGACAGGTAGTAACCGCAAAGCCGAACCGCGAGATTGAAGTAACTGGAAGAATGGGGTGGAGCACATTCGGCAACCACTCTCAAATCATGGCAGGTAGATTGCCACCATCCCTCAAGAGGAAGGTAAATATGAGAGCTGAATCTTGCCGGTACTTAGCTCCGGAGCAGAAACCCGGAGACTTACAAAGATGGTTCAGTTTAAGTTGAGGACGACGCAGCGAGCGATGGAAAGGAAAATGATAGGTGTAATCTTAGGAGAGAAGAAGAGAGCAGACTGGGTCAGGGGAAAAAACCGGAGTTAAGGATATCTTGGCAGTTGAAATCAAGATGAGGAAATGGACAGGGGCCGGACACGTAGCGCGTAAGCAGGATAACGGCTGGTCACCAAGGGTAACTGACTGGATTCCCAGAGAACGCAAGCGGGTAAGGGAGAGACAGAAAGTTAGGTGGGCAGATGAGATTAGGAAGTTGGCGCCTATAAAGCGGCCGCAGCAAGCACAGACAGAGTTGGCCTGCGAAGCATGAGAGAGGCCCTTGTCCTGCAGTGGGCATAGTCAGGCTGCTGATGATGATATTAATGATCACTCGACAATATTAGGGGTCCAATACACTATTGGCGAACAATTTTTTAAAGAAAATATAATGGAGCGCATACTTTGGTTTTATATGAAACTCTGGATCCGGATTGACTCTGCTATAAAATCCTAACCGGCCTCGCATATTTTCCGGTCACTGTGTACAAGGGGTGCAGTGCTCTTAGGGGCAGAAACGTAGACAGTACTTTGTTCGAGGGGGGGGGGGGGGGGGGGGTGTCAACCTTTTCTCTAAAGTGGGGATAGGACAGGTAGGTGTGGTCAAGCGTCATTTTGGGCTCTACATGCCATGCCAAAAAAAAAAAAAAAAAAAAAACGGGGAAGGCACGGGCTTGTGTCAGCTCCAGGCTATGCCGCTGCTTAGGGATAGTAAATTTGAAGGAGCTACAAATAATTCTCAAGGCAACGAAGAAATTTGACGTCTCCGGCGAACGACTGCATTTGCCGCACTATCGACAGTGAATATTTTAAAGAGCATTCGCGCAATAAGGAAAGTTTAAGGTAATGATGCGCACTTTTTTTTTTTTCAGTCCATGAGCTATATATAGTTGGTATCCCAGAAATTCGAAAATTTTTGCGCCACTCATTCGACAAGTCAGGCCACCTAAAGGAGGTCGTGAGTCGGGCACACGTTTCTGCCAAATGCATACCGGTGCAACCATTTCCGAGGATATGTGGTCACCAGCTCTTTAGGGGCGTAGCCAGGTACATCAGTCGGGGGGTTCAACAGTACTTTGTTCGTGCGTACGTTTGTATGTGTGCGTGTATAGATACGTAAGCAAAATATAAAAATTCGGAGAGGTGGGTGCACAGTCAGTTTTGCTACAGTGTACTAGAAGGGCGTAGTGCTGTCTCTCACACCCAGGGTTGTATGCAGATAATTTTCAATGTAATTGTTTTAGGAGGGAAGCACTCCTTGATCATCTAAAGTGGGGACCGGATATGCAAATGGTAATTTTGCGCTGTATGGCAAAAAAAAAAAGTTCGGGGGGGGGGGGGGGGGGGGGCGGAACGGGCTCGATCGGAATGCCACATCTGGCTTCGCCACTGCTCGCACCCCTGAACATAAATCAAAAAAAAAAAAAAAAAGCCAGCCATCTACACTTCGCGAACACTGTCAAAAACGGCGATGATGCCGCTCCTCGCGCTTAGCGAATTCGGCCAGCTCGCACATCGGGGTCAGCCTTGGCCAATATAAAAGTGCGTACTCTCCGAGCGACACTCCACTAGTAAAATCCACCGAGGCTACCACCCGTTCAACGACCTACTTATCGCGAAACTGTTGGATACCTCGGCTCAGCCTCTCTAGCTCAGACTCTCGCCTATCATTCCTGGCGCACCAGTCGGGCCTCACCCTTGTGTTACGTCGCACTGCGCCGATCACTCGGCATCGCAATCGAACTGGGAACTTAGAAGTGTGGCAGCTTGGGCTAGTTGGTAAGGCATGACGATAGCGCGAGAACAAAACGACGACACAGAGACAAGGACACGAAACTGTGTCGTCGTTTTGTTCTCGCGCTATAATTATCGTCGAACTGGGAAGCCTCAATCAAGAACAGACAAGCCATATGCGAGTGGAAGCCCTGCTTAATTAGAACAGAATAAAATGGTGATCGACATAAAGTACGTTTGCACTACCGCAATTACTCTTAGGCCACAAGTATTCTCAGCCGGCGTCCCGCCTAAATACGCTACCCAGCATTTCCACTGTCATTGTGCGAACGTATCGCTGCAGTTATGTAATTCAATACTGTTGCCATGCCAACAATCGTCGAAAAAAAAAAGAGGCGAATCTATGGCGGTCCACTGTTTGCGCCCATACTCGGCAGGGCGTGTCACACCGACTCTCTCACCCGATCCAGCATGCAAGGTTGATTTACGAGTGAATTGGCGCAGATATATTAACATCCAGCCGACTATTTCTCGATTAGACCGATCGCAACGGTGACATCGACTATCACCGACGATGTGTGGCAACACGTACGCGGGCTACGCAGGAAGAATGCAACAAACCTCTGCGCAATGCGAGAGATTCTCCGATTCCTGAATACAGTGCAGGCGCCACAAATCGTTTATCGCACAGATCGCTGATGCGCGTTATCCAAGGCGAAACACGAGGGCACACGATTGCCCACAACGCACTGCGCCACGGCAATCTCGAAAATCGCTCTTTGTAAATTTGTTGCCCGGGCATGGTTGCCGCCTTTGAAGAATGCTGCTCGACCACCAGCCCTACAATGAACGAGATCGTGGGATTGTGCCAGCACGGGTCGACTGTACAGGCCAGTCGAAGCTTTGAAGGGCGGGCAAGTGTGCTACTAATGAACGCATAAGCAGAACCGCATTGTCGCTGCACAGTCGTAGCTCGAATACAACTGCGAATGTTGTACGGAAACTAACAATACAACCGCCTTCTCTTCAAGTAAAGCCCCGTGTACTCAGATTTGGGTGCACGTTAAAGAACCCCAGGTGGTCAAAATTTCCGGAGCCCTCCACTACGGCGTCTCTCATAATCAAATGGTGGTTTTGGGACGTTAAACCCCACAAATCAATCAATCAATCAAGTAAAGCCTCTGTCTTCTGAAAGCAATAAAGTATTTTCCGACGATAGCAAACACTATGCTGTTAAGTCCGGGGTGGCCGAAACGCCTCCATTTTTTTGCTCTGACTTGCAGTCTTGCACCACAAGAGCAGTGTCAATCATGGAATGGAAATTACGTAAAAAAAATTTCAAACTAATGTATATCCACTGTACTGGAGGACATTGTCAATGGCAGGGCACTATGAAAAACTCCAGAACTGCTGCAGCAATACACACAAACACCACAGCAGCACGAAAGATTCAACTGGCGATCATGCAGCCACACGCAAAGATACACTGGGCTGGAGTAAACGGCTTTTATTAACGCACACTCTGACGACGACCGTCCGCCACTGCTGGAAACTGGCGGGAAGACCTGCAAAAGAAGGCACGTGCAACACATACCAGAGCACCACCACCACCACCTTAGCGGACAAGTCTTGCGGGCCTGTCCACTCGCTGCGAGCCGTGGGCCAGAACCTGTGAGGGGAAAGAGAGACCCCGCCCAGTGCCAAACCAGGCTCTGGCTCAACAGGGAAAGGCTGCGCTCCTTCTCGCAGATGGTGCGCAATCGATACACACACACACACTCTTCCGTCTGTGCGCGCAAGAGACCGTCGGCGGAGCCAGTTACCCGACACGGTCCCTAGTGAATCAGAAATGCACTTTCGTACAGAGCGGACATATGTAGGGCTCCGCAGCCGAGCTACTGCGCTGATGCAAGTACAGTGAGCTGTTTATCAGATAGAAACTGTCTAGAAATTTGACACTATATTTGTACGATTTCGACCCGAATTCTCAATTCTGCAAAGGCAAGCATCTAACATGGGGGTAGACACCCATGCTTTATCAATGTGAATATAAGTTAAATCGGTACGAATGTATTATAGCCCAAATGCAAAAAAAAAAAGTAGAAATAAGGCTCTACACACAAGCCTTACTGAATATTGTGGCAGTGCATTAGCCCTAGGCATGATGCAGTGTAAAACACGTGACTTTTTGCAGAAGTTTGATTCAAGTCATGTTTTGTTTTAATGTTTTTTCCTGGAGTGGCTGTTACAGATGCGGACTATGTGGAAACTGTCCACTGTGCCACGTGGTCGAACCCTCACTTGCTTGCCCGCGAAATGGCTCGAGGGGCCACTTTTTACAAAAATACATTTCTTTCCACCTAGGCTGGCATGAAGCCGAGAACTGTTCTCGAGACCGCGTGCAAGAACATTGCGTAAAACGGCACGGCCCATCCCTCCGTCCCCCCTCTCGTAGCAGAGTAGCAGGCCCCGCAACGACCGCTGGATATGGTGCGTCACCGCGACCGTACACAGCCCGCCGAACAACACCCCCTCCCCCCAAGAGAAAACTTGACACGCCACTTCATAACACAGGGTGCAACGCCTGCGACACACCGCATCCTTTATTCACAGTCAGTATGAAAGAAAAGCAGCTCTACTGAGACAGTGATGAGAAGAAAATGTTTTGCTACTCACATGACGAGGGGGTGGTAGTGTTTCTCAAAGAAAAACAAAAAAGCATATACACTTCAATGACAGTGATGAGGTTTTCCTTTTTCAGTGATGAAAAAGAAAGCATAAGAAAAAAAAAGTTCAGAAGAGAGGTGTGTGTGTGTGTTATGTCGCGAGGGCCTCTTCACTGCAGCGGCGGTACACGCACAACGTCCGGCTAGCCACGACGCGACCTCCGCCAGTCCGTGAAGCGCGTCCGTGAGGAGAGACTGCCCCCGAGTCCGCTCGTGCAGAGACGCGCGCGCGCGCTCTCATTAGAACGCGGGGGTACGCGACGCGCTGGGGTACGCCGTCCGCTCGGTCGAATAACTGGAGAAGAGAGAGGGCACGCAGCTGCGCGTTAGCCGTGCACACACGGGCAACCCGAGCGCCAGGAAGAGGGGAGAGAAAAAAAGCACAGCACTGCCAGCAAGTTTTCGGAGTGAGCCACGTCGTCTCCCTGCTCATCGTAAATTCATGCAACTGAACTGTGGCTGCATCTCTCGTTCCCCCAAACCCTTCTCCAGTCGCGCATGCTTCACACGCCCGACTGAGGGTAGAAACTACCAAGCCGCCACCAAAAAAACAGTCCATCTTTAATAAAGCACTTAGTCTCAACACTTCGGCTTCATGCACAACAGTGGCGTAGAGACGGCTCACCTGTAGCCGTTGCCATAGCTCTGGCTTGGACCGTCCTGAGAGCCGTAGTAGCTGCTCCTGAAGGAACAAGACCACCCAATGTTGGCCACTACGCTACTTCACAGTAATGCTGCTAATCATAAAAATTAATGCCCAATATACCTAGCTTATAAAACAACTATACAAGCAGCAGAGCTTCTTTTTCGTGCCCAATTAATATTTTACGTGACCCAGACAGTGAAACCAAGCATTTTGTCCAGAAGTGCAGAATTTACAGCCAACCAATTTGCGTCACCATATTTCAACTCTTACACAAAACACAATACCTTTAGCTGCTAGATTCGTAGCCACACGATCCGGAGCAGCTACTAGCACTTGTCTGCACACTATCCTTTAATGTTCGTTTCAATCCACGAGCACTTTTCATTCATTTGCTTAGAGTCTAAAAGTTACAGGTACACGCCCGAGCAAAAGTATACGGACCATCAACGTTAGAGTGGAAATCGCCGTCCAGCTGCAAGCAGCCTGCAGTGAAAAGCATTATGCTGACAAAGTGTGAGAAATGGTCTAGACTGCAAAGGTATCAGGTTGGCAGAGGTCAATGTACTTTTGCTCACGGGTGCAAAATTTTTCTGCTGAGCAAGAGAAATGCTCACCCAAAGTCTTCGTAAGGTCGGCGATAGTAGTAGAAGTCGTCGCGAGCAGCTGACGGGGGCGGTGGCGGAGCAGCCCGGCGTTCGTATGGATCAGGATAGGGTCGCATGCGGTCGCCATAGCCGGGCGCACCCCCAAAGCCCCTGTCGCCGTAGGCTCCACCCCGGTCCATGAACCGGTCGGGCCCACCGGAGCCGTAGCCCAGCCGCTCGGGTCCTCCAACACTGGGGTAGCGTGACAGAGGGCCACCACCGGGAGGCATCATGGGCATACCAGACCCGAAACGCGCGTTCCTGCAAGCAATGCCCACTTCATTTAACACCGAAGCAATCTCTGAGCCGTTTGGGAAGCACCAGTCATTCAAGCGTCACATTACAACACTGCAAAAATGGCAATACCAAACAAATCAGTACACCCACGCGATATTATTGCGCTTAATGTACAAATGGAAGTACATGGAATGGCTGCAATAAATAGAATTTAAGACAAAATTGAAAAATGTTAGGTCTTCTGTAACGAACACACAACGAAGGACACGATGCAGAACACGCAGCTCTTTAGCATGGCCAAAAGTACAGTTGCTGACCGATTCTGCAGACACCGCGGGGACTGGGAAATAGTCCTAAAAATCTTAAATGATGCAATACTTCAGGGGTGGAACAGGGTACATGGGTTTGGGAGCAGGCAAATGCGTTTTTTATAGCAGGCTTGCAGAAGCCACAAGGGCCGTTCCAGGCAAGTTTTGAGCAGTAGTCCTGTTCAAAGCACTTGTGAAGCAACATTTGCTGCACTTTTCAAACACTCAACTGAATTGTGCAATAGCCTCATTATTGCGTAGATGTGTGGACACTCTTGGTGGGTTTTCGCCGTTATGCCCCGTATAAACTAAAATTTGATACCATACCCCTGCTCATCGCATGTTGTATGCATGGGTAAAAGCGCGCGAGCAAGAGTGAAAAACGTGATTAAAGCAGAGATGATGCATGCCATCGTGCAATTCCCCCTACCCCAATTGCTCAAGCAACAACCATGAACTTTTGCTTGTCAGGGCGTGGTAACGATCGCTGGCCATCTCTGCAGTGATCAGCGGGCGGCTCACACACACCGCAAGGTACTGCGAGAGAAGTGTTGCTCTCTTTGAAGTGATCGTATTCTCGCAAACCTGTGTTTTGGACAGTTACAAGAGATCCGAGTTAGCTATCAGCCTCACTTCGTATAACGTTACAATTTGAGACCATCGCATTATTGCTTCTCCCTAGCGGTGCAACTGCGACTTATGTAGAGCCACCCATATATTTTACCTGAATGCACGAGCAGCAGCCGCTGAGTCTAATCGCGAAGCACAGCATATGCGCTCGATGAGCAATCTAGTGCATCTGTCTTTGCTAGGCTGTTCCGGGAAGTGAGCGAGCTCTTACGGGTTTCGTGGGCACTCCTTGGACCAGTGACCCTGGCGGCCACAACGGTAGCACTGGCCACGTCCACCCATGCCAGGCTTGGGACGGACCTTACTGTGCGAAGCCTGTACAAGAAAAACACGAAAAGCATTAAAATGCATAGCCGCACAGACTACTGGGGCCTGCTGGCTGGGTCAAGCACGGCTCTGACAACCAAATGATCTTTTCGAAACGGTAAACACTGCGTGACGCAGTGCCAATGAAACAAACCCGTTCCCATGTGGCATTTAATTATAGCCTTGACCCTCGCACACCTTCAGTTTTGCCAGCAGCATTTGTCGCATGCTAAGAAATCACCTGGCACCAAGTTGCCAGTTGCAAACAGTATACCCGTACATCCCTCGCAGAGAAAAGTTCAGGCACATAAACATGCGCAAGATGAAACACAGTGGTCGCTGTGTGTTGCTAATATGCTTGGACCAATTACAATGTGCTGGTGACAGTGTGCACGCAGTCTAAACCCAACTAGGCTTAACACTACCGTTGTAATCTATCCATCTGTCCAATACTGGTTATTATTCCCCCCCTTAATGATACACTGAAGAGCAAAGTGATCATTAAGTAATAATAAATTACTCTACCACGATACAACCTAACATTGATTATCTCATTGATCCCTTAAGCTGTCGTGGGGTATAGTTTGATGATAGGTGGGGTTTAACGTCCCAAAACCATATATTGTTATGAGAGACGCCGTAGTGGAGGGCTCGGAAATTTCGACTACTGGGGTCTTAAACGTGCACCCAAAGCAAAGCACACGGGCCTACAACCATTTCAACCTCCATGCGAAATGCAGCCGCCAGCAGCCGGATTCAGAACCCGCGCCGCGGGTCGCAGCCGCGTTACCTTAGCCACTTAGACACCGGCGGGGGGGCATGGGGTATAGTTTTAGAGTACAGTTTATCCATCCAAGTAATTTATTGTCTTGGGCGCTAGCTTGCGGCAACGGGGAAAAAACCTCACCTCGACTGTGATCTTGCCACCCATAAACTCCGAGTTGTGCAGCGCGTCGATGGCCAGCTTGGACTCTTCTTCGGAGCTCATGTGCACGAAGGCGTAGTTCTTGACAATGTCGCACTCCTCCACCTTGCCATACTTGGCGAACAGGGCCTCGAGCGACGCAGTGTCGCACCCCTCGGGAAGGCTGCCCACGTACAGCTTTGGCTGAAACGCAACGGACACAAAAAAATATGCACGGTCTCCCCTAACCCGACAAGTGTGGACTTTATTTACAAAGCCTTGAATAGACATGAAAATTGCAACGACTTTGTTGAAAGACAAGCACTGCACACTGCTCTGGTATTCTTCATGAGCTCAACTCCTAAGCAAATTCTGGTGTGGCTTTCTATTTTGCAATCAGAACAGTGAAGAGATGCGCACTTCAAACATTTACAATTAGAAAATTTCCAGGGAATTAATTCTTGCCGCAGCTGGTAACATCCACAGCTATATGCGACATCAAAATCCGAGAGGAAACTACCGCACGCGGGGGACCCCTTCAAGGTGGCGTATGCCTCTTTCTTTATGGTTTCTATGCACTGCAGCACACGATTACTGGGAGCGGGGGGGGATGTGCAACCTAGAGCACATGGCATGGCAGTTCCCCTTCTTATCTTTGGTCAAGGACCTCTCAGATCAAAAATGGAGCTCGGAGTATCGGAATCAACTTTGGGCTGTTTGTTTGGTCGAAAGGTTTCTTAAAGACAGGGCTTATAAAAACATTAACACAGCAATGCACACGCACGCTTCGGCCTGCCAAGTAGAAGCAGAGAATAGACGTTTCAGAAGCAAAAAGCAGCAATTTCGTACAATAAAGCGCCATTGCTATGGCTTCCGTGACATGCGGTGCTTCTTCAGATGGCCCAACGTTAACAGACGGACGTTATGCAGCTGCGCGTCGGCTTGAAATGAAATTTTATACGCGAAGTGCTTAGCTAGAAGTCCATTTTCAGCCCGAAAGCAACGGAACGCTTTCGGGCCGATGCACCACCCCTCTGCGCCGAGTCGCACAATACAGGGCAAGGACCATTTCATTCAAATAAGAAAATTGCGCGGGGTGGCTGAATAAACTCGACAACGCAAACACGGAAGAAACTTACCATTGTTACTTGTTGCGCAAGCCTGGAAGAAAAGAGAAAAGAAAATGCGTCAGTCCTCTCAACAGCTGCCGCGCAACCCTACTGCCACGAGTTCACGTTCTTCGAACGATTACGTGTGCAATCAAGGCGCGAACTGGAAGAACGTATGAAACGGACACAGTCCACAGAAAGGACTTGCAACGAGCAACCCGAGCTGACACAGCGGGGACGGCACTCGGGACCGAAGTGCGCAATTCCCCCCGCAAGAACCGAGATAGAAATCGATATGTGCGCCGACACAAAAATGTGCGTGCCGTGCGGCACGACATTCGCCCCCGGCCAAGATGGTGGCCTGGCTTCTTCCGCGCCCTGTGAAGAGGCGGCCGCAACGTTTGAAACGCCTCCGAGATAACCGATAACGATCCGTACTTTACACAACAGGGCTCGCAACAACACAACCGCGTTCGGGATCACCCGACTCAACGTTAACTTTATCAAGCTACCACGTCGACATTCTTGGAGCCGGAACAAAGGCGTCAACGAGGCGCCATGTTGCCGGCGTTCTAACTGCGTTGTAACGCGAACGATTATGAATCAATACGCGTTTCGGCCAACAACTAAGAACGAAACGAGGTAAGGGTCGACACTTACTTACGAAGAAGCTTCCTTTCAAACTACTATCAGCAGTTCGCACGGAGAAATACCGCCAGCCCGCACAGCGCGTGTTATGAAGGCTTCCGACTTCCAACGCGGTCTGGGGTCGACTCACGTGATCAGTGTGACGATGCCGACGACAGCGCTCGCAACGGGTAGTGGCGGCAAACTCTCATTTCCCGTTTATTAAATGATCACGCGTCGTATCGGCAGCGCCAACGTTGGGCAGCGCTAGGTACTGCTGCGCAAAAATCTGATAATGTTCCAGCCGGCCGTGTGTTCTCCTTATCAGCTGTCGATATTCCTTAACTCCCATATACCGATAAGAGAAAGAAGTCGATTAGGCAAATGAGCGCTTAGTTGTTGCCACGGTGACAACAAATATTTGTTAGCTTTATGTCAGACTAATAGCATAGATGAAACGGGAAGCGCTCGTGTTGCTCAGTGTGCCTTGTGTCTGGGCAGTCACTTTACGTGCGCGTGTGTTTTCGCCCAGTGGTCCATTCACTACTTTCCAGTTCATGCGTTACTAAGCGGGCAACGCAAAGTTCACAAGCATCAGTTCCAGGAACGACCACTTCTCACGCCAGCTGAACGTTACCTCTCAGTTACACTGTACTCTCAGTGAATAATCAACTTTGGGGAAAATAAGGTTTTATCTTCCATCACAACCTCTGATGTATTCATCACTTTTTTTTTCTTCGCACATGCCACTGCCGTTGCCACACGTGAACAAGAACTTCGTGAAATGCCTCCACGACACGCTTTCTTCTCACATGAACATGGTCACATAGCAAAGCTTTTCTTTATGAAGTTGTTGCCGCGATGTTTCAGCAGAAACACGTTAATAGCATTAGAGTGACAACTCGCTTGGAAGAGCGAAACACGTACGAGTAAAATGCTAGTCCTAAAGTTCACTTTCGGTTTCGGTTTCCCAAACTGCGAAACTGTTTCTTGTTTTTTTTTTCTTACATTAAAACAATGTCTGAATGCACGGTGAAGTAAAAAAAAATTACATCAAATTGTCCAGCGCGGTATGGCTCTGTTACAGTAAGCTAGACGTTTAGGAACTGGAGCAATGTAAAAAAAACGCGTCCATCGTCACCATGGTCGTCACGCTCTTTGAGCTGTCGTCATAGCTGTTGTAATCCCGCCACCCAATCACAGAACCCAATCACAGAACCCAATCATTTGAGCGAGTGCGATTCCTATTGGCCCTTGGTCGCCAGGTGACTCACGAGAACGCTGAGACACGTGTGTGTGTCGTTGTGTGTAGCAGCAGCAGGTAGCAGTGTATGTGTGTTTGTAAGCGCGCATTCTTTAGCGCATAAAGGAGTCAATAAAAGCGCGTGGAAGTGGCACGATGCGGCTACGGGTATTGGATTTAGTCACTGCAACCGGTCTTCTCCGATAAACGCCGTTTCTTTTCTCATGGATCCTCCTCGCCAAGGTAAAAATCTTTTCCTCGTGTTCGCTCGCGAAAATGTCGATCGTATTGTTGTTGTCAGGTCCCAGAAGAGGCGCATTCCTAAGAAATAGCGGGAGATTATTGCGGCACTTTTCAAAACTTTCTGATTCACGGCCACGCTGGCACCCTTGAGAAACCGTACTTTCGCTGCGAGCGTAGGCTGATATTGAAGTCTGATTATCGCTATCAAACCGCGTTATCTCGCATCGCATGTCTTTCCTGCCCCATCATTTCACCGTCGGGAGCTCTCCTGGCCAGTTGATGACTGTCTCTGCATTTTTCAGGGCAAGCCTGCGGTATGCTTCTACTAGGAGTATCTCTTCGTGACTAGTTCCAGCACTGTTTTTCTTGCGAAACTAGTTTAATTGGCACTGAGGTGGTTTCCAGCTGTGCGGTTGCTCAGCTTTCCTTTTCCCTTCCTCTTACGAAGAGCTGAATGAGGGCCCATAATACTTACTATTCCGCGTTTGTTTAAATCTTTTCCTAGTTCTGCGCTACAAATTTTCTCGCACATTGCCTGTCGCGCGCGGCGGCTAAGTTAGATCGAGGTCGTCGGCTTGATTCTTGTTTCGGTTGCATAACTTTAATCGGAACGTTGTGCTACAAACTTGGAGCATCGCGGATGGCGATAAAAAGCAGCTCGATGCCCTCCACTATGGTGTGCTCTAGCATAGAAATGCGATTGAAACCACAGGATTCAATAATTGCTTACACTTGTCGCGCTGTGCGCCTTCGATCGCGATCGAAAATGTACCGTTTGGCTGATGTGAAAAGTTGTCCGCATGAAGTGTTCTAAATTGATGTTATAATTTGGGCGTCGTTGTGAAGGTGTCCATTCTTCAGATTTGTTTACATTCATCTTTTTTTTTTTTCCCTGTTCAGAACATGTCATCTCTGAAAGAAGCGAACAGGCAGAGCGGATCGTTTGACTCTACGAAGTATGACATTGAAGACCTCCTGTTCAAAGTGCTTGTCATTGGCGACTTCGGTGTTGGTAAGCCAGGTTCAGTTTTTTTTTTAAATATTGCATTGCGGATTAATTTTTGTGTTGTGGGCCTAGTTCGGCACCGAACTACAATAGCTTATGTTCTGCATTAACTGGTACAGTAGTTGCCAATGCAAGCGTCATTATTCATGTTGGCGATGGTAGAACAGTTAATGAGACAAGATAAGTTCTATTGAGAAGAAGCGACTCCGAAGTCATGTTACGTGTGAGCATTTGTACACACACATGACAGAATAAGATGTGCTTGCAGCAGCTCAACTGTATCACTCTAATCAATATATTCGGATAACCTTTATTTCTAAGCTGTGCAGTGCTCAGTGTGTGAAGGTAGCATATGTGCTAGTAAAAAAAAAAATGTATGGGTCCCATCGATGTGGATCGTACAAGTTCTGTTTGCAGCTTTTCTCGCTTATTTCACCTTTTCTGCTTACCTGTTCAGTTGCATAAAAACAATAGATAACAAAGCTGTGCGAAGGATTCTGTTGGCTTAATTATTTGTCGTTGACTGACGAAAACCTGGCCCCTCGACCGGTTTTCAGTATAGTGTTATTTATGCCACACTATGATTGTATTATGTAAGTTTTAGCGTAATTTTATAACTTAAATGTGTTCTTTATTTGCAGAGGATTGTATTCAATGACCTGTGTGGTACTCTATCTGTAATCTACCGTTCGTTTATTACAGGAAAGACATCATTAATCCGGCGTTATACAGAAGGTACGTATGCCTCGAGAATTTTTTATTCTGTCTATTTGGAGTATGAGCCCTCGACTGCACGTGGTATTATAGGTGTTGCCTAATTATGCGTGTTTGTAATTCATTGCTTATGCCCTCGTACTCCCAATAGTGCGTTGGTACTATGCTGCTTAGCACAAGGTTGTTATTTTCTTATTGCTAGCCATGGCGGCTCAAAATACTCTGATCTTAAGCTGCCAATTCAGGAATCCTAGTTGGTCAAAAATCTGCGATCTTTCCTTTAAGTGTCATTTATGGCACCAGTTGTACAGTCTGGTCCCCTGTTAAAGGGAACGCTTGCATGCACAGCATGTTGCAGGGTGTGTGATGGCTGTGTTTCCTTATTGTGTGTCAGCTCTGTGTCATGTCCTAAACAGCTACACTGGCCACGCACTTTTTCATGGTGGAATGGCTTGTGAATTTTTGAAAAAATTTTTTGCAGTAATAGTACTGTATAAAAAGGAATAAGACGCGTTTTTGCTCTTCTTACTTCACACCTTCTGATCGGAACGTTTACGATTACACCGCGCCTTCTTATCCAAGTGCATTTAACTCTGGTGTCGTTGGCAGGTGTGTTCAATCCGGCCTACAAGATCACCATCGGTGTGGACTTTTCTCTAAAGCATCTCGTCTATAATGGCAATAAGCACATAACCCTACAGCTGTGGTGGGTATCGGTTGCAGCAGACGACTCGAAAACGAGCTCTCGATTGCTGAATGTGGCTCTTTCTTCTGCACTAGGGACATCGCTGGACATGAACGCTTTGGATACATGACACGGGTGTACTACAAGTACGCGTAAGTGTGACTGTTTGCTTCTCAATATGACATCTTCGTGATTTCCCTCTCATATCTCTATTCTTTCTCTTTAGCACTGCTGCTGTGATCGTCTACGACTTGTCAAGGTAAGCTTACAGGCCATACGTCGCATCTTGTGCTCTGTCCATAGGCGTGCACATGGGGGGCACTAAGCCATACATTGACATGAATCAGAGGGGGCACTACGACAAACCTTTGCCCCACCCTGAAGGGAAGTGCTGCACATGCTTATGGTTCTGCCTCTTGAAGTGCGAAGCTTCTTCTAAAAACTACAGTACTAAGAAATCATGGTTTCAACAATGTTTATCTGGTCGCAAACTCGGGAGCGGATAAGTGCCACGGGCACACTGATGAAGAGCACACAGCAACTATGAAGGTGGATAGACAAATAAATGATAACGATTTGCAATAATGTACGGATGAGGAAGAAGCGCATAATAAATGCATACAATAGCACTTCAATCGTGCAAGGACAAACGTGCTTGAAATTGTGGAAGTACACATCAAGAATGCATGCTTTGAGAATGCTTTATTCAATTGTTAGTTTCTCTTTTTTTTTACTACTTACAAATAGTTTGAAATTCTCTGGTTGTAGAAAGCACTGTTGTTATTCTTGAGATAAATCACCATCACCAGCGTGAGAAGAATAAACTGGCCATAATGAACAAATTTTACTGATTAATGTTTTAAGTAATTACCTTGAAATACATATTGCATTCTATGAACTTTTTTTGGGAAGGATCTACTTTTCAATGGATTCTAGGTATTACACCAGTTCCGAAACACGCACCATAGAACTTGTTGTAAAAATGTACTCCTCCACTTCATTTAACAAAACTATTGTTTTATGCACTATAAAACTAAAAAGAACTTAAATGATTAATGAATATCTTGAAACTTCTGCAACTTTTTCAATTTTTCAGAAGTGTTATGTTGAGAACTCGTTGTAATTTGTGAATTCCAGTTTGTGTGGTTGGGCAAGTCTTGTTGATATGTTGGATGATGCATTTTGATGTGCGCACATGTAATTCTTCCATCTACAAGTAGCTCATTTCAAGGAAGGGAATGAGCTGTCTGTCACATGCAATAACAAAAATATTACATGGGATTCTTGGCAGTTGTTAGCACATCATATACATGATGCAGTAAAAAATTAATAAAAATAATTGCAGCACTTTTCTGGGAATCTTGCAGCACTGTACAGATACTATTGCGCAAAGCAAGCAACTTCCACGTGTCGTGTTAACATGAGTTAAACATTCTACCTTTTTATGGCGCAGCTGCTTTAGCTTGACAGTGACATTGGTCTATTCCTCTTTTTTTCTTCTTTTTCAGGCCAGCGACCCTTCACTCTGTGCTGAAGGTTTGTACTTCCTTTTATCGCTGCTACGTGCAGACGGATTGGCCACAGCTGTTGCTGGTTCATTTTAACTCCAGATTGACGGATAGCGGGCGCCTTTATTTTTGCTTGTATATCCAGTACACCTACATGGAATGCTGTTGGTATCGTACACCGGTGCAGTTATTAGATGAGCCGCACGTTTAAGTAGTTGTTTCAGTGCATGGCCGGTCTGTTTGCTCTTGTGAATGTAATAGGTCACTGATCTTTTCAGGAGACATTAAACAGAAATAAATTAGCTTGTACGCTTAAAGTATACTCTGGAAACATTTGCAACATTAATTGCACCACCATAGGCTTATTAATAGATCAGAAAACCAGTGTTGAAAGTTTCACTTTTAAATTTTCTGCTGAAATCTCGGATGGTAGCATGGGGCATTTTAAAGGGACCCTGCAACACTTTTTGAGCAAGTCGTATGACGCTGCAGATCGGTAGTAGGTGCTCCCAAGAACACGTGAGCCAAATATAGCGTTGCACACGGCCTGCAATTCAGAATAAATTCACAAAGTCGGCTAGAAATTGCTTTCTCTTTTCTCAACAAATGAGGGAAGAAGCTCAAAATTTGCCCGTGGCAGTCGTATCAGCCATTGGCTGATTTAAGCATCGCACACACTGTCGTTACAGGAATTGCAGCTGGAGGCCGGAACTTGTGTGCATGTGATTGCACTGAAAAATCATGTATTCGAAGAAAAGAAGAGAGAAAGAGCGCTCGAGGTTATGAGGCGCGCGTGATGCATTTTTTTTTTACTCGTGCCAACCCTCCCTGCTTAGCTTCCAGCACAGAACGCAATTGCAAAGTACGATAAATCTTTGTAACTCCACTCGCACAGGATGGATCCTCGAAATTTTTGTGGTAGTGAATTAGGGATGCAGTAAGCTCTTTTGGTGAATTAATTTCATGTCTACTTGAGAAGTGTTGCAGGGCCCCTTTGAAGCTTACTTTGTCCACACTGCCCCAATATTCTGAAATTTGAGTCTCTGGCCCTACCAAAGAACAGTGTATTTCATTTTCACAAATATTAATGATGTAGGTTCAAATTAATGCTGTCAAAATCTATCCAACCACGGCAACTGGTGCAGCCACTCTAAGGTGGCGCTGCCACCCGCATTTACTTTTTTTTTTTGTCTTTTCTTACTTGCCAAGCGTTTTGCAGCATTCGTGATGTTTTTGTAACCTGGAAGAGTAATGTATGAATATGAAAGAAATAATTTTTTGTGTCCCTTGAATGATGCGGCCTTTTGTCTAAGGCAGCTGCAGCCTTGTCCTGTACCAAACGAAGAAAAGTGAAAAAAGTTGGCCGATAGTAGAGTCACGTAGTGCCTTTGCCACGCAGTGGAAGGCCGACCTCGCTGCCAAGGTGGAGCTGCCAAACGGACGGCCCCTGCCCGTGCTACTGGTGGCCAACAAGTGCGACCTGGGCTCCCAGCCGCCCAATGCCCGCTTTCTCAGCAACTTCTGCCAGGAGCATGGCTTCGCCGGGTGGTTCCCTACCTCGGCCAAGGAGGACATCAACATAAGTGAGCAAAAACTGCGGCAGTCGTGCACCATTAGGTGGGGAGACCAACAAAACAGTAGAGCTAATGGCGTTGCCCTGCTGTATTCCCTCCTCTCCACCTTCACCTCCCTTTTCCACCCCTTGCTCCTTTAGATGTAGGCAAAATGCTGGAGGCTCGTCTACTCTGTTGTGTCGAGGCGCTTCAAGGAATTGACACGGTTGAAATTTCCGGAACCATCGACTATGGCGTCCATCTTAATCATCTGTGGTTTTCGTACGTTAAGCGCTCGCATCACTCTTGCTCACCCTCACTTTCCTTCCCCTCTTTGTATCCTATGCACGGCTGCGCTAAGCTTGTTTTCTCGTTTTTCTTCTCCTTGCCTTCATTTTCCCACCTCCTAGCTATGTCTTTTTTGTATTGCTCTGGTATGCCTTCATTTTCCCACCTCCTAGCTATGCCTTTTTTGTGTTGCTCTGGTATGCGTTCTTTCCCTCTTTCTGTCTTCGATTCTGTTTTTTAACCTCTATTTCGGTCTTGCTCTCTGTTTTTTCTTTATTTCTTTCACTCTGATTTCTTTCACTCTGTACTCGTTCTCCCGCCCATCCGAGTTACTGCATCCCACCCCGTACAAATAGGCACACATGTTCTGGGAGTGAAGCAGTACGTGGAGAAGTACAATGAGAGAGAGCGTGCAGTTCATGATGGTGATAGCTTTGCTCTCATCTACATAATGGGGTTCCTCTGAGCAGGAACAGCTCTGCAGTTACAAAGAAGGAAGTGGAAGTTTGGATGACGCCGTTGCAGTGCAATCTGTAGGCGCTTGCCGGGTTCTCCGTTAGTGGTGGGAGATAACGTTTTCCCGCGACAGCTCTTGTGTCCTTTGATGGGTCGCAACTCTTTTTGACAGAAGTAGGCTGGCCCACGTCGGGCCTAACCACACCTTCCAGATTCGCTTGGCAGTAGTGTCCAATGGGGAACCGCTCACATGATCTCTTGGAAAGCTCCCCATAGTTTTTGGGATACTGCAACAAGAACATTGCTAGACAAGGAATTGTGATAGAAAGACAGAGGAGGGTGCTGAAACCCCTTGTTTATTGCTGGCAAATGCAGTATGTGCAGAAGCTTCATGCTCGGGAACAACAAGAAACAAAGTATCTGCGCAGAGATAAAAAGGAAGTCATATGTTGCATGCATCGGCGAAACTGGATGTCGTCTTTTTGTACAGATAACTCGATTTCACAGCTATGCAAGAGGCATTACGAAGTGTGCAGTTTCAGGAAGTTTGTGGCATCTGTATCTACATGCAGTGAACTCTCAATGCATGGAAATATGTTGAATGAGACAGCTGTTTAAATGGAGCAAGTGCCTCTGATATGCTTGTTTTCATACTTGTATTCTGCACCTATATTTTATCTCTCGGTAAACAGAACTCCTGTTAAAGGGAATATATTTTTCTGGTCCCTGCAGGTTTTGTTTAATGAGAGTCTACTCTATATACTGATGTGTTTGGAGTTCTGCCCAGAGGACCGGAGCCAGCCAGAGTCTCAGGGAGATATCGAGGAGAGGAGCAGGGAGCTGTTAACAGTAACTTTTAATTACAATATTTACAGGTAGCGTGTTACATGATGGTGGTAGCATCACGGTAGCTCTCGACGGAAGCATGATGGGAGCTTGAGAGAGTTTGTCAGGAGCGCCTCCGCGCTCGCGTTTTATGTCCTGGCCTTCCCAGGATTCCCTGCAGGAAAAAAAACAAAACAATGGAGGCCAGGACAATCCAATGAAGTTTGTCATCTTCACCTCCGCCTCGAAAGGGGAAAGTGAAACGCCGCCTCCTTCTCAACCCACGAAATGGGGAAAAGGCACGCCCAGTTCAGCCCAATTCGAGGGAGAAAACACTGCACATCGCACACGACGCAGCACAGCACGAAGACGTTGAGTCTTACATGGAAGTAAATTTCGCAGACTGTTGCAGTGATGGCTATGCAGCGCCAGGCAGACCACAAATTGTGGAAACAGCGGCATCAGGAACGCCTACGGAGAACGTGTGGAAATGCATCCGCAGACGGTTCTCAAATGCTGGGCCCTTTGCCCGGGGCACCTTGACAACAAAGCAAACCGCCTCGACAGCCAATAACTCTTCCTAATTCGTCAGGCGTGTTCCAAAGGGTTTTACGAGGGGCGCCGACGACCTGAGATAACTAGATCGGTTTCTCTTTTGGCAGCCGCTCTTCCTGCATCTCTGGGAGCGCTGAATTGGAAGAAATCAGGGGTAGGCTCAGCCACAGCATCTCAGTGCGTCAAAGTGGCGTCAAGCCAGGCAGGCCGATCATAACAGCCCGTTCACTACCACAGGAGGTCTCGAGAATTGCAGCACCAAAGCACTCCGCAGAGATTGTAGATCGGCTCCTGTTGTAGACGTTGATGCAGGCTGTACCAATCTCTGGACCTGAGCCATGGCTAGCAAGAGCAAGAAACGAACAACGCAAGACTCGAGGCACAACAAACAGAGAGCACTCAGCGGACTTCGAAGAAATGCCAGGTTACAGTTCTGGTAAAACTCTCTAGAAATTTACAATTGGTGCGCTTGCTCGTGAAAGTCAAGAATCAAATAACGAAGCCATAACAAACTCGGACCTACTACACGCGAAAGAAATCAACAGCCTATCGTTTTGTATCAGTTCCCAGACATGATTCACTGGCACGCAGGTGCTACGGGCTAAACAAAACAAAAGAAGTAGTTAATGAATTATGCCTCTCACTGCATAAGTAAAACGCAAAATCAAGCTCGTCCGTATATCATAAAACAAACAGAGAAACAAAAAACCTCCACTACACTCATGCGCATACCAACAAGTATGCTGCAAATTACACAAGGTTTATACAGAGGCTTTTACATTCAGCCTACTTCTCTGTTAAAATCAACTTGGGTGTAAGACATACAATAAACAGAGAAACAAGAACCTTTACTACACTGCAGAAACAGAAGGTTTAAACAGAGGCTTTTACCTTCAGCCTAATTCTCTTTTAGAATCAACTTGCGCAAAACCTTTTACTCAAGGTGTTCAGTTTCGCTAAATGTAAGCAAACGCACAGTTCAACAAGTATCTTAATGTCTGCAGTTATGATGAGGAGGAAAATCAAGTTACAAAAATTGCCTTACTCCTTGGTCATCTTCAGACATGCAAACATTAAAAACTGGATACAAGAAGACTTCTTGATATTCTTACACTGTCCCAAACATTATGAGGAACCCTTTGAGACAAACTCTGGGTGGATGCGCATATGACAGCTGTCGATGGGCCAGATCGCGATGGAGGTATAGCAAACCTGTCCAAATCTCTCAGTGGCAGTGGCCTTTGTTGCACGGCCCTCAAACTCCGATACAGAGGCATACCGATGGTCTCCCACGTCTCTTGTTTGCCCCCCCCCGCCAAGCGGTTACCTTTTCGCCGTGGAGGTGGATGGATTTTGTCATTCCCTAGAACGCGACTCGTTCTGCTCCGCTGTCTACTCTGCGCTGAAGGCGATGAGACCAGGCAGCCACTTCGACGTCCGAGTTTCTTCGCCTTTGTGACACGCTTTATGCCCAATATCGATTTCAAGGGGGCCGTCAACTTTTGATTTCCAGCCCACTTTCTCGGGATTTCTGGCCTCCGCTCGAGACAACTTGGACCCTTCGCGTTCCCTCTATGTTTTCACCGGCGCCTTCTTTCGGGGCAGCACGGAACGTTCACCGACTCAGCAGTATTACTCAGAAGCACACTGCTCAAAACTCCAGGCGGCTCAACTGGCTTATCCTTGGCATCTTTTCCAACCATCTGCACTTTCAAAACGGCGGTACAATTGACTCTTTCTAAGCCAGCCAACTCGCCATTAGATGTCTCTCCTTGATGAAAGTCATCACCTTGCACTAATCTAAGTGCACCATCCTTTCGCGCTATGCTAAGCTCCTCTCCCTCACGTGCTAAGCTAAATGCCTCATCACTTAGACTTTTACAGTCTACTTGCTTTTCACTAGCGCTTTCTGCTTCCAAAACCTCATGAACAGACTCGCAGGCCATCAGAGGCGTCGGAGCTGTCGCCGATTCGTCACCAAAACAAAGGCCTCTCAAGAGTACATTCGCGTCATTCTGAGAGGGATAATGCCCGGGCAGGTTTTGGGACACGACAGTTTCTGTTGCGAGAAGTCTGAACGGTCCCTCACTCTCAACGTGGGCTAACGGCAAGCACACAGATTTATTTTGAACTAATTGTCGTGTGCACGCGTGTTCTCCTGTGGTCACCTCATTTTTCACGGAGTAGGGATCAACATCATTGAGTGCTGTGGCTGAGCCTGGTGCTACATCACACAACGTTTTATCCACAACAGGACATCTGAACGTGGGGATTCAATTGTTCCAGATTATTGTTGCTGCTGTCCACAAAACAGGGAACATTCCTAGGCTTGTGGCAGCCAATTGCGATGTGACTTGGCTTTTTGCAACGGTGGCATACAACCGGCTTCGTAGCCTTAAACACCTTTTGTTTCTTTCAATCTTCTCAGTGGCTCACTGTAGACGCAGACTTGGCAGGACTGCCTTTCTTTTTCATATTGGAGGGTGCTCTCTCGTTATTTGTGTTATTTAAGACCTGATAAGTTGCTAAAGCCAATCCTCTTTTTTCATTTATTCTTTCTTCCTCAGCCCATCGTTTGTTCTTTTCAACCTTTCCCAGCACTCACTTTCATCACTCTCCGCCCCGCATTCCTGAATAGCCTTAATCAGCTGCGACTCTCTCTCTTCTCTCCCAACCTTAATTCCCAGCTCTTCACACAGTATTAGGAGGTCTGGTCTATCCAGCTTCTTTACCAACTCCATGGTATTTACGAGCAAGGACTTTCTTTCCTGCCGTGACGTTATGAAGGGAATAAGCGAAGCCTACACGCACGGTAAAATTTACTGCCAGTTTAGAACATGAAAGCTAAAATTTGATGAATAGCTGTAACGTATGGTAGTGGTACAACGAATCCTATACACACGGAA